TGCCCACTGCGCTTGGCTCCCGCTTGCTGCTGCTGCTGCCCATGCTGCCACAGGGAGGGAAGGTCGGAGGGACGGGGGAAGAAGGAGCCATGCAACAAGAACTGGAGCAAGCAAGACGCATGGGAAGGTGCAGGAGTGCATGAAAACGAATGAGTCAAAACCAAAACGACATGGAGGGGTCGGAAGGAGCGTGGGAGGCGAAGGGAGTGTGGCGAATGGCAGGCCGTGGCAGTTTGGCAGCGAGCGAGCTTGCAGGGGGGGACTGAGGAGGAGGAGGACGCGGGCATGAGGATGAATGCATTCTATTCTAACTCCCTACAACTCTACCTACATGCGCTCAGCTGCCTTGTGCCACGGCCCACCATCGCCACACGCCCTCACACTCCCACTCACACATCGCGGAAAAGGTTTTGGCTCAAATTCGAGTTTAAGTCTGAAGGTTGCAGGAAAGTTGCAGAAACGTTGCAGAAAGTATCCGAAAAGCACTGAGTGAATTATGCAACATGCACCAATTTCGGATACAACCTGGCTTCCGAGCCGCGCATTTTGGATACGTGGGTTACACGAGGCGCGAATTGTGGATACGTGGGTTACCCGAGCCGCGAATTTATTGCATCATTTTCGAAACATCTTCACCGAACAGTACACCTGGTCACGACCAAACTTCGGGAGTTCCCCTCTCGTGCTGGTGTACGATTGAGGAACACTGCAGCCCGAATCAGGTAGGCATTGTCGAACGTTGCGGGCACAGTAACTGGGATACAAAATTAAACGAGGCTCGCGAAGGCACAAGCCAGAATCGAAACTGGCAGCTGGCATACAGTTCCATGTCACACCCAAACAATTTAAGTGTTCAGATTCTGTTCAAGTGACGTGGCTTCCCCGGACCACAGGTAACCGGAATTGAGCTATCCTCATGATTTTTTACTGACCAATTACTGGTGTGATCTAACCTATTCCAGAAATCTACGGCATCCGTGACTGTATCTCTCCCTAAACCGCTAGTTGCCTAGCCTATTGTTCACACATCTTGCTCAGGTTATTGTTCCATTTCAACCTACCTCGTGTCTCTGCCGTCCCCTCAGCAAGCGTATACCGTAGAACGTACGTCTTACGTTGTGTATCTAATAAACTAGTGTATGAAGTATCAATCCTTCAACATCTGCCCAGATCTACCGTCTCATCCTGCATCTGTCCCCTCCTTTTCTACCTCCCGTCCCATATACAGCTCGTCGCCTTGCTCTCTTCACGCGGAGGACGTTCTGCGCGCGAATCGCCGCGGACTCAGCACCCGTCAACCTACGGACGCAGCGACGAAAAGCCCGTTGCCCGGCTGCGGAAGCGCCGTGTTCGTCGCGGAAAGCGCCGGTGTGTGTGCTAAACACATTCAGCTGCACATCCCGCATACTGAAATTCGAAAGCATACTGAATCATGTGACGCCCATCACTCCTGTTCTTATCCTCACTCTTTCATTTCTTCTCACGTTTTAGGCTTCTTCTCTTCTCGATTTGGTTCATTTCTTCCCATAATGAATGCAGATCTATTTCCTCCCATTTCAAATTGCACGCCTGTGCCACCTTAAACAGGTACGTTGTTGTTTTCTTGTGTAGCCTCCCACTGCACAGATCGTCTCTACGCTCTCTGCATGAGAGAGAAGGTGTGGTAGTCGCACGAAGGTCTCTCTCTGCCTCTCTGCATGGTGTGGTCTTATCCCATGCTGTCTAGAATGTAGGCTTTAACGATAACGTTTTCATGTTTGTTGTTCTTAGTCATCGTGTTTCAGGTTTAATATTCATGTGCAGGGTTAATGGAAGTCACGAGATGTTAATTTTCATATGCAGGGAGGTATCAAGATCCAGTAGCTATGAAGCACATTGACGGCAATATTATCAGCAAACGTTAAGCCCTTGGGTGATAAGTCACTATCGTGGGGAACAAGCATATGACTAACCAAGGTCTAACATTATGTCGTCTTTGTGTTTGCAGGCTTTAAAACGAAGCATGATTTCACCCTGTGTGACTGCCTGTAGAACCTGACGCTATGTAGCAGTTGTTGGTTTTAGGTGTTTCGTGTTGGCGCAATGTGTATACATCATATGTATGCAGACGTCCATAATATTGTAGGTTACTTCCAACCCCACCTGTAACAAATAATCTCTGAGATGAACGGTCCGATTGTACTGTTCAGACAAATTCTCGGCCAGTAGTATTCAATTTTCGCACACGCGAAGTCTTGTCTGATTGGTCCACGTGGCAAGCTGGCGTTCACATATTGAGAATGACACCTGGCAGAAATATCTTTGCTTACGTGGCAAAATATCTTCGCGAACGTACCAACGTACGTACACTTCGAACTCGAAACTGTACACTTCGAACTCCAAACTGTACGCATGCCACGTGGCAGGTCGTGAAACTGCATACATGTGACTGAAATGTATCCGACGAGTGTCCGCGAAATTGCGGAAGTGTTGCTGAAATGCACCTTTCTTGCAACTTTCATGCAACTTTCTTTCAACTTTCCCGTGACTTGGATTTCTGCAACCTTCATCCATCACTGCCAAGTTGCAAAACCAAAGTATCCAAAAAGTAACTTTTCTGCAAGTTTCCTGCAGCCTACAGTCCTTTTTCGCGATGCACTCCTAACCCGTCTCTCACAAACTGCCGAGCAAGGTTTGTATTGCACATAAACTGAAAGACACGACAGATTAGAATAACTCAAACGGGAGAAAAATTCGGAGCACTTAACGAAAAGTAGCTGTGGCCATTCGTCGCCGTGCGTTATTGCTCGCTGGTCGCCGGTTTCGTTCGCTATCGCGGACGTCCGTCACTCGCCATCCGTCTTCCGTCATTCGCTGCTCGTCGTCCATCTCTCGTCGTTCGTCTCTCGTCGTTCGCTGCTCGTCGTCGGTCACTCGCAGTCCGTTTGTCGTCGTTCGCTGCTCGTCTTCCATCTCTCGCCATCAGCCACTCGTCGTTCGCTTCTCCCCGTCACTCGTCGTTCGCTGCTCGGAGTTAATCGCCGTCGCCCTCGAGCTCCTAAGATGCTCGAATCGCCTTGGCTTTCGCTGTCCTATTGAACGACGCTGAAACATGAGAGCTGATAGCTCCATCTCGCGTTGACCAGACGAGATTCACCGAGATGCGACGTCGCGATTCACCGAGAAGCGACGTTGCGGTTCACCAAGATGCGACGTTGCGGTTCACCAAGATGCGACGTTGCGGTTCACCAAGATGCGACATCTCTAGTCATCCGGCGAAGCTCGGAAGTATTCGCAACCACACTTCTGTACTGCTCCTTACCGTTCCGTACTCCCAAACAAGATGCGACGTCGCCCGAAACCAGGATGCGACATTTCTCGGCTTGAGCAGGACGTGAAGGACAGGCTAGCATCACCAGACCGAGCGTCCTGGGAAAACTGTAAGCGTTAGAAAATGGTTCGCTTTCCTCCTATTCCGAATGATTACCGGTAGATCCATCACCAACACGCTCCTCCTACTACTCCGCTCCGTTCGGGCTGGATAGTTGAGACAGGTGGGAACTTCTACCGTCGCTTTTCCTAGGTAACACCAATCGCGAACGTCCAACTGCTTTCGCCATCAGGGTCGCCTCTTCTCTGAGTCTGAATAGTCTTAATCAGCTTTGGATATAGTAACGATGATAACGATACGACTAGGTCGGTGCTTCTTGCCGTGGAATGGCCCGCAAGTTTATAGCTAGATCGAGAAATTAAGGATTAAGGTGCCTGACACGGCCTATGGGATGGCACCCGACGAAACTCTAGGAACGCGAGGCCGCCATGGAAACGAGCCTGAGGTAAGTTTCTGACGTTCAGGGAAGAACCGGACGAGGAGATTGCAGTGGCAACCTTGGCTACTCCTAGGTAAGACGAGAGAAGGGAATTCTTGGGGGGATGGGAGATGTGCCAAGGGCAGGAGCGTGGAGCGACAATCGGCTTCCGCCGCTTGTAGATTGCCAAGCCAGGCGGAACTCTTTGCTTGTCAGTTTCGCAATGATTGATGTTGGCGACAAGCATTTTGATTCGCCAGCGGAAAGTCACGACCTGGCGACCGAGACACTGAGTTTCGTGAGAAGGGTTACGGGAACAGTCGAGTTTCAGCCGAAGCGGGTTTCTGCGTCTTTGCGCGGGAGCCGCCTAATTGAATGGTAGCTCCTGACAGCCATGCCAGTGATGGCGGGAAATTTGTTCATGTGTCCAGCACCTCACGATCAACTTGATCGGACGGTGATCAGTCCCTGGACCTTGCCCATGCGATCCGTTTGTGTCGAGATTGTGTATGATTGAGAAGTTGAAAGTATTTTGGACTGCTGTAGGACATATAAAATGAATTTGTTTTCTCTTTTTTTGTGGTGTACTTGTGGGAGCCAGGTTTTAGAATGAAAACCCTTGGAACATTGTACCACTCCACCGCAGTTCGCTTGGAGCACACCGAGTCGCATCGCACACGCAAGAGCAGGGTTATGGGGCTAGGGGGAACTGCCGCTCCTGTGAGTGCGGAATCCCCATTTCTGCTCCCCATTTCCCCTCATTCCTGCCCTGACGCTGTTCATGTCGCCTGATTCGAGTTCCTGAAATTATGATTATCGCTTGACAAGATGACGATGCCGCTGGCATCTCCATCTCCTCACCGTTTCTTTCTAGAGTCTCGTGCAACTCGCGTCGCGTCGCGCGGCTCGTCATTCGCAGGGAGATTCACTTTATCGAAAGGTCGACTCAGATGCGCAACGGCGCGGAACAAAACTACCGCTCAAGCTACAATTGGCCGTGTTCCTTTCGCGTCCGAATTTGCAACTACAGGGATGGTGGTAGCAGGAAGAGGGAGGATGGAACCAGGGAGAGTAACAGCAGGGAGTCCAGCGGAAGTCGCGTCTTCAGATTCTGGAGAGACTCCCATTGAGCCTCCGCCGTTTGCGGTGGTGCACAATGGCCGATTGCTAACTGATCACGTCATGAGGGGAGATAATACCGCAAGTGGATGTATGCCGTATTCCTCCGGGCCTCGAGCGTTTCTAGAAACCATGCCCAAAGGTATCATTACCGCCTTGCGTTTCTCTCGGAATTTTCTCATCCCGGCTCGGTCCATCCTTTGTGTGTTTTACCTCCTTCCCTATGTCCGAATACCTCTGGTTGTGCTCTCCGTGATTGAAGAAGTGTTTTGAGACGTCTCAAAAATATTCTCATCCCGGCTCGGTCCATCCTTTGTGTGTTTTACCTCCTTCCCTATGTCCGAATACCTCTGGTTGTGCTCTCCTTCCTTTCCAAGCGCCTACTCTGCACGTTCAGCAGCGGTTCTTTCGTTTCCAATGCTGCCATTTCTCCCTCCCCCCTCCCTCCCTCCCTCCCTCCCTCCCTCCCTCCCTCCCTCCCTCCCTCCCTCCCTCCCTCCCTCCCTCCCTCCCTCCCTCCCTCCCTCCCACCCCTCCCCCCCCACCCATCTCTCCCTCCCTCCTTCCTATCCTTCCCTCCCTCCTATCCTTCCCTCACTCCGTCCCTCCCTCCCTCCGTCCGTCCGTCCCTCCCTCCTCCCCTCCTCCCCCCCTCCCTCCCTGCCTCCCAGGCGCCTACACCACCACGCGCACGTTTGGCAACGGTTCCCACCTTCTCTTGTGGGACTTTCACCTCGATAGAGTCACTCGGTCGCTGCGTCTGCTCGCCAAGGCTCACCCGGAGCTGTTCCCGAACCTGTCACCGAACCTGCTGTCAATCCGCTACCAGGCGCAGGAAGAAGAAGAGTACTCTCAAGAGGAGGACCAGAAAAGGGCGGATCAAATACGAAATCTGGTTGCTGATTTGCGCACGGATATTAGAGTGTCCGTGTTTGCAGCTGTGCAAGAAATGGTGGAGTGTGATTGGTGGAGGAGGAACGTGAGGGGAGAGCAGAATGAGAATGCAGCAGCAGGAGCAGCAGCAGCAGCAGCAGCAGCAGCAGCAGCAGCAGCAGCAGCAGGAGGTGGAGATTTGCTTAATGATTCTTCTCTGTGGTCAAAAGGCGTTCGTTGGTGATGCTGCTACGTCTGGTGCATCAAATACAGATGATGCAGCTTCAATGAGTGAAGAAACAGCAGCAAGATCCACAGCGCGAGCACGAGGCGTTGAGGTCTACGTGCATGCCAGCACGGTTCACACCACGAACCCCTTGCCATCCCACACCCTGCCGCCGCCTGTCTGTGCTGCTGTCATGGGGCCTGGACGCCTCACTCCCCTTGCCAAATTCTCCTCATGGCCCCTGTGGGTGTCCCTCTTCTCTCACACCTGCAAGCCTCAGTAATATTTCAGGCCCTCAAACTTATCTCCCACCTCCCTAGTGTGCAAGCATGCAGCTAGTTGAAAGGCCACAAATAATGCTGTTTCCCATTTGCCCTGTGTGCAAGCATGCAGCTAATTGAAAGGCCACAAATTATGCTGTTTCCCATTTGCCCTGTGTGCAAGCATGCAGCTAATTGAAAGGCCACAAATTATGCTGTTTCCCATTTGCCCTGTGTGCAAGCATGCAGCGTCCGCCGTTCCCTGGAGGCGGCAAGGCCAGCAGAGGCAAGGGACGTGATCCTATCGAATGATGGTGACGTTCTTCTGGAAGGCATCACCTCCAACCTCTTTGTCATGGCTCGGACCGAGCCTGCCAGGTACGGCAACGACGCTGCAGATATCTGGTTCAAAGGGCAAATGTCGTGTTGCGTAAAAGTCGGCAGATGTGGGTTTGATGTCTAACTTTCTGCCAATCTGGCCTTGTGTGTTTGTGTTTGTGAACCTGGCTCTGCCAGTGAGAGAAACTCAAGCCATGGCTCTCCTTGGCATGGATTCGAGCTGCAGACAGCATCACTTGACAGTGGGATCCTTCCAGGAAGCATCCGACAAGCCATCATTGAGTATGTGACCACCACCTGTTTTTCATTCGTGCCTGTTGGGCCTCATTACTCGTCTAAGTACATGCATTGCACCACTTTTGGAAGGACCACGTTAGTATGTTAGATTGTTTTTCATTTTTTTGTATGTTGCATTATCGCTTGAGACACTTCACCCTGTTGCACCCTCCCTTTTTGTTTTTCAGCACGTGCAACGAAAGGGGCATTCCTCTACGAATCAAGACCCCGCAGTGGAGCGAGCGTGCCTTGTGGGTGGCAGCCTTTGTTACAAGTGAGTGGCCCATTACGCTTTAATACAATATGATGCTGCAATGGGATGTCTTGTTCCTTGTTCATCCCTATGCCCGTCCTTTGTCAATATACGTAAAGTATTTCACCAAAAAAAAAAAAAAAAAAACTGCTAAATATTCCCATTTGGCTCCGTGTCCTTATCTTCCTTCCCTCCACCATTTGTACACATGATCTCTCAATCTCAAGCCAGACGCCCTGAGTATCGTCCAGCCTGTCGACAACATTCTCATGCCTGCCACGTGGCCTTCTGAGATCACTTATGACAGCTGGCAGTCTGTGGACAAGTGGCTGACATGGCAAGCTCCTGCACTCGAGGTGAGTTTGTGTTGACTTGCCAATTCATGAACTTATGTACCACAGACTCGACTTAACCTTCAGTGTTGTCTGCCTTGTGTCTTCTCGAGCAGGATCGTGTAAATACCCATTCAGCAATCCTCTTGGTCAGTAACAACCCTCAGCTCGTTTGTGTTTTTTGCAAAACTGACAGCTAAAAACGTGTTTTATCGTTCTTTATTTATTACAGGGACATGTTGATCACATGATTTCCAGAAGTGCAAAAGTTGATGCGTTGTTAACAAGTGATGAGTAACTGATTTATTTGTTATTTGTTAGTAAGTTAGTTAGTTCGATAGTGAAGCAGTTAGTGTCCCGTTTTTCTTCTCGTATCCGCGTTATAAGCCCTAACACTTGCTCTGAGCATTGCAGTTCCTGATTCTGCTCTGTCAGACCCACCTAGTTTCAACATGATAACCGATCCACGGATTCTCTCTGGTCACTTGCATCACGAATCCGTTTGCTTGCCGTCACGCCCATCAGAAAGCCCTTTGGTAGCTTGTCTCGGTATTGCGATATCGCGAGGCGATGATGGTTTAGCCTCTCCGCTGCGACGACTCCGATTCTGCCGCTGTCCACGCTGTTGCAAATCCCGACAAAAACAACTCTCACGAGTCAGATGTGACGAACAGTCGGTCAGGAATGGACGGTGGAGGTGTCTCGTCGGTTGTTAATGGTCGTAATTGTAAATCAGATACGAGATTAGTCCCTGAAATAGCTGATCACCAGCCGGTTTCAGGCGACGCGTTACCAGATCATCGACGCGAGGAGTTTCGAATTGGCAAATTAGCGACAGAGGTTACGAATTCATGCGGCGAACTAGAGGAGCAACTGAATGAGCAGCAGCAGGAGGAGCTGCACCCGGAGCAGGACCAGGAACGGCATCAGCCGCATCAGCTGACGCAACAGCGACAACGAGAACAGAACGAACAGCAAAACCGACACCGGAAGCCCCAACAGCAGCAACAACAGCAGCAGCAGCAGCAGCAGCAGGGGAGGCGGGCGTTTTGCGGGGAGTGCCACAAGGCGACAAGTGTGTGCATCTGCGATCGATTCGGCGATCCCGTGGACAACCGCGTGGGCGTCACCATCCTGCAGGTGTGTCGCAAAAGGCGTCCGCGAAGCGTTTACGTTTACGTTTACGTTTCCGCTGATCCCCAAACCCCTTGCTAAACCCGTTATTCTTTTGTGCCGTAAGTCCTTCCCTCTATCGGAATTTTCTAATCTTCTCATTTCTCTCATTTGTCCATTTTTCTCGCTTATCTTCCAGAATACCTGCTGACTTCCGCCTTTCCCCCGCTCCCCCTCCACCCCACACCTCTCCCCAAACACCGTTTCAGCATCCCAAGTAGAAGTACCACCTTGGGCTCGGCGCGCATTTCCCTGCTGGGGCTGCAGCGCGGTTACTGTTGAGTCGACTAAAACCCCCCCTTCCACCCCGCACCTCCCCCCCAAAACCCCCGTGCGGCACCCCTAGGTGAAGTACCACCCGTTGGGCTCGGCGCGCATTGCCCTGCTGGGGCTGCAGCGCGGTTACTGTTGAGTCGACTGATAAGGCGACTTGGCGAGTTTTGAGTCGACTCAAATCCGCCCTTCCACCCCCCGCCTTCCCCCCCAAACCCCTGTGCAGCATCCCAAGGAGAAGTACCACCCGTTGGGCTCGGCGCGCATTGCCCTGCTGGGGCTGCAGCGCGTGCGCGTGGTGGTGGTGCCGCTGGGGCGCGGGCGGCCGGGGTTGCAGCCCAAGGACCCCTTCTCCCGCCGCTCCCTCATGGGGCGCTCGGGGAGGGGGCGGTGGCGCAAGGGCGCGGGGAAAACGCAGGGGAACGGGGTGAAGCAGGCTGAAGGCCCTGGAGAGGAGCAAAGTCGGGGGCAAGGACAGGGGCAAGGACAGGGCCAGGGGGAAGAGCAGGGGAATGCGGAGGGGCTGCAGGATGGGGAGGAGCTAAAGCAAGGGAAAGGAGTAGCGGGTGACGGGGATAGTGGAAGGGACGGGGAAGGGCGAGGAGGGGAACACGCGTGGGGGAAAGGAGAAATGGGTGGGGGAAGCAATGAAAGGGATGGGGACGCAAGCACAGGCGGGGATGGAGCATTCGTGTTTCCCACTGCGGTTGGTGAAAGGGGTGAGGTGAGAGGGGGTGAAGTAAGAGAAGTTGAAGTGAGAGAGGGTGAGACATGTTTGAAGAACAGATCAGGACGAGGAGGGAGCATGGAAGCAGGAGCGAGTGAGCCAGTCGAGGGTGAGAAACAGGGAGGAGAAACAGGAAATGGGGAGTCAACCAGTGTTTCAAGCTTTGATCTAAGCTTTGATCTCCTGCCATTCGCTGCTGCTGATGGGACTGATAGTGACGACGGCGACGGTGCCTTTGGTGGTGACCATGATGCCAATGGGATCAGTGAGGTGGCTGGGGGTTGTATGTGCTCTGAGGGCACTTCTGAGTCTGGAACACTGGGGCTAGCCAGCTCTGCTTGTGGTGACGGTTGCTGCTGTGATGGCAGCAGCTGCAGCTGCAGCGAAGGTAGGAGGAGCAGCAGCGATAACAGCAAGAGTACAGGGAGCAAGAGCAGGAGGAGCAGCAGTAGCAGCTGGCGTGTTGTTCCTGAGGAGTTCGCAGTTGACAACCGTGGCTTGAGAATGTCCCTTCTGCATAGCAACCACAGCACAGTTTCTATCAGCCACTGCAGCAGCAGCAACAGCCACAGCAGCAGCAGTTGTCCCAGCAGCGAAATGAGTTGCATGCATCTAGAAGACCGATCTATTTCAACGAGCACTGCCACAAGTAGCAGTAGCACTGGTTCTAGCAGCACACGGGCTGTAAGTGCCGAACCGGTGGAGATTCCAGAGTGGATCAGTTTGCCGCCCGGAGCTGCGGTACTGTACCCCTCCCCCCGATCCATAGAGCTGCAGCCTCCACAACCGTCCAATGGTGCCGAACGATCTGCACCGTCTATTGGTAGCCAGCCATCTGAAGCACTGAGACCGTCTCACCTGATTGTGCTGGATGGCACGTGGCCGAAGGCAAAGAGGATCCTGTGTCAGAATCCCTGGCTGCTGCAGTTGCCGCACTACCACTTGCCACCGCATGCTGCTGCGCCATCTAGATATGGGTTCATCCGCAAGCAACCAAAGGTTGGAATTCCAGTTTTCGCCACGTTCCTTGTTTTCCACTTGTTTCGCGCCAGGTTTCTCATCACTTCTTTTTTGTTTCTCCCTCTCTTCCTACCTCCCCTCCGATTCCTTGGCAGTTTGGTTGTCTGTCCACAATTGAAGCTGTGGTGTTCGCTTTACAGATTCTTGAGCCGGATAATCGTGTAAAGCTGGATCAGCTGTTGGAAGTCTTTAACTCCATGGTTGTAGATCAGGTGAGTTCTTCCTAGTTCACAAATTCTGTTGCCCTCTTGTTTCTAATACATTCAACTGATGTTATCCACTCTGCTCTTTCTGTTTCCCCCCGTTTATAGGTGGAGGGAATGCGCCGAAATGGGAAATCTTCACTTATTCCGGATGATTGGATTGAGCCAGGAACATTAGCAGCCAAGGTGTAATCATGGTGCTGCTTATTTGATTTAAAAGAAGACCAATCGTTTCACCTAATGTTGTACAGTGTTTGTTGGAGGCCTTTTCCTTAGTGTCACCGACCCAATCTGTTGTTGCACAAGGCCTCCAGGATTCTAGGGTGTGCGACCTTGTGCGATCAGTGTCCGTGCAGTCATTTGGGAATGGCGGTGCAGCCTCCGTTTTTCCCACTCGCCGCATGACCGGACCTGATTGGTTCGCTTCGTTTGCCCCACACTCTCTCGCGCCAAAAGAAAGAAGGCGTGGCATTCGAATTCAAAAGTTTCTTGCGGTATTCCCGGATCGCGACTCGATACAGTGGCTAGGAGCAGCCAGCCAAGTCCCAAGAAGATCTCGCTGTCAGCTGCACAACACTCACAACTAGCGCAAGGACCGGATGGGGATATCTGACGGTTTACCCCTAGTGTTGGTGGAAACAGCTTCAATTATCCAGACCCTCACATTTGAAGTTTGCTCTTCTCCCTCCGCCAACAACCACCTCCTTGAAGCAGACACCGTTCTACTGAACGCTACATGCACGCATCCCTTTTCCCCCACCAAAGTCACTTCTTCCCCAAGCACAGCTTCTCGATTGTGCTTCAGTGCTCCCCCTTCTCCCATGATCCCATACGCTGTATGACACCACTTCAGTTATTCCAGGCATCTTGTCAAGGCGGGAGATAAATTACAAATCTGGACGATACCTCCTCTCCCGCCCGTTTTCGTCCCCCATTTTGCGTAACCACATGCTATCCCTAAAGAAACTCATGACAGCAATAACGCGTCTACACCCTCATCCATATCGGTGATGCACAACAATGGTCAAGAATTAAGCTGGTCGAGCAACCTGTACTGCTTGTCTGGTGAACACTCGGCCTCCATGCTTATGCACCTAGACTGACTGGCTGATCAGGAGATTAATCATAGGGGAATAGAGCAGCTGTTACCGGCTGACTAAGTTTTTACGACAGGACTAACTCTAGCTCGAAACCTACACCGTCCGATGCTAGTGTAGCATGGCTCAGCAGGATTACGATGGATTTGTTGTGTCCGGTGTCGACATCAACAGCCTTTGCCATCAATGAGCAGCCAGAAATAAGGTGCTGACGAAAGTAGGCTCACGTATTGCCTTTTTGTTTTCCGTGACTCTCGAAATAGACACTGATACCAGCTCCGTGTGCTCGCAGGGCTTATAAGCTTGGCAAACAGAAATGCTCGTACAACCAGGTAGAGCTGATATTCCTCAATGAGGATTCTCGCTCTTCGAAGGCCGAGCTTTCCCTAACCGAGGCTATCGAGGTTCCGGTTGGAAGCGAGGTGGATACTTTCCTGCAAGAGGGTACCCTGAAGTACAATCTGCGATTTCAGGATGACAGAAGAATGCGACTTTACGTGTTCCTGGTCTTCGCAAACCATCATGGAGCGACATTCAAAACTCAGGCTGAGTACCACTGGGTACCCGTTGTTAGGAGTCAGTGCACTAAGGGTTGCATCGGTCCCATTTTGAAAGGGTTGCAGAGGTTCGGACGATTATCACGGCGTAGCGTGGTCGCTTCTCCTGATGACCCTGATGTGTGGAAGGAACCCCGGCATCTGTATATTGCCATTGACGAGGCTAGCACACACATACGACCCTGCTGTAACACTTCAAAATTTAGGCTTCTGTTTGCCTTCTACTCAGAGTCTCAGCAATTTCTTGGGAGCTCTATTTCCAGTTCCATCAAGGTCGTCGCCAACAATGATGCGCCCCAGGGAGCAGCAAACTTGCAAGTCAACTGTTTCTTGCAGGGTATGTCTCTGCCTTTCTTCTCGCTTACATTGGTCAGCTCGTGCAACATCTAAGCGTCGGTTTCTCGTTTTTCAGGCCTGAACGCATTTGACGTCAGAGCATCAGGTCGAGATCGCCCGCCTTTCAAAGGTACTAATCGGGTATCATCACTCTGCTTGCAAGACGCAATGCGCCGTTAAATGTCCTGACGACTTTATTCTTGTGTGCGCCTCTTTTCTTTGCAGCTCTCCTACCGAAAACCCCGAGATTCCACCCCAACGTCCCTGACACGAGGCCTCTCGCATCGGAGGTAGACGCGCCCCATGGTTGCTTTCGTGATTCGTCCACAAGGAAAAGCTAACACTTTTTTGTTTTACATGCTGCAGGTTCCCATCTGTTCTCCACTTCTTGGTGCACAAACGGCCTTGCCGTTGACACCAGGTTCAGGCATAATCCATTCAGACTTACATCATCGTCAAGGAAGAGCTTACCTTCCTCCTTTCAGCCCGGTCCCTTTTCCGACGGCAGCCATCACAGGCACTCCGCAGCAACACAGGCCGGAGGCAGGTTTGGGGGAGGATAGCTCAGCAATATGTTCACCCAATGACGCATCTCATTTGCACAAATCTCCTAAGCCGGTATATGTGGTAATGCAGATGGGAAAATGTGAGTCTTGTTTACCTACTGATCAGTTTCCTCACTCGACGTTGTCCTTTTTTGCCAGGAAATACATTGTGCTGAGTTAGACAACCAAGAAGATTGCATCAGGAAGGAGCACTCCTTGGGAGAATTGGCGCATAAGTATGTCAAGCTTTGTTCCCTTGTTCCATGTCCAGCATATGGCTGCTTGATTCTGGCTCCACCACTTACTTCTGACTCTTTGTCCTCCTCAGGGTCGTTGGAGCCTGTCTGATGAAAGAGGGAGGGAAGCTGAACCTTGATGAACTGGAGAATTTTCTTGGTAAGTGACTGCGTCTATGGAATTAATCCGTATAAATTTGCTTTACATTCTTACAATGGCCGTGACTGCAGGAATACGCAGAAGAAAACTATATGACATTTTCAACGTCCTGGAGTGTATCAGCATAGTAAAGAGGCAAGGCAAGCATGAGTATCTGTGGCTTGGATCAGATGGCATTGGTGAAGCGCTTGCCAGAATAAAGGTGTGTGTCGAACCATGTTCTGTATTCTTTCAAGAATCACAAGTTTTTCTCAACTGGTAAGGCTTCTTTTGCAGGGCAACGTCATTGCTGTTGGAGAAGGAAGTATGAGTGTGGGCGTGGCTTCACTGCAGAGCGATAACTCCGTCTCAGAAAAGACATCACCAAGAACGGCAAAACCACACTGTGATGGTTCAGGCAAGGAAAGCGAAGTCAACCCAGATGCACGAAGAGGGCTGAGCTTGAGGACTCTTGTAGAGAAAGTTATTCAGCTCTTCCTTCAGGACACGGTAAGGTTAGATTACTGCTCAATCTGTAAAGTTAGCTTTAACAAATATGTGAACTTACTCTCCATGCCTTCTTGTTTGCAGAATGCAACACTATCCTGGGAGGATGCAGCTGAGATGTTGCTCGAGCCACGAGATGATCGATGTGAGCAGTCAACAGTACCCCACTTCTTTCATTCCTTCATGCTTCTCGCTAACACCATGACTGTTCATATGCAGCTCGCACCCGGAGGCTGTATGATGTGGTGAGCATGCTGAGTTCACTTTATTTGATTGAAAAGGTGGAGCAGGCTCCTGCAACCACTCCAAAGTCTTATTACCGCTGGATTGGAGCCAACGGTCCTCAGCAATGTTTCGAGGCAATGATCAAAGGTTGGTACCATCTTCCGTTTCTCGTTTCGGCTATTCAACCACCCGAGCGTTGCTAATTGCAGAGTTATTTTTGCAGGATTCACAAGCTCATCGGCTATTTCACAACATGACGTAGCATCTGCAACCCCAGAACCTGCTTTGAAGGCTGGAATTACCCCTGCGAAGAGAGATCGCGAGCTTCCATCTATCACATGGCGAGTTGTGCAGACTCCCCTTCGCATGCCTTCGGCTGAGGTCCAGGAGGCATTTACTGCAAGATCGGGCATCTCCATCTCAACTCCTGGAGCAGCACAACCACTAAGCCATGCTTCACGTACAACACAACAGACGCAACAGCTCCATCACCAATCACCAATGGCATCCAGCCTTCAATCTCAGCAACGGCAGCAGCAGGGAAAGCATTCGTCGCAGCTGCAGACTCCTGCTAAGCTGCTGGGGGCCGGGAAGAACGTCTTGGAGCCATCAAGCCATAAGCGTTCTGCTCAGAAGAAGCAACAGGCCTTGCGGCAACGGCAGACCACGGAGCCCGACCGTGAACCAGCAAGCCCCGCTGAGCCTCTCGTGAGAAACAGTGGCGGAACTCTACGGCTCCGAATTACGGATGGAGTTGCTGTACCTGATGAGGCTGGTCGAAGGTTGCTGACTGGTGAAGATGGCGAAGCCTCAGCCCCTCCAAGCTCTCTCGCAGGCGTTGGGCGCAGCGAGTCCTCTGGGAAGCTTGTTTCACTGGCCTCCTTTTTGCAGAGCCCAGCTGGAGGACCAGGCCAGGCATCTGCACAAGAAGCAAGAGAAGTTTTCCTGGATTCGTCATCACAACCAGAAGCAGTCCCAAGCCCTGGTGCAAGGCAGGCTGGAGGAAGTTCCCCAAGCAAGAGGCCAAGGTTATCCTTTCAGCAGCATGCGGAGTCTGGTCAGCCTGTACTCCCTACCTGTGCAACTCAGACTGCTGATGCACAAACGTCGGGGCTTGATTTGTTGCGGCCAGTTGCACGGAGGCCAACCGAGGCAGATCTCGGCACACAGGGGGTTGTTCCTGTGGTTGGTGCAGAAGGTGGGCATGTGCTACCATTTCCTATGCCTCTTGGCCTCGGCACTGCTCCGGAAGCAGGCTCAGCTATGGCAGTCGCTGCAGCTGCCGCTGCTGCCGCTGCTGCAGCAGCAGCAAGTACAGGTGGAGGAGCATTCCCACGTCCAGCCATGCCCGGAATGCCCCAAGCGTTCCCAGGACCACCTGCTGCATCTTTGCCTCTTTTCCGGCCAGGGCTGCTTCAAGGCGCCCCACTGGCAGTACCTTCACCTGGAGGTATTCCCGAGGGAGCATTAATGCCCACAGGACTAATGCCAGGCGGAAGTTCCCCATCAGTTGACCCTCTGTTGTGGCTGCCTCATCTGTTCAGCCCTTCACAGCTTGCTGTGATGCAGTTTCAAAACCCAGGTGATGCGCCTTCCCTTTGTTCCCTGTCCATTCATTTTATGTTGGAACATTTTCTGACGTGGTCGCTTCGCCTGTGTGCTACTCTGCAGGCTTCATGAACTATTACCTGGAGTATTCGAGAACGCTCTTCTCACTATACCAGCGCGGTTCCATAAACACATCGTCACCACCATTTCCGCCCTCAACCATTCAAACAGCTTTACCACCAGCAGTGACACCACCCTTGCCAGCTGCCATTCATCCCTCATACCTCCAGCCTTCCCCCTCAGCATCAATTCCTCCTCGCCCACCTCCAGTCCATATTCCTGTGCATGCAGCAGCTTCCATGGGATACCAATTTCTCCTTCCACCCACTATACAAATCACTGTGGCAACAACACCTGTGGAGGCTGAAGCCCAAGCACCGTTACCTGCTCCGTCCACACCGAACCTTGTTCCATCGGGGAGCCCTTTGAAACCCACTCAATTGCAGCTCTCATTATCAAATGAAGCTCATTCTTCCAGAGACTCTGCTGGTCTTCAAGTGACAACAGCAGCACCTGCAAGACCACTTCCTTTACTTTCACACACGAATCTGGAGCTAGGCTTGGCCATTCGCACAGCAACGTCTCCACCAGCCAAGGACGCAGATGTTGCTGTCGTTCGAGGTGAAGAGGAGGGGCGCTGCCAGCCAGCTTCACCAGTTGGAGAAGCAGAACCTTGTGGTGCTGAAAGTTCTCCAGTGGACACTCAAGCCACACCTGTCGGGGACAATGCTTATGATGCTGAGGCAGGAGGGACCACGGCGTCCAACATCACACACAGATTACTATAGACATAGGGGTTTTTTTATTAGGTAGGCCAATAGGAGTAGGATTGGTGAATCACTGATTTTGCTTGAGAACTTGCTTAATCAAATGAGCTAATGTTGCTTTGTTATATAATCAGCTAATCTTGGATACAGATGCCCCTGCACCAGATGAAGGTCAGACTAAGGTAAAGACTGGATCATAGACTGGTCAATAACTTCAAATAAGGTTGTTTTTTTCCTTTGAAGAGGACCGATGGGTGTGCTATGCAATGCAACTACAGCCAATGCAGGCTACCGGTATCATGGCTGCTCCAAAGCACTACCCAAAGAATGCACAAGCATATGTAAACTTGAGGCAGCAGCCATGGGATCTGCTAGTGCTAAGAAAACCGGTGCACTAGTTGGAGCCTGCAATATAAACCCATGCTGGCTTCATTGCAGAAACAGCATCAAAAGCTGTTCCTGGTGGTGGGTTGCAACTTGCACAGCACCCTTACTTGGCCTAACATTGCCTTTAATATGCCAAGGGGTTATCGAAGCTGCTGCTGCTGCCGCAAGAACCCAATTATTTCTTCGAAGCTTGGCCGCAGTGAGGGCTCACTGGAGGCACGAGGAGAGGAGAGATGGAGATGAAAGAGGGGGAGGGGGGAAGGGATTGTGTGGGGTGGGGGGGAGTTTGAAGGAGTTGTACCATGCAAATCAGACCATCAAGAAAGTGATGGGGATAAGAGAACATCCAAAGAACTCTAAGGGAAGCAGAAAGCAGCGAGCGGAAGCAGCAAGGAGCAGTGAGTGACTCGATGAGAGGGAAGGCATACTCGCTCCAGCATGACTTGATGACTGCTGCAACTCTGCTGTCAATCGTGTCTGGCACCTCTAGGCGCCTGTTCTGATACCCCACTGCTCCCACCACCTGACACACACACGTCACACACACGGCACACACACATGTCACATGCAGAGAGGAGCAGGGAGGAGCAAAGGCTTGCAACGAGGACATGACTCGAACATATCTGAATGCAAAATCAAGATGTTTGAACCCACCTGAAGAGCGTTGAGACCAGTCCATGGCTGCTGCATGGTTGCTAGCTCCCACAGGATCACACCAAAGCTATACACATCCGCCCTGCAATGCAACCATGTGAGGAAAAAAGCAAAAAGAGAGAGGCAAGCAGAACGCGTTGCTGTGAGTTGACCCGGGAATCGCTGCATAGTTGCTAGCTCGCACAGGATCACACCGAAGCTTTACACATCCGCCCTGCACTGCACGCAGCATAGGAGCACGCAAGGAGAGCAGGCAGGCTTAACAGGGCTCTGTGTGTGCTGGGAAGTCAGAACGTTGAGGGGCATGTTTAGGAACGGTGCGCGAGAGTTATTGGGGATGGTGGATGGGGTTGAATTGAAAGACCTACATCTCATCATAGAGCAGAATTGCTTAATGTAATGAGAAAAGGCTCATATTATATGAGTAGGAAGAGCTCACTTTTCATTGGAGGGTTCATTGCGTAACACTTCTGGAGCCATCCACTCAGGCTGCAATAGATTGACAACCATGCATGCACATGCCATGCCATCACGACACACGCAAGCAAATGTCATGCAATCACGACCCATGGAAGCACAGGTCATGCCATGCCATCATGACCCATGGAAACACAGGTCATGCCATGCCATCATGACCCATGGAAACACAGGTCATGCCATGCCATCATGACCCATGGAAGCACAGGTCATGCCATGCCATCATGACCCATGCAAGCGGATGCCACGCCATCACAAGTCATGAGGTGACAGGCGAAAAAAATTGCAACATGAAGCAGAATCCCACCAGGAAGGAGTTGGGTGCGGCCAAAGCTCTAGCTCGCCGGTCACACCCTTCCATTATTGACACGCCTCAAAGACCCAAAAAGACCACCTGAAAAAGACCAAAGATCCAAAGACCAAAGGCCAAAGATCCAGCTCACCTGTTTTTGAGAAGACTCGAAAAGAAGCTCACATGTTTGTGCGGCGACTCAAAAAAGAAGCTCGCCTGTCACACCCTTCCTATGATCCTCAAGAGACGATACAACATTTCTTCCACGCTTCCCATCTCACCCTTCCACCCTAACCTCCCACCCTTCTCAACCAACACCTATCTCCTCTCTCCCCACTCCCCCACCATTTTCTCCCCATCTCACCGTGCCAGCGCCAGAGCGGGTGGAGAGGAACGTTCGATGCTTTAATCTCGAAAGCCCAAAGTCACACACCTGGGGAAGGGTGGAACATGAGCGGGGGGAGGGGGAGGGTGAAGAGTGAGGGAGGAACGGTGAGGGATGACGGGGACAAGCGTGGAGGTTGAAGAAGGACGGGTGAGGGATGACGGGGGAAGGGTGAGGGGTGAACGATGCTGGGGAATGGTTGAAGGGTGAGGGGGGAAGAGTGAAGGGTGAGGGGGGAAGGTTGAAGGGTGAGGAGGGAAGAGTGAAGGGTTATATCTGCCGGCAGAGTAAAGAAGGTGCGCAGAATGGGTTGTAACATGCCCACACCTTGATCCTCACTCCCACCCCCATTACATGCACACCCATTACATGCACACCCATTACATGCACACCCATTACATGCACACCCATTACATGCACACCCATTACATGCACACCCATTATATGCACACCCATTATATGCACACCCATTACATGCACACCCACTACAGGCACACACCTTGACGGTCCAGTCCTTGTCCACGAGCAGGTTGGGCGTTTTGAGGTCCCGGTGAACGATGGGCGGCTTGCGCTTGTGCAGGTAGTTCATGCCCTTCGCCTGGCGGGGGGTTGATGGGAGGTGGGGGGCATGGGGGTTGATGGGAGGTGGGGGGCATGGGGGTTGATGGGGGTTGGGGGGCATCGTGATGGGGCATGCGGAATGGAGGGTGGGAATGATGTTAACTGAGGTTGGTGAACGATGGGAGGCCTGCGCTTGTGCAGGTGGATCATGCCCTTGGCCTGGCAGTGTAGGTGGTGGGTATGGGGGGTTGGGGCATGGGGAAGGGAGGGTGGGGCATGGGGAAGGGAGGGTGGGGCATGGGGAACGGGGGGGGAATGATAGTAACTGAGGTTCAGAAGCACCATGGGTGGCTAGCACTTGTGTGGATAGTTCATGCCCTTCGCCTGGGGGGTAGGTGGTGGAAGAGAATTGGGTGTGTGATGATGAATCAATTGGGGACAAGGGGTGGCTGTGTGTGATTGTAATATACATCCCACGCACATCACATCTCACCCCACCCACGCATATCCCACAACACCCCCGTACATCCCACCCCACCCATGCACATCCCACCCTACCAGCTCATCCCATCACCCACGCACATCCAATCACCCACGCACATCCCACCCCACCGGCACCTTGCTGCACCGCATCTCACCACATCAAGCGCGAAGCTCAGTCTCCGCTGAGGTGTCAGCTCGCGATTGGGCTGCTGCAGCAGCCTGAAGATACTTCCCCTGCAAAGCACACGGGCAGGTGGCAAAACACACAGAATTAGAGAGAGAATTTAGCATATTTGAGGAAAATAACAAGAATAAAACAAAATAGAGCAAACAAGCATGAGAGATGCAGGCCCACCCTTGGGACGTATCGAAACTGCAAGAACCAGACGCACGGCGGGCAGAACTAGGTGACTAGAAAGAGGGAGGTGAGTTGGGCACCTACGAACACGTTAAAAGAATCAACCTACCGCGGGCAAAACTCGGTGACTATAGAGAGGTGGGGCGGGCGGGTGACAGCACCCATAAGGTAGAGCACGTTGGGATGGCGCGCCTTGAACATTATGGCCACCTGATTTGAAGGGGGGAAGAAGGGAGGGTGTGCGCAAGAGCAAGGCGCAACGAGATGAGGAATGGAAGGGCGGAGACAGCACCGTCATGAGGAGACTTTTGAGGCGCCTCAAAAATACTTTTTAGGCGCCTCAAAAGGAAGGGCGGAGACAGCACCCTCATGAGGTAGAGCACGCACGCTGGGGTGCTCATGGTCTCATCAGGCATGGTCTCATCAGGCATGGTCTCATCAGGCATGGTCTCATCAGGCATGGTCTCATCAGGCATGGTCTCATCAGGCATGGTCTCATCAGGCATGGTATCTCATGCATAGAATCATCCCCAGACCGCTTTCAACATTATGGCCACCTGATGGTATCATCTCATGCGCGTACGGTTTCATCTCATCTCTGTAGGGTTTCATCTCATCTCTGTACGTTTCATCTCATGCGTGCATGGTTTCATCTCATGCGTGTACGGTTTCATCTCACCTCTGTTCTAAAGTCCTCGAGAGCATGTGAGCCCAAGTCCTGGTCTAGAAAAACCTTCACTGCCACATCCTGGGGGCAGCAGGGGGAAGGGGCGAGGGGAGGGCAGGACGCAGGGGAGAGGGAAGGGATGCATGGGAGGGAGGCAAAGAGGAAAGAGTATTTTTTAGAATTCCCAGAAATACCCTGCAGCATGAGGGAAGGGATGCATGGGAGGGAAGGGATGCATGGGAGGGAGGCAAGAGGAAAGAGAGAAAAGATGCTTCAGTGCCACTTCCTGGGAGCAGCAGGGGCAAGGGGTGACGAGTGGGAGGGAGGGAGGGGAAAGGGGAGAGGGGAGAGGGGAGGGGAGTGGGGAGTGGGGAGTGGGGAGTGGGGAGTGGGGAGTGGGGAGTGGGGAGTGGGGAGTGGGGAGTGGGGAGTGGGGAGTGGGGAGTAGGGAGTGGGGAGAGGGGAGTGCAAAAAGGGGGGGAATGGAGGTTGACTGGATAGACGATGCAGCAAGGGGGAGCGGGAGAGGGGCAAGTGCACGAAAATGAGAGCGGGGTGAGTGGGAAGGGGGGACGCGGGAGGAGACGGGGAAAAATGGACGAGAGAGGGGAAAGCAAGGCACAGAAGCACAGAAGCACAGCACTCACCGATCCCTGCCACTCTCCCCGATACACCGTGCCGTAAGAACCTGGATCGATGGATGGATGGAGTGGGGTGGGGTGGGGTGGGGTGGGGTGGGGTGGGGTGGGGTGGGGTGGGGTGGGGTGGGGTGGGGTGGGGTGGGGACAGAGGGCAGTGGCACAAGGGTTGGATTGTGCGTGCACAGAGTGCGGTACGGGGCGGTGCAGGGATGGCGTAGAGAGGTTGGGGGTGGTGCAGAGAGAGTGGGATGGTGGGGGAACAAGTGGGAGTGTCACTCTCAACTCAAGCCACGCTTTCTCTGCTCTGCTCCTTTCCTCACTCCGCTCTCCCTCTCCTCTCCTTTCTCTCACCTTGCCCTATTCTCTCTCGCAGGTGCATGTTAGCCCAGTCGATTTCAAGCTCTTTCATTGCTCATCGCAGCACCATAACAGCACTCTGACCCACTCAACCAACTACTGGCAGCCAATCTCCCTCTTCCTTGCTCCCCGCTCCCCTCTCCTCTCCCCTCTCCTCTTCCCTCTCACCTTGCCCTATTCTCTCTCGAAGGTGCATGTCAGCCCAGTCGATTTCAAGTTCTTTCATTGCCCATCGCAGCACCATAGCCCCTTCATCCACCATCTCCCGCGGCCCCCCCGCCCCTCCCCGCTCCTCCTCCCCCCTCTCCTCCTCCGTCTCCCTCCCCCTTCCCCCTTTCCGCCCTCCCCTCGCCCTCCCCGTCCCCTTCTCCCCCCCCTTGCCTTTCCTCCCCTTCCCCCCTTTCCCTGGCGCCACCACTCCCCACCCCTCCATAATCCCCCCTTTCCCTCTAGCGCCTCTCCCCCCTGCTCCGCCCTCTCCCCCTGCTCCACCTGCCCCTTGCGCCCATGCGACTTCCCCCCCTGCGCCCCCCAGAACACCCGCTCACTGCCTGCTGGACTCTTAAGCCATTTCCCCAGCATCCCCCCGCTGCTTCCCCCCCCCTCCGCCATTCCCCCAGATGCGCCCGCGCCCCCTCCTCCCCCACTCCGCTCCGCCCCCCCAGCACCACCTCGGGGGGATTATCCCCTTGCCCCACACTTCCCCCTACTCCCCCCACTGCCCCTCCGCCCCCTCCGCCCGCTCCCCCTGCTTCCCCCAACGCGCTAAGGCTGCCTGAGCGCCTCTCTGCTACTCCGCCAGCAGCATCCGCGCCCCCTGCCCCTCCCCCCGCGCTCCCCCTTCCCCCCGACGCTCCCCCCTGCCCCCACACCCCCCTTCTAATCCCGCACCCGCAACTGCTCCGCCCTGCAAACCGCTGCTGCGTTGCCAGGGCATAAACCGACGGCTCAGATTCAATCCCCGCCCCAGCAGCCCCGCCTCCTCCCCCTCCTTCCGCTCCCCCTCCCCCTGACCCTCCCCTCCCGTCCCCACTCGCCCCTTGCCCTCCCCCCGCCCCTGCGCCCTCCCCCCCTGCGCCGGGCTGCTGGGGGGAGGGCGCAGAGAGGCGGGGGGGACGCGAGTGCAGGTGCAGGCGCGCGGACTGGGCGGGGGAGGCGGACCAGGGGGAGGGGAGGTCGAACTGCAGGGGGGACCTGAGGAAGGCGGGACCTGCCACGGTGCCATCGTGTGAGCGAGAGGCCATCTGACCCGGATGTCTCATCACATCTACCAGCCACTCCCTGACGGGGGCAGAGGGACAGGGAGAGCAGAGGGGAAGGTGAGAGGGAGGGAAGGGCGATCTGAGCAAGGCGGGACCTGCCACAGTGCCATCGTGGGACCGGGAAGCCATCTGGCCCGGATGCTTCATCACGTCTACCAGCCACTCCCTGTGGAAAGGAGAGGAGGGAGGGAGGGGGGCGGTGTGAGGGACAAAGTAGAGGCAGCAAAGCGGAGCGTGGGGCCAAAAGAGCGAGAGGCATGACAGAGAGGTGCGGCAGAGAAGAGAAGGGGGGTGAAGGGGAGGGGGGGGAAAGCAGGGGGGAGCAGGGCAACAGAGTACTGCAGCTGTTGTGCTGACGTCAGCGTTAGCAAGCTGTAAATGTTGTTTGTGGTGACCTTTGTTCCAGCACTCTGTGCACGTGGTGCTGACGTCAGCCATAGCAGTCTGTGCACGTGGTGCTGACGTCAGCCATAGCAGTCTGTGCACGTGGTGCTGACGTCAGCCATAGCAGCCTGTGCACGTGGTGCTGACGTCAGCCATAGCAGCATGTGCACGTGGTGCTGACGTCAGCCATAGCACTCTGTGCACGTGGTGCTGACGTCAGCCATAGCAGCATGTGCACGTGGTGCTGACGTCAGCCACAGCAGCCTGTGCACGTGGTGCTGACGTCAGCCATAGCAGCCTGTGCACGTGGTGCTGACGTCAGCCACAGCAGCCTGTGCACGTGGTGCTGACGTCAGCCATAGCAGCCTGTGCACGTGGTGCTGGCGTCAGCCATAGCACTCTGTGCACGTGGTGCTGACGTCAGCCACAGCAGCCTGTGCACGTGGTGCTGACGTCAGCCATAGCAGCCCGTGCACGTGGTGCTGACGTCAGCCCTAGCCTGCTGTGCACGTGGTGCTGACGTCAGACCTAGCCTGCTGTGTATGTATTTACCTGTTGTGGCGGCAGCGTGTGGCAATGAGCGCCTCCCCATTGGTCCCTCGAATCATGCGACACGGGATGCCAAAGTAATCTGCTAGAGCCTGAGAGCGAGCAAGCAGGGGAGAAACACACAGGGGTGTGCAAGAGAGAATCTTCAAGTCTACTCCTAGTTCAGGGGAGAAACACACAGGACCCAGTTCCTCCTCATATCATGCAGGAAGATTCTTGCCCTCACAAACAGTTTCGTTGCGTTTGTGAGACCCAGTTCCTCCTCATATCATGCAGTCTGTCCTCCTCATATCATGCAGTCTGTCCTCCTCATATCATGCAGTCTGTCCTCCTCATATCATGCAGTCTGTCCTCCTCATATCATGCAGTCTGTCCTCCTCATATCATGCAGTCTGTCCTCCTCATATCATGCAGTCTGTCCGCCCTCACAAATGCAAGAAAGAAACTTACCTTGAAGATCAGCTTACTTTGAATAGAAACTAACCTTGAAGATCAGCTTACTTTAAATAGAAACTAACCTTGAAGATCAGCTTACTTTAAATAGAATCTAACCTTGAAGATCAGCTTACTTTAAATAGAAACTAACCTTGAAGATCAGCTTAGTTTGAATAGAAACTAACCTTGAAGAGCAGCGCGCGGTGGCGACTCAGACCTAGCTTGATGCTCCCGATGAGCATGATGGGTGATCCAGCCCGCACCCGCACCCTGCTCCCTGCTCTCCCTAACCAGCTTTTGAGTCGATTCAAAAAGAAACTAACCTTGAAGAGCAACGCGCGGTGGCGACTCAGACCCAGCTTGATGCTCCCAATGAGCATGATGGGCGATCCTAGCCCTAGAGCTCAGCATACTTGTGACCTGTAAGAGCAATTTACCTTCAAGGGCAATTCATCTTGAAGGGGAATTTACCTTGAAGAGCAGCGCGCGGTGGCGACTCAGACCCAGCTTGATGCTCCCAATGAGCATGATGGGCGATCCTAGCCCTAGAGCTCAGCATACTTGTGACCTGTAAGAGCAATTTACCTTCAAGGGCAATTCATCTTGAAGGGGAATTTACCTTGAAGAGCAGCGCGCGGTGGCGACTCAGACCCAGCTTGATGCTCCCAATGAGCATGATGGGCGATCCTAGCCCTAGAGCTCAGCATACTTGTGACCTGTAAGAGCAATCTACCTTCAAGGGCAATTCATCTTGAAGGGGAATTTACCTTGAAGAGCAGCGCGCGGTGGCGACTCAGACCCAGCTTGATGCTCCCGATGAGCATGATGGGCGACCCGGCCCGCACCCTGCTCTCCCGAGCCAGCTCCTCCCAAACCTCCTGAACAGGTTTGGCACCGAGAAGAGGTGAACATGCGGGAAAAGAAGGGGGGTTGTTGAAAGGGGCATGTTAAGTGGGGCCAAGATGGAGTGTGCGACGTGACTTAGAGAGAGAGGAAACAGAGATGTGCAGTGATGGGGCGCTTTTGAGAATTCTCAAAAGCAACAGAGCTACACGGGGTTTTGGGATGTCAGTAAATGTGCAGCGATGGGGGGAGTGGAAGAGAAGAGAGGACGAAAAGGGAAAGGAGGAAACAGGAGGGGGGGGGGGGGGGGGGGGGGGGGGGGGGGGGGAGGGAGGGAGGGAGGGAGGAAGGGAGGGAGGGAGGGAGGGAGGGAGGGAGGGAGGGAGGGAGGGAGGGAGGGGGTGTGGAACAGGGGAGGAGGCACATGTGTTGAAGTAAGAAACGAGTGGACTGGAAGGAGGGCAGCAGGTGAAGGGAGTAGGTGAGCGGCTCACATAGATCGCTTCGTCGTTGGGCACGGGCCCTCCCATGGCCTGTCTGTGCTACCACGACGGCATTTAGATTGGTTTGCAACGAGTCAAAACAGATTGATTATCACGCAGAATGTTTTTTGAGAATTCTCAAAAAAACATTCCCTCCCATGGCCTGTCTGTGCTACCACGACGGCATTTAGATTGGTTTGCAACGAGTCTAAACAGATTGATTATCACGCAGAATGAAGCGAGCAGGAGTGGATAAGAAACTCACATAGATCTCTTGGTCGCTTTTCGAGTCGACTCAAAAATCGACTCATCACACGCGGAGTGGATAAGACACTCACATAGATCTCTTGGTCGTTGGGCACAGGGCCCCCCATGGCGTCTGCTACCACCCTGGTAGGGTAGCACACAGAGGAATGAGAATGGACGGACAGTGGGGCGACGTGAAAAAAGGAGTGTTTTGAGACGTCTCAAAATGCTACCACCCTGGTAGGGTAGCACACAGAGGAATGCGAATGGACAGTGGGGCGAGGGAGGGGAGCGAAAGGCGAGAGGGAGGGAAAAGGGAGAGAGGAAAGGGATGGGGGGTGGAAGGAACGAGAGTGGACAGAAGGGACAAGGACACGAGCAGGACGGCAATAGAGGGGAGCGCGGGAGAGGGGAGAGGAAGAGAATGGAAAAGAGGGGAACGGAAACGGAGGGACACTGGAGTGTGGATTCGATGGGATGGGAACAGGTGATAGACAGCGCAGCATGTCCCCCTCCCACCCGACCCACCAGCACACACAGCAAACCCACCAACCCCACCGCACTCCACCTACCTTGCAACGTCACCCGCTGCGCGCCCCTCTCCCCCCCTCGCCCCCCCTCGCCCCCCCTCGCCCCCCCTCGCCCTGCCCCTGCGCCTTCCCTCGCCCAGCAGCCAGCCTGGCAACCAGCCTTCTCAAAGAGGCATCCTCCTCCAAGTCCACGAGCACCACGTCCGCCGCCGTGCCATGCGCCTGTATGTAGCATCCGCAGCATGCCCAGCGTCGGCATGTGGCCCTGCCCGGCCCTGCCCGGCCCTGCCCCACACACCCATCCATCCCACCCCACCCCACCCCACCCCACCCCACCCCACCCCACCCCACCCCACCCCACACACCTCAACCACCCCACCCCTAGCACATTCAACCTACCCACCCCACCCCAGCCACTCCACCCCACCCCATCCCACCCACCTCAACCACCTCAACCACCTCAACCACCCAACCCCAGCACATTCAATTCAACATACCTTGCAACGTCACCCGCTGTAGGCTCGCCGCTCCTCTGCCCTGCGTCTCCCCCCCCCCTGCGTTTGCGCTTTCCCGCGCCCCCCTGCCAGCCTGGCAACGAGCTTCAGGAGCCCATTGTCCTCCTCCAAGTCAACAGCACCAAGACCACCGCCGTGTCATGCGTTGCCAGCAGTCGCAGCATGTCCAGAGTCAGCATGTGGCCCGGCCCTCTCCATAACCACCCACCCCACCCCACCCCACCCCACCCCCCCTGCCCTGCCAGCCTGGCAACGAGCTTCAGGAGCCCATTGTCCTCCTCCAAGTCAACAGCACCAATACCACCGCCGTGTCATGCGTTGCCAGCAGTCGCAGCATGTCCAGAGTCAGCATGTGGCCCGGCCCTCTCCATAACCACCCACCCCACCCCACCCCACCCCACCCCACCCCACCCCACCCCACCCCACCCCACCCCACCCCAGCATATAGAACCTACCTTGCAACGTCACCCGCCGTAGGCTCGCCATTCCTCTGTCCCTCCGCCTCCCCCTGCTTCCCCTGCTTCCCACAACCAGCGGCCAGCTTAGACACCAGCTTCCTCAGCGAGGAATCTTCCTCGAAGTCAACCAGCACCACGTCCACCGCCGTGTCGTGCGCCGCCAGCTGGCGCAGCATGTCCAGCGTCGGCATGTGGCCCTGCCCGCGCGCCTCCGCGCACACGCCCCACACCTTGGCGTTTAGTGCCGACCCAAACACCCCGTAGAATCGCGAGTCCGCCGCGTCGCTGTATTCCAGGACTTGGGTGGTCTGGGGAGTGGTGGGGAGTGGTGGGAGTTGGTGGGGAGTGGTGGGGAGTGGTGGGAGGGGATGAGAGCACTGACTTCACACGCCCCACACCTTGGCGTTCAGCGCGGACCCAAACACCCCGTAGAACCGCGAGTCCGCCGCGTCGCTGTATTCCAGGACTTGAGTCGTCTGGGGAGGGGTTGGGAACGGTGGGGAGCGGTGGAGAGGTGGGGAATGGTGTGGGGAGCAGTGACGGAAAAAAAGTTCATTGTCTTCACGCGCGAACCCTAAGTGTGCGGGGAATGCGGGGGCCTCACGAGCTACGCGTTTTCAGACGTCTTAGGGATCCAAACCCTAAGTGCGAATGCGTTACGATTCACGCACAAGCGTTACAAGCCTTGCTAGCAGCGCGGCGCACCAACCGAATCGAGTTCATTCCGTCAAATGCATTGCGACAGACGCGCACCCAGCGAGATGCATGCACGCACGCACGCATGTACGCAGCTAGTTAACCCTACGTACATCATTACTACACTACACCGCGATCGCAACGGACGTCCTAGAAACTGACATTGCCCTATTTCCCACAAGGCGAGGGACACAGACGACAACGCGTGATGCTACAGTGTATCGTTGCAACAGGGCACGCTACAACCAACGCACGCATTCTCGACGCGCGCGCGCGCGTGGTCAGAACTTCGCGCTCACCCAGAGCCAAAAGATGAATCGCTCCAGCTCCCACGGTTTCTACACGCAACAGGGTATACTATAATGCGATAGGTTACACTACAACGCGTGCGAAACATAGGTGATCAGAACTTCGCGCCCACCCAGAACCGGAAAATGCATCGCTCCAGCTCCCAAGGATGCTACAAGCAACAAGGTACACTGTAACGCAGTAGTGTACAGTACAGTACAGCGCATGCATTCTCGACATGCGCGGCGCGCTCACCCAGAACCGAAAGATGCATCGTTCCAGCTCCCAGGGATGCAGCTTATGACCCGGCCGCCGCTCGTCCTCCTCCCTCCCCCGCGCGACACTCCCGTCGTCCCTCCCCCCTTTCCGCGCGCCCCCTCTCCGCCTATCCCCCGCGCCCGTCACCCCCTTCCCCCGCGCGTCGAACTCCGCAAAGTCCAAACCCGCCCGCCCGGACCCGCGCCGCCTCTCGCTGGCTTCGTCTAGAAACGACGCCTCGGCGGCGAGGCGCAGCGCGAGGGCTAGTTGAAGCCGGTAGTCCTCGCCAGCGCGCTCGAAGTTGATATCTTTGGACGGTTTCGAGTCAGCTACTAACGAGGATGAGATGGAGGAAGGAGGCTCGGAGGCGGTAACGGATGAGAAGGCGGAGTGGGAGGCGAGGGAAGAAAGATGCTGCTGCTGCTGCTGCTGATGCTGCTGCAGTAACTGCTGCTGTTGATAATGCTGCTGTAGCTGCTGCTGTAGCTGCTGCTGTAGGTGCTGCTGCTGTAGCTGCTGCTGCTGAAGTTGTAGTTGCATGTTCTGCGCTGCGCGCATTTGAATAACTCGCTGCATCGCCGCATCGCCATCTCCGTGAGTCATAACGTCTCTATCCGTCCCTAACGGGTCGCCTATATCGGAGTACCCAGCGTCTCCAGCGTAGTAGTGCCTGGAACCAACGGCTAGATCATCCTCGAAGCTTCTATACGCTTGATGATCTCCTATTAATCGGACGGCCTCCATTTCGTCTGCGAAGGAGCTGGTCGCCATATCCGAACGATTCCGGTCGGTCTGATTGGCGAAGTCTTTATTTGCGAGATCCATCTGGGTAGCAGATATCAGAGCTCTAGAGAACACTTGTTGCATCACACTCCTGAAGTTAAATTCTAAATTAGCTTGTTGAGAAAGTTTAACAAGGAGGGACACCACACGAATCATAAAACGGAGAAACTAACTAATCCGAGACTGGCAATCAACAAAGAACGGGCGAAACTATGTCAGCCCTCCCACTACAAAAAGGTGAGACGAAAATTCACTACAAAACACGGCCGCAACGCCACATTAAACCGTCCGGCCGAATCAGACGGCTTCGCTTGCGCAACAAGCTCTGTCCATGTGCGTCATCGCTCACGGCAAATAAGCACCGCACGCCGCGGTGCAACTCAAAAGCTCCCTGTAGGGTTTTGCAGCATTCAGCCTCGGCGCGTGGAGAAGATGGAGCATGTGTGTTGGAGCTTGTGTTTTGTAGTGGAGGGGGAGGAGAGAAGCGGCTGTCCTGTGCAACCTGGAAACTGCACTGCAGTCTGTTCCGCAACTCTCGTTTCTCACTTTATCCTCCACGTCACTCTCGGAGTCGATGTTGACGAAGCGTCATAAGGGTAACATGATCAGTTACATACAGCTGTCGTCTCTTCCCATAGTTTGCCCAGACGAGTGGTGGAGATTGGGTAGTGGCGAGCAATCCAGGGCATCCCTCCAGCAATCAGTTACATTCGCGGAGCAAAAATGCCGAGTCAACGAAGCCGTGGACGAAAGTTCGCCAGACTCAGGCTTCAGTCAAGCGAGGCTGACGGGGCGGGCAATCCAGGGCGTCCCTCCAGCACGACACTGCCAAGCTGCCAACGACGCCTCACGGACGGAATCACCACGCAACCCCGGCAGGAAGACGCGGCTACAGTGTGCTTTTTCGCGTCCGGCCAACGAACTCATTGCGAAAAGCGCGTCTTCGCGACAACGATGAGACACGCCCCATGACGACGAACACATCGCGGAATTGTCGGTGACAAGTAGCTGCCACAGACGAATTGACCTCATGCAAATGGGTCCGATTTCATTGAAAGGTTCGTGATGGGATTCGTTGTACATCTCAGTCGGAATTTAGCAACAGCTGGGAATGAAATTTGGCAGCCGCTGGTTGGCTGAAATTAATTCAGGCAGCAGGTCCACGCCCGCGGCAGCACTGTACACGCTAAGCCAATCAAACCATTTCGCGGGATGCGGAAACAATCACTGGTGCTTGCACGAGGAATTGCAGGTGATTTCGTTGGTAGAACCCCTACCATTCCCGAACATCACAGGTACAGTCCATACCTATCACACATAAGAATAAAATGATGTTGTTACAGGGGTATCCCTGCAAACTAGAATTCTTGATTTATATTCCCAGCTACGCACTTGTTTTTCTCCTGGTGTGCACCGTGTGTAACAGCTTTAGGCAGATGAACCAGGATGTATATGATATTCTAAGTAATCCAGCCTCCTCTTGCTTGTTTCCTTTATTCATTCCCCTTGTCATTTCTATCTTCCAAAATCACTAATCTGAATCTCACTAGTATTCCAAAAACACACAAAACTACATGGATCCTCCCGAAAACCTATCACTGCCACTTGCAGTACCTCCCCCTGTCCCACCTGCCCCGCCGCTCAACGAGCCTGTCCCAGATGAACCTGCTCGAGCCCTCTGCAGCTGCCTCAGCCGGAAAATATCCCGCACTGGCGGGGGCTTGCGTGCCCTCGCCTCCGCATTTGCTATCTCCTCCTCTGATTGGTGGATTGGGGAGGGCGGCGAGGGGCAGGGGAGAGAAGGGGAGAGGCGTAGTGGAGGGGAGCAAAGATGGGGGGGAGGTTGTTTGTGTAGCTGGAAATGTGTTGCACTGGCGGGGGCTTGCGTGCTCTGGCCTCTGCATTTGCCATGTAGTCCTCTGCTTGGGAGGAAGAGGAGTGGACAGGGAGAGGGAGGAAGGGACGGGTCGGGTTTGTATTCTTCTTAAAATAGAATATATATATATATAGCACGATCAGAAATGTATTCATAAATACTACGGCGAACAAGGAGCCGCACCTTCCTGCTCCTTGCGCTTGCTGCCGGCCAATGGGGTGGCGCCACCTGTCCCTCCACCTGGCCCAGGAGCCCCAGGTGCCATCCCAGGTGGCGCGGTGCGGTGCAGACCACCTGATTTGGCTGCTAGCGCCTCAGGTGGGAGCTCTGCTTGAATGACAAGTGACATTATGAAATCCACATCGGGATAGGGGCCTGGCAGAGAGAGGGCAGGGAAGGGAGGGGAGTACCAGTGCGGGGGGGAGGGGGGTTTATCCACTCAACACATGCACGGAACTTTTGAATGACAAGTGGTGGGAGTGGGGCAAGAGGAGAGTTAAAGGGGGATGGGAGCAGAGGGAGGAGGTCAGGGGGATGGGGGGTAGGGCAATATCGCCATTCACTGAAAAGAAAAGGAGGAAAAATATATTTATATATATAAACATATGTATATACAAATACCAAATAACTCACCGGGCACAGGAGGAGGAAGCTGGGATACGAAGTGCGCGAGGGACCTGGGCAGACCCTCAAGAAGCTTCGAAGAAGCTGCAATGCCATGCTTGCGACCGGAACCTGGCATGGCAGGGCATGGCAGGGCAGGGCAGCGAATGGGAGGGGAGGGAAGCGGGAGGGAAGGCAGGGGAAGGGAGGCCAGAGCAGGGCAGGGCAAGGCATGTGAGGTCATGGCTGTGCGGGTAAGTTGAGGTCAGCTGAGAGATAAGGGCACAGAAAGAGCAGAGGATCAGCTTTAGGGGAGATGCTGCCAGCACACCCACACATACATTCTCAATCATTCAGTCATACACTCTCATCCATCCACTCACCCACCCACTCACACACTAGCCAGCCAGTCAGAAACCCACTCAATCACTCACTCACTAACTCCCTCACTCACTCACTCACTAACTCCCTCACTCACTCATTCACTCTTTCACTCACCAGGTTTCCACTCCACAGCAGCACTCGCCACGAACTGATGTGTCTTCACACCCGTTGGTACTGCCATTCGCTCCCTCGGCTGCTGCTTTTTTTTTGGAGTGCCTCAAAAGGAACCCACGCACTCAATACCTCACGCACTCACTCACACACTTCTTCAGTCGCTCACTCACCCACTCACCAGGTTTCCACTCCACAGCAGCACTCGCCACGAACTGATGTGTCTTCACACCCGTCGCCCCTGCTGCCCCCTCCCTCTGCTGCTGCTGCTCTCCCCTCTCCGCCCCACCCTTCTCCCCACCCTCTGTCGCCCCACCAGCACCAGCACCAGCACCAGCACCAGCACCAGCACCATCAGCACCAACAGCCGCCCCAGGCCCCTCCCCCCCCCCACCCTCTGCTTCCGCCTTCACCTGTCTAGAAGTCGCCTCCTCTTTTACCCTCCCCTCTTCCCCTCCTCCTGCCGCTGCCACTGCCCCCGCTGCTGCTGCTCCCCCTCCTGCTGTTCCTGCTGCCCCTGCTGCCCCTCCTCCCGCTGCTGCTCCTGCTGTCCCCTCACGAGGCATGAGCACAGCAGCAGCAGCGGCCAGAGCAGCAGAGAGAGAGGAGACAGCAGGGGGTGCAGGCCCTATGCCTTGAGACAGAGACACGGAGGGAGGCAGAGGAGGAGGCAAGGACGATTCCTGAGGTTCCGCCTTCACTCCTCCTCTCGAAACGCTGTCCCTCTGCACTCCTGCCCCCCTGCTGCTACTTGTGCTGCTTCTGCCGCCACTGCCGCTGCTGCCGCCGCTGCTTCTGCTGTCCCTGCTCCTGTGCCGGCTGCTGCTGTGCTTGCTGCTGCTCTTTCTCCTCTCTCTGCTGCTCTTTGACCTGCTTCCCGGACCTGATCCTCCCCTGACCCTTGCCGAGCCTGCGTTACCTTCGGACCTGCTGAGCCTGCTTCTAGGTTCGGTGGGAGAGCTGACGCGTCACAAGGCAACAGGCCGCAGTAGCTGAACCGGTCTACCAGGTCATGCTGCTCCCGCCAAACCTCCATCTCAGGCTCGGCAGCGCCGCCCGGACCTGCTACAGAAGCTAGAGCTTTTCTCCGACCCTCTTGTGCCTGAGTGACAGGTAGAGTGAATCAGGAAGGAAGGTATCAGAAAGCGCGGATGCGCGGTTTCAGCTGGACAAAATATTTTCCAAAAGCTGTCTAAGCTCTTAGCATTCCTGTAAATGCATTTACAATGTGAGAAGCATGAGATGAAAGGTTACCTTGATGAGTGAATTGAGGTCCCCAAACAGCTGCTCGCACTCAATAAGCTCCTCCCACAGCTGAGGACGGAGGAGAAAGGTGGAGAACGGTGGAAAAAGGTGGAGAGTGGAGAGTTAAGGTTGAGTTTGAGGAAACCGGAATTACTGAGCATTAGAACCTTGCTTGGGGTTGACTTTTGAGACGTCTCAAAGGTGGAGTTTGAGGAAACCGGAATCACTGAGCAACAGAACCTTGCTTGGGGTTGGGGGTCATGAAAGCACTGACCACAGGTGCGGAGTGGGGTGGGGGGAAGTCATGGGGGGAGAGGGGGATGGGGGGAGAGAGGGATGGGGGAGAGGGGGATGGGGGGAGAGGGGATGGGGGGAGAGAGGGATGGGGGGAGAGAGGGATGGGGGGAGAGAGGGATGGGGGGAGAGAGGGATGGGGGGAGAGAGGGATGGGGGGAGAGAGGGAAGGGGGGAGAGAGGGATGGGGGAGAGAGGGATGGGGAGAGAGGGATGGGGGGAGAGAGGGATGGGGGGAAAAGGGATGGGGGGAGAGAGGGATGGGGGGAAAAGGGATGGGGGGAGAGAGGGATGGGGGGAGAGAGGGGGGGAGAGAGGGAAGGGGGGAGAGAGGGATGGGGAGAGAGAGGGATGGGGGGAGAGAGGGATGGGGGGAAAAGGGATGGGGGGAGAGAGGGATGGGGGGGGAGAGGGAAGGGGGGAGAGAGGGATGGGGGGAGAGAGGAGGGGGGGAGAGAGGGATGGGGGAGAGAGGGATGGGGGGAGAGAGGGTTCCCCGCATGGCCTTGCCGTTGCTGAGGGTTGAGGCAACTTTTGAGATGCCTAAAAAAAGACTCACAAGCAGCCATTTGCTCATGTGTCACAGCTGTCATGCCATGCCATGCCATGCCATGCCACCAGAAAGCACTGACCATGAGTGCAGAGTGCGGAGGAAGGGAGGGGGACGCTAGAGCGCCCTGCAGCAACTCCCGCATTGCATGGCCGTCGTTGAGACTAGCAGCAGGCAATGCGGGAGTTGCTGCGGGAGTTGCTGCGGAGCAGGGTGACTTGCAAGCAGCAGACTGCTCATGCGTCACAGTCACAGCTGCCATGGCACCGCTGACAGCACTCACCATGAGTGCAGCGCTGACAGCACTCACCATGAGTGCAGCGCTGACAGCACTCACCATGAGTGCAGCGCTGACAGCACTCACCATGAGTGCAGCGTGCGGTGGGAGGGACGGGGACGCTAGGGCGCCCTGCAGCAACTCCCTCATTGCATGGCCGTCGTTGAGACGACTCAAGAAGCGCGAGAACCTAAAAATGGGGAGAGGGGAGGGAGTGGGGGGGGAGAGGGGAGGGAGTGGGGGGGAGAGGGGAGGGAGTGGGGGGGGAGAGGGGAGGGAGTGGGGGGGGAGAGGGGAGGGAGTGGGGGGGGAGAGGGGAGGGAGTGGGGGGGGAGAGGGGAGGGAGTGGGGGGGGAGAGGGGAGGGAGTGGGGGGGGAGAGGGGAGGGAGTGGGGGGGGAGAGGGGAGGGAGTGGGGGGGGAGAGGGGGAGGGAGTGGGGGGGGAGAGGGGAGGGAGTGGGGGGGAGAGAGGGGAGGGAGTGGGGGGGAGAGGGGAGGGAGTGGGGGGGGAGAGGGAGGGAGTGGGGGGGGCGGGAAGTGTGGCATGCCGCAGCAACTTTCAAATTTTAAGGGTCGCCACCAGCAACTTTCATCTTTCAATTGTATTTCTTCTACAGCAATAGGATCAGACCCAAAGTCACCTACTCACCTGCCTGCCCGCCCGCCCGCCAACCCTCTCACCCACCCTCCCGCCGCCCTCTCACCCAACCACTCACTCGCGCACAAAGCCAGGCTCTGACCCAAACTTCTTCATCCCCAGCTGAAACACGTTCCGCGCCACCTGTGGGGACGAGAGTGGAGGGGGAGGCGGGAGGGAGTAGAAAGCCGGCAGGGAGGAGGAGGGGAGAGGGACTCCCTTTACAATCACATCCCCTTGCTACTCAATGTGGAACACGTGGAATGAACACTCCATGCTACTCACTTGCCGGACTCCCTTTACAATCACATTTCCTCACCATGCCCATTATATTATAGTCACCTTGCCCCCCTTGCGCACCTTGCTCTCCTTGTTGTGGCACAGCTCCATATAAGCCGAAGCCACATACACGTGGAACGAGCACTCCCGCGCCTTCCTCGCCGCCAGAAACGCCTTTCTCGCCGCCTCCATGCCCTCTGTGCGGCGGAGAAAGCGCATGAGCTGAGGGGGGGGGGGAGAGGGGGGGGCGAGCGGGTAGGGCGAGGAAGGCATGCGTGCAGTGCAGTGGGCGTGAGTGGGGAGGGGAAGGAAAGACACCTGGATGTGTGCGAGGGGGCACCTGTGGAGTGGGGTGCGGTGGAGTCCGGTGAAGTGGAGAGGGGAAGATACCTGGATGTGAGCGAGGGGGCAGCGAGTGGCGGAATCTCCCACCATCTGCTCGTACACAGCTTTGGCTGCCTGCGGGGGGTGGTGTGCAGTGGGGTGCGGTGAAGCAGGGCGCGGTGAGATTTGGTGGGATGGCATGGGGTGGAGCAGGGTGGGGTGCGGTAGAAAACGGCCCGTGGGAAATGTTAGTGATGGCAGGCAGGCCGTCTCTCACCCAGCCAATCATGTCCCCCCCACACTCCCACACATGCATCCCTTATTTTCCCCTCGTTCATCACACTCCCACACATGCATCCCTTATTTTCCCCTCGTTCATCACACTCCCACACATGCATCCCTTATTTTCCCCTCGTTCATCACACTCCCACACATGCATCCCTTATTTTCCCCTCGTTCATCACACTCCCACACATGCATCCCTTATTTTCCCCTCGTTCATCACACTCCCACACATGCATCCCTTATTTTCCCCTCGTTCATCACACTCCCACACATGCATCCCTTATTTTCCCCTCGTTCATCACACTCCCACACATGCATCCCTTATTTTCCCCTCGTTCATCACACTCCCACACATGCATCCCTTATTTTCCCCTCGTTCATCACACTCCCACACATGCATCCCTTATTTTCCCCTCGTTCATCACACTCCCACACATGCATCCCTTATTTTCCCCTCGTTCATCACACTCCCACACATGCATCCCTTATTTTCCCCTCGTTCATCACACTCCCACACATGCATCCCTTATTTTCCCCTCGTTCATCACACTCCCACACATGCATCCCTTATTTTCCCCTCGTTCATCACACTCCCACACATGCATCCCTTATTTTCCCCTCGTTCATCACACTCCCACACATGCATCCCTTATTTTCCCCTCGTTCATCACACTCCCACACATGCATCCCTTATTTTCCCCTCGTTCATCACACTCCCACACATGCATCCCTTATTTTCCCCTCGTTCATCACACTCCCACACATGCATCCCTTATTTTCCCCTCGTTCATCACACTCCCACACATGCATCCCTTATTTTCCCCTCGTTCATCACACTCCCACACATGCATCCCTTATTTTCCCCTCGTTCATCACACTCCCACACATGCATCCCTTATTTTCCCCTCGTTCATCACACTCCCACACATGCATCCCTTATTTTCCCCTCGTTCATCACACTCCCACACATGCATCCCTTATTTTCCCCTCGTTCATCACACTCCCACACATGCATCCCTTATTTTCCCCTCGTTCATCACACTCCCACACATGCATCCCTTATTTTCCCCTCGTTCATCACACTCCCACACATGCATCCCTTATTTTCCCCTCGTTCATCACACTCCCACACATGCATCCCTTATTTTCCCCTCGTTCATCACACTCCCACACATGCATCCCTTATTTTCCCCTCGTTCATCACACTCCCACACATGCATCCCTTATTTTCCCCTCGTTCATCACACTCCCACACATGCATCCCTTATTTTCCCCTCGTTCATCACACTCCCACACATGCATCCCTTATTTTCCCCTCGTTCATCACACTCCCACACATGCATCCCTTATTTTCCCCTCGTTCATCACACTCCCACACATGCATCCCTTATTTTCCCCTCGTTCATCACACTCCCACACATGCATCCCTTATTTTCCCCTCGTTCATCACACTCCCACACATGCATCCCTTATTTTCCCCTCGTTCATCACACTCCCACACATGCATCCCTTATTTTCCCCTCGTTCATCACACTCCCACACATGCATCCCTTATTTTCCCCTCGTTCATCACACTCCCACACATGCATCCCTTATTTTCCCCTCGTTCATCACACTCCCACACATGCATCCCTTATTTTCCCCTCGTTCATCACACTCCCACACATGCATCCCTTATTTTCCCCTCGTTCATCACACTCCCACACATGCATCCCTTATTTTCCCCTCGTTCATCACACTCCCACACATGCATCCCTTATTTTCCCCTCGTTCATCACACTCCCACACATGCATCCCTTATTTTCCCCTCGTTCATCACACTCCCACACATGCATCCCTTATTTTCCCCTCGTTCATCACACTCCCACACATGCATCCCTTATTTTCCCCTCGTTCATCACACTCCCACACATGCATCCCTTATTTTCCCCTCGTTCATCACACTCCCACACATGCATCCCTTATTTTCCCCTCGTTCATCACACTCCCACACATGCATCCCTTATTTTCCCCTCGTTCATCACACTCCCACACATGCATCCCTTATTTTCCCCTCGTTCATCACACTCCCACACATGCATCCCTTATTTTCCCCTCGTTCATCACACTCCCACACATGCATCCCTTATTTTCCCCTCGTTCATCACACTCCCACACATGCATCCCTTATTTTCCCCTCGTTCATCACACTCCCACACATGCATCCCTTATTTTCCCCTCGTTCATCACACTCCCACACATGCATCCCTTATTTTCCCCTCGTTCATCACACTCCCACACATGCATCCCTTATTTTCCCCTCGTTCATCACACTCCCACACATGCATCCCTTATTTTCCCCTCGTTCATCACACTCCCACACATGCATCCCTTATTTTCCCCTCGTTCATCACACTCCCACACATGCATCCCTTATTTTCCCCTCGTTCATCACACTCCCACACATGCATCCCTTATTTTCCCCTCGTTCATCACACTCCCACACATGCATCCCTTATTTTCCCCTCGTTCATCACACTCCCACACATGCATCCCTTATTTTCCCCTCGTTCATCACACTCCCACACATGCATCCCTTATTTTCCCCTCGTTCATCACACTCCCACACATGCATCCCTTATTTTCCCCTCGTTCATCACACTCCCACACATGCATCCCTTATTTTCCCCTCGTTCATCACACTCCCACACATGCATCCCTTATTTTCCCCTCGTTCATCACACTCCCACACATGCATCCCTTATTTTCCCCTCGTTCATCACACTCCCACACATGCATCCCTTATTTTCCCCTCGTTCATCACACTCCCACACATGCATCCCTTATTTTCCCCTCGTTCATCACACTCCCACACATGCATCCCTTATTTTCCCCTCGTTCATCACACTCCCACACATGCATCCCTTATTTTCCCCTCGTTCATCACACTCCCACACATGCATCCCTTATTTTCCCCTCGTTCATCACACTCCCACACATGCATCCCTTATTTTCCCCTCGTTCATCACACTCCCACACATGCATCCCTTATTTTCCCCTCGTTCATCACACTCCCACACATGCATCCCTTATTTTCCCCTCGTTCATCACACTCCCACACATGCATCCCTTATTTTCCCCTCGTTCATCACACTCCCACACATGCATCCCTTATTTTCCCCTCGTTCATCACACTCCCACACATGCATCCCTTATTTTCCCCTCGTTCATCACACTCCCACACATGCATCCCTTATTTTCCCCTCGTTCATCACACTCCCACACATGCATCCCTTATTTTCCCCTCGTTCATCACACTCCCACACATGCATCCCTTATTTTCCCCTCGTTCATCACACTCCCACACATGCATCCCTTATTTTCCCCTCGTTCATCACACTCCCACACATGCATCCCTTATTTTCCCCTCGTTCATCACACTCCCACACATGCATCCCTTATTTTCCCCTCGTTCATCACACTCCCACACATGCATCCCTTATTTTCCCCTCGTTCATCACACTCCCACACATGCATCCCTTATTTTCCCCTCGTTCATCACACTCCCACACATGCATCCCTTATTTTCCCCTCGTTCATCACACTCCCACACATGCATCCCTTATTTTCCCCTCGTTCATCACACTCCCACACATGCATCCCTTATTTTCCCCTCGTTCATCACACTCCCACACATGCATCCCTTATTTTCCCCTCGTTCATCACACTCCCACACATGCATCCCTTATTTTCCCCTCGTTCATCACACTCCCACACATGCATCCCTTATTTTCCCCTCGTTCATCACACTCCCACACATGCATCCCTTATTTTCCCCTCGTTCATCACACTCCCACACATGCATCCCTTATTTTCCCCTCGTTCATCACACTCCCACACATGCATCCCTTATTTTCCCCTCGTTCATCACACTCCCACACATGCATCCCTTATTTTCCCCTCGTTCATCACACTCCCACACATGCATCCCTTATTTTCCCCTCGTTCACACACTCCCACACATGCATCCCTTATTATCCCCTCGTTCATCACACTCCCACAAATGCATCCCTTATTTTCCCCTCGTTCATCACACTCCCACACATGCATCCCTTATTTTCCCCTCGTTCATCACACTCCCACACATGCATCCCTTATTTTCCCCTCGTTCATCACACTCCCACACATGCATCCCTTATTTTCCCCTCGTTCATCACACTCCCACACATGCATCCCTTATTTTCCCCTCGTTCATCACACTCCCACACATGCATCCCTTATTTTCCCCTCGTTCATCACACTCCCACACATGCATCCCTTATTTTCCCCTCGTTCATCACACTCCCACACATGCATCCCTTATTTTCCCCTCGTTCATCACACTCCCACACATGCATCCCTTATTTTCCCCTCGTTCATCACACTCCCACACATGCATCCCTTATTTTCCCCTCGTTCACACACTCCCACACATGCATCCCTTATTATCCCCTCGTTCATCACACTCCCACACATGCATCCCTTATTTTCCCCTCGTTCATCACACTCCCACACATGCATCCCTTATTTTCCCCTCGTTCATCACACTCCCACACATGCATCCCTTATTTTCCCCTCGTTCATCACACTCCCACACATGCATCCCTTATTTTCCCCTCGTTCATCACACTCCCACACATGCATCCCTTATTTTCCCCTCGTTCATCACACTCCCACACATGCATCCCTTATTTTCCCCTCGTTCATCACACTCCCACACATGCATCCCTTATTTTCCCCTCGTTCATCACACTCCCACACATGCATCCCTTATTTTCCCCTCGTTCATCACACTCCCACACATGCATCCCTTATTTTCCCCTCGTTCACACACTCCCACACATGCATCCCTTATTATCCCCTCGTTCATCACACTCCCACACATGCATCCCTTATTTTCCCCTCGTTCATCACACTCCCACACATGCATCCCTTATTTTCCCCTCGTTCATCACACTCCCACACATGCATCCCTTATTTTCCCCTCGTTCATCACACTCCCACACATGCATCCCTTATTATCCCCTCGTTCATCACACTCCCACACATGCATCCCTTATGATCCCCTCGTTCATCACACTCCCACACATGCATCCCTTATTATCCCCTCGTTCATCACACTCCCTGCCAACTGTCGCCTCGCCCCCATTTGCGTTCCCCCCTTCGGTCATTTAGCCCTCGGGCCTTAGAGACCATTCGCACGCCCCAGAACAACGCCCTTCCTTCCCATCTGCCCGTCTCCTTCCCCCATCACCCTTGCCCCCAACTCTCGCCTCGCCAATCTTTGCGCTTCCCCATTCAGTCGCTTTGTCCCCGGGCCTTAGAGACAATTCGCGCGCCCTAGAACACTGCCCTTCCTCCACACCTGCCCGTCTCTCCCAACCTGCCCGTCTCTCCCAACCTGCCCGTCTCCCACCAACCTGCCCGTCTCCCGCGCACCTTAACATTTCCGTTTCGTTCCTCCGCTTCCGCCTTCGCCGCCGCCGCCAGAAAGCTACCTGCGCTGACGGAAACCGTCACAACCGCAGTTGGCGGAAGGCATCGACAATCGAGTTCAGTTAGTTACGGAAAGGCACAGCGATGAATGCGGAGGGAGATAGCACAGGAAAGAGTGTTACGCTCACCGGGAGGCGGGAATACCGATGATGCCGCCGCCATCAGCGCACAGCGTGAAATTGCGAAGAAAATCGGCAGTCCAACGGCTAGATAATCAGTTTCGTGCGAAGGGTAATAAAAAACATAATAGGGAAACTACTGTTTGAGATATTCGCCGAGGAACAAGAACAGCCGCCGATGCCGGGGATCGAACCCGGATCTTGTGCGTGACAGGCGGAGATACTGACCATTATACTACATCGACCTGCAGGTGGCGAACGCTATTTTAATATAGATCAAAGAAATACAACAAAAATTCCAGCTTTTTTTCATGTAAGTCTTTTTGTAATGTCATAAATATAAACGAAAGACTCCTCTGTATGCTTCCTTGAGTGCTAGAATGCCAATTCGCATTGAGATCTTTTAAAAGAATTAGTCATCTTGTATGTAAGATTAATGCAATGTTACAGTTCATATCTCTGTAATCTCAATTCCATTGCCGAACGACCACGTAGCTTTACTTATTGGCGAAGAAAGATGCCACCTAGTGCCCAAAAACCAGGACATCGTGGCCCCCGCTCGTTTACAAATGATCTGGTGGCTGAGATGCGCGCCGAGATTTTTACACCGTGTCTCTCGTGATTCGCTTGCTTCTCGAAAGCGAATGATTGGTACCGACTTTACTGACAGCTGTCGAGTTGACGGCTGAAGATGAGCGATGCAACGGAAGGTGCTTCCATTTTGTCGTTTCTTGATGTTGCTTGTGGCTCACGTTCGATTTCAGTAGAACGTGACGTGAGCGCGCAGCAACGCTTCCTGTCCTATCAGCCGATTTTATGCAGTGAACCTGAACTGGACATCCGCGAAAGGAGGGGAGAAAAAAATCCACAAGATCGCAATGCGCGCTTCGGAAGCACTTGCATGTCCGTGGACATCGCCCAAATTCCTTATGTATCGCGTCGCGCTGCTCTTTCACGCTGATGCTACAGTTTGATGCCCTCCCTTCCCGTCCGTCCATCCATCTCCCCTCGCCTCGGAATTTTAGCAAATTTCTCTGCAATTTGCTAAAGCGGGTTTCACAGCCGCTCCTCCTGCTTCTCTAGTCTCGTAACAAAAACAAGCTTTGCTGCTTGTCCATCCATTGCTGCTGCCCCTTGCGTTGATTGACACTTCAGATGCAACCCGTACAAAACGTCATCGTGGGCACAACCGCTTTGTTTTTTTCCTACACGAGATACAATCCACCATTTTTACAGACGACTTCCAGTGCCCTCCAGTCATTCTTACACTTCTGAGTACGGCTCAGAAGTCACACGATCAGCTCGTCAAACCACTTGTAATTCTCTCCGCGAAGGAGCACGCCGACTTAGTGAGTGTGAGAACAACCAGTCTGGTTGCGTCTCTCTGCCCACCTGCAACGATGAAGCCCACGGGGAAGATTCTCGCGATGCTGATTGCGCCCGACACCAACGTCGCGCCCGCCTTTTCGCAGCACCAGTCCGTCTCGACGCGCCGCGGGTCCTTCTCGCGTCGCAGCACGTCGTCACTCATCGCATGCCCGCAGCCGCTGCACCACACCGACCCCTTCGCCAGCAGCTCCGTCGCCAACTCCGCGATTCCGTCGCACGTGTCCCACTCGTTCGCCACCCACTCGCACGCGGCCGCTGCGGCGGCGTCGTCGCCTTTCCCGGATTTCGCCGGCTATGGTAACACGGCAACAGCGGGATTCGGCTGTCATTCGCGAAGGTCGTCCTTCTCGTCTACGAGGCGACTCTCCCTAACCGGCGCCGCACCAGTCGCCACCGTAACCGAGATCCTTCCCGAGCATGCCGTAGTGGAGCCGGAGTTCCTACCGCCATCTGCGGCGCCGACAGCGCTTCCCGACTCGACCGTCCAGGCAGTCACCGACGAACTCAAATCCGCATCCGCCCCTGCGCCCGATGCGCGCAAGCCCGCACCGGCTAACACGGAGGATGCGCGCAAGCGCGCAATGGACGCCGTGATTGGCGCGGGGTACTGGGAGACGGAGTTTCTCGACCGCTTGATGTTCCTCGAGGCAGATCCGACGTTCACGCAGCTCCCAGCCGACCAAGTTCACCAGATGAACCTGTCCCAGGAACTACCTGCCCCTCTGGAGCTTCTCGCGGTCGGGCTCGGCGCGGAGGTGGTATCTGAGGAGGCGATTCGGGAGGACCTTCACACGGCGCGCATGTGCGTCGTCGACGCGCTGATGGAGGCGCAGCATCTGGAGCGCGTCGCGCAGATGTACAGTCACAGCGCGGGCGCCGCCGCGGCGGGAGACATCGGAGGCGCCGCCGCCGTTAAAGTTGCCAAGCCTCGCGCCCCCGCGCCGCGCGCGGCGGCTGCAGGGGCTAAGTCCGATGGCATCGCTCGCAGAAAGGTGCCCAAGGGAGGCAAGGCCGCGGCAGCGGCGAGTCCCAAGGCAAAGAAGGCTCCGCAGGAAGGTTCCGCGCAGACTGGGGAGAAGGCTGGAGAGCTGAAGGCTGCTCTGAAGAAATCTCCCGCTCTGAAGCAGTGGCTCAAGTTCGCAGCCACCATCTGAGTGACGGGGATGATGTCTCCGCACGGTGATGTTGCTTTGAGATGTCTTCCCACTAACTTATTACTTTCTATTACGGTACTCTGCTCGTACGCAGTGGCACTTAGTTTGCCTCCACCGTTTGAGAATTTGCAGCAAGTGGTACTAGTGTGCTGAGTGGTGTGTGAGTGTTTTAGTGAGTGCGCTAGTAGGTGTGCCGTGTGTATGTCGAAGTGTGTGTGTGTGTGTGGGGTGTAGATGAATGGATCTATTTGTTCATACCTTCCTACTAATTTCTGCTGACCATCCTTACATTAAGAGAAAAATTATCATGCTTTACAGCGTGTTCCACTCTACACATTATGTGGCTTGAAATATTCTGTACACATCCCCAAAATAGACCTGCGGAGTATAGTAGCTTTAATTCTACCGTACCAGTGTTATACGGTAGCTCAACAATTACACACCCCCCCACCACTTCTTCAGCCTACCTCTGCTTCCAGTGGCAGACTCCTTGGCATCTCCCTCACTACCATGCCCCCATGCGTTTCCCACGCCACCCCCTTCCCCATCACCTTCCCCAACCCTCCCACTTTCACATCCCCGTGCGCACACTCCTCGTCCTCTGGTGCCCTTCGCACCAACCCAGCATCCCAACAGCCGACAGAACTTCCTTGAAAGCTGCTGCCGAGGCGGAAACGGAACGTCAGATTTCATATCGCTGTCAGCCTCACAGTAGGGCTGGCTGTCCCCCTCAGTGTCCTCGGGGAAAACTGCAGCGTCTGGAGTGATCTTGCTGTCGGCTTCATGGTGCTCCCCAGGAAAAACCGAGGCGACTGATCCGGCCACGCCCTCCTCTTCCCGAAGAAACGTTTGAGAACAGTAGGAGGACACTCCAACCGTCCGGCAGCTTTCTTCCCTCCTAGTGGGCGGAACTCGCGGCACTGCCACTGCTTGTTCACCGGCAGCAAAAGAGCGTTTTGACAAACCTTCTCCCTCTAAAGAGAAATCCACTTGTGAGGTTCGGAATAATGTCGGCTGTGTTTGCCCAATGGCCGCAACAGCAGCACCAGAGCATTCTGACGAGCCTGCTTCGTCCGAATCCAACGACAGGTTCTCAAACGATACCTCCAGCCTGCTGCTCCCCCGCGTTTCACCTGCTGCTGCACCAGCAACTAAAGAAACACCTGAAGGAGCACCTGAAGAAACAGGTGTTCGTCTCCCCGTCACAGACATATCTGGCAGGCATCCTTTGTCGGCAAGTGCTTCATGGGACAGCCTTTCCGCTTGCCATGGGTCTACTGGCGTGACGCGGGTGTACGAGGCGGGGGGCCGGCTCGCGGCGGAGGAAGCGAAGGCGGAAGCGGAGGGAGAAACGGCGGAAACGCAGACGGCGGATTCGGAGAGGCGCCTGCTGCGGGAGAAGCGGAAGAGGATGCCGGGAGGGTAGGCGGCGGAGGCGAAGGGGGGAAGATGCGCGCGCGAGGGGGAGAAGAACGACGGGCTGCGGCGCGACGAGGAGATCCGCGGGGAACGGCGCGCCAGGCAAGAGCTTTCCGCAGTGTCGGTCTCGCCATAACCCGTTTCTAGGAAATCGTTCTCCCTTTCGCCACTTTCGCCACTCTCGCAACTTTCGCCCACGCGGAAAAGCGTCTGGAAGTACGACGAGGTGGACATTCGTCGGCCAGAGGCGAAACCCGCGCGCGCTGCTGCTGCTTCCCCCATCCAGTTCCGCTCCGGGGACGCATCCAGCGCGGAATAGCCCCCGCCTTCCTCCCACATGCGCGGGCCAAACTGCGCGGAGACGCGCCGCTTTGCGTCCGCGGGGGAGAAGAAGGAGGGGGAAGCGGGAGTCGCGGCGGAGCTGGTGCTGCTGCCGCGATCTAAGCTAGGGTGAGAAAATAACACGTCGGATCCGGAATTTCCGCCGGAGATCCCGGAGAAAAAGGGCGGTGCGGCAGATTGAGGATTCAGGCTGTGGGATGTAGCGCGATCGACGGCGTAAAACTCGCCGGGCGAGTCGACGAGGGTTGAAAGGGATGAAACTCGGGGAAAAGCCTTGTGTGCCTGGATGATGCTCGATCGGCTGCTGAATTGGCAGCTGTGGCCGCTTCCCAGCTTCTGACGCGACCCGCCATAACTAAAACTCCGCCTTGCCTTCATCATCACGAGCGCGTTCCGCGCCAGCGCCGGCGGCTTCGGGGAACGCGGGAATGTGGGTATGTGGGAGTGTTCTAAAGATGAGTTTCGGACACAGCTTCTGAGGCGCCGAAAGAAGATGGAAGACTTCAAAACGTACGACAAAGAAGAGTCAGGAGTTGTTGAAAGAAGGAACTGCTAAGAAGCTTACTAATGGTAACACTGCAAAGGCGTCACATTGGGTAGTAACGCTGAGATATTTTTAGAATCTTCCGCAAAAGCTGGCGTCGCTCTGCCTCGCTGTACTGACTTTGCGAGGCAATCTAACGCAGTGGGAAGGGAAATGGCTGTGAGCAGGTGCGTCAACGTTGCCCAGTGGGAAGAAAAGAAGATCAGAGCGAGCTTTGATGAAGGTTGTAAAGTGCACCGCCATGCCTCACAGCATCACTTACATCTGTTAGCACCGCTGCATGTCGTCCATTGGTTATGTTGACGAGTGAAGTCTGGCGGATGATGATGGTACAACTCAGGGTTCTGACTGAATTGGCAAACTCTGGGGGGGCAACGCTGCCTGAGATCTCAGGTGTGAACGGGAGAAAATCCACACTCGGCAGCACGGGGAGATGAAACTAGAGGGGCACTGAGGCAGTTACGACTGACAATGTATGCATGCTATGTAACATCACCACACACAAGAGGGGCACTGAGGCGAAGCAGCAGAAGCGAGTTCTGTATTCTCGGTCAGACGATTCGAATTCTGGAAACAGAAGATTCTAGCTTGAAAATAGGGTGATGCACACCTGTAGTGTAAATGGAAGAGCGCTATTTGCCTCTTATCCTGCCCGGTCCTTCTTTGGGAATGTCGCGTTGCGAGAATTCCCACCAATGAAAACGCGCTGCACGACTCGTCAAACTCAAATCTTTCCAGGTCCGCTGAATGCGCGCCACCGCTTTGTCGGAGAAGCGAGGTTGGGTGGGGGGGTGCGTGTGTGAAGTGACGGAAAAGGAGGGGGGGAGTCCACCTGGGTTTAGTACTGTACCTCTGACCGACAATTCTCCCCAAAATGGCAGACTGGACTGGAGTCAAACATTTAAACACGTGAAATTATAGGTGCACTGCACAGCATCTTGTCTACAGACAATAAAGCCTACTGTTCTTCTCAATAAGAGGTGGGTGAATGTGAAGGAGTGCACTGTTGTCCACTTGAATTTGCTACTGCCTCTCCTTGGCCCTCCTGGCCAGGGTCCTGCATCCATGGGATGAACAAAAAGCATATATTCTTTTATGTGATGATTTGCCCGTAAAAATCCATGCATCATGCTGGAAAAATGTGTACAAAAAAAGGTAATTTCTCGTTACAAGATCGTCATGAGTTGACACGTGGAACAATCAGCAATTGGTCGCATCACACTTTCACGATCCAAACTGTCTGGCTACATATAACCACAAACAGTTATCTCATAGCATACATCAAAGCGATTCCTAGGTAATCAAGTCTAACAAGGACTACCCGAACGTCACGGTGACAGTCAAACTTCTGAAATCGCAACCTCACCGAGCAAACTTTTGGGTCAACTCAAAGGTTAGTCGACCCAAAAGCACCAATCACGTCACAATGCCTGGACGGCAATCTCATCGGGCGGCATTTCCGGCACTAAACCTGCTTCGCTGCTCAGCTCCCCTCCATTGCTCCCCCCCTGCAGCCACAAGCTCACTACAGCTGTGAGAAGCAGCACAGAAGCATCCACGAGTTGGGGGGAAATCAGAGGAATAAAAGGGAAACTGCAACCAAAGCCTGCTTGTTGGACAGCGTAAACTGAAGAGTTGGGAGGAACAGTAAGCACTTACTATGTGTACCTTTTACGGCACCACTTGAAGTGGTTGAAAAAAAGCACACCTTTTTTTGCGAGGGTTCAGTGGAGCGTTGAGGCCACGAGTTTAAATCAATCATGCCACCCCTCCCTTGATTCCCCTCCCCTCGCTTCTGCTGCTGCTGTTGCTGTTGCTGCTGCTGCTGTTGCTGTTGCTTCTGCTGCTGTTGTGGTTGCTGCTGCTGCTGCTGCTGCTGCTGCTGCTGCTGCTGCTGCTGCTGCTGCTGCTGCTGCTGCTGCTGCTGCTGCTGCTGCTGCTGCTGCTGCTGCACATGTTGTGGCTGATAATCCTGTGCTTCTACAGCAGGTGACAACAACGCAGGGATCTCATCATCCCCCACCGCTATAGCCACAGCAGGGGCATCACTCACATTCCCCATAACCATGCTCCGAGCCCCTCCCTCCTCGCCCCCTCTCCCTCCTCCTCCTCCTGCCCCAGCCTTCCGAACCCCCATCCCTGTTCCCATCCCTGTTCCCATCCCTGTCCCCATCCCCATCCCGATCCCCAACCCAGCAGCACCGGACCGTAAACCATACAGCCCATTCCCTCCTACTGCCCCTACCCCTGCCCCTGTCACTACCCCTATCCCAGCCCCTCCCCCTACCCCTCCCCCAGCCCCTGCCCTTTCCTGAACGGCACCCCCACTGCCCCCCTCTCCCCCGCTCCCCCCTCCGCCCACGTTCAAGGTCAGGGCCTGCATTGTCCCCGTGGCTGTGCCTGTCAATCCCCCCGACCCTCCCCCTCCCCCTGCCACCCCCCCTCCCCCTGTCCCCCCCGTCCCTCCCCTTCCTCCGCCTCCTGTCACCCCTCCTCCACCACCTCCTCCTCCGCTTCCTCCTCCTGACCCCTCCCCCTCCCCCTCCCCCTCCCCCTCCGCCTGCTGCTGTCCCGCCTGATCCCCCCTCGCCCCCATGGGTAGGAAGCACCACGCTCATAGGCGTTGGTTCGTTCTCCCTCCCCCCCTCCTCCCCTCCCTGCTGCATGTGCATTATCTCGTCCTCTTCTCCTCTCCCTCCTCCCCCTCCTCCTCCTCCCCCTCCTCCCACTCCTCCCACTCCTCCTCCCCCTCCTTCTCCTCCCATTTCACCATCCTTACCACCAGCAGCAGCGCCAAAACCAGCACCATTGTCAACACCTCTCCCTCCCTCCCCATCCCCACCACCCTCCACATTCCCCCCACCTTGCCACAGTCCAACCCCTCCTTGCACGTTCCCCTGACCTGCCCCCACATGCCCCCGCCCCCCATGCATATTATTCCCCACATTCCCGTTCCCCATGTTTCCACCGCCCATATCTGCATTCCCCATGTGGTTACCAGTGGGGTTACCGGTAGGGTTACCACCCCCACCTCCCCCCTGCGCGCCTGGGCGGAGTAGGTGGTCCGGGCCCCCCCCCCCTGGGGAGGGGAGGGCGGGCTGGGTGGGGTCCTCCGCCAGAGCGGGGGGCGTCTTGGGGAGCTGGGTGGAGGGAAGTGGGTGAGGGGAGGGGAAGAAGGAAGGCGGAGAGAGGTGAAGGGGAAGGAAAGGGGAAAAACAGGGTGAGGAGGGAAAAATGTGAAGGGGAAAGGAGTGAGGTGAGGCGGGATGGGGTTACCGCCCCCAACCCCTTCTTGCGCGTGGGAGGAGTAGATGATCCAGACCATCCCCTTCCTGGGGAGGGGAGGCACGTGTATGAAGAAGTGTTTTGAGACGTCTCAAAACACTTCTTCATACACGAGGAGTAGATGATCTAGAGCCATCCCCTCCCCTTCCTGGGGAGGGGAGGGCCTGCTCAAGTCAAGTCAAGGGCATTCAAGAGTCCCTTGACGGCTTCTGACACCTCTCCCATAACAGGTATTTCACCTCCACACCACACATTGCCCCATGAGCAGATACCGCTCGTGCGCCTTTTGAGTGGATCCATGAGGGAACCAAGCCCTGCCCTTCCGTCTTTTGATCCCTTTCTTATCGCGTGTAAAGGGTCTCACCTCCACGCGTTGCCCCATGAGCAGGTACCGCTCGTTTGCCTTCTTAGTGCACTCAATAGTGGATCAATCCCCAACCCCTGAACATCCCCTCTGACCGCCTCAAACCCCTCTTCCACCCCTCGCCTCACCTCCACGCGTTGCCCCATGAGCAGGTAGCGCTCGTGCGCCTTCTTGCCGCCTATGTGCACATCTAGGTCGCATTGAAGGCAGAGCGACGTGCCGTCCACTGCACAATAGAAGAAGGCTGTGAGGGAGAAGGAGAAGATGGGATGGGGAGTGGGTGGATGGGGAGGGGGAAATGGCCTATGTGCATGTCCAGATCTCTGCGGAGAGATGTGCCGTCCACCGCACAGTAGAAGAAGGCTGAGGGGGAGGGGAGAGGCGCATAGAGGGGGGAGGATTGAGGGCAGGAGGAAGGGAGGATGGGGATAGGGCAGAGGGCCTATGTGCACGTCCAGGTCGCACTGCAGGCAGAGCAACGTGCCGTCCACCGCACAGTAGAAGAAGGCTGGATTGGTGGGGAGAGGGGGGTGGGGGAGGGGGAGAGGGGAAGAAGTTGCGAAGTGTATGGGGGGTGCGGATGGGGAGCGGCGAGTGGGCCTATGTGCACGTCCAGGTCGCACTGCAGGCAGAGCAACGTGCCGTCCGCTGCACAGTAGAAGAAGTCAGAAGGCTACCGCTGAATGCCCACTCACCCGGCGCAGTTTCGCAGATGTCACAGCACAGCGCGGGATGGATGATGCGTGCCTCTGCACGGTGTAAGCGCGCGACTCACCAGTCCCGTTATAAGCACGTACTCAGTCCCCTAATAAGCCTGCTCTCTCACCCGGCGCGTTCTCGCAGATGTCACAGCGGGGGATGGCGCGCGCCTCTGTGAGCTCTAGCACGCTACGCTACCCACCAGTCTCGTTCCAAACACGGTACTCAAATGTCCTGCTGTAAGCACACCACTCACCAGGAGCATTCTCGCAGATGTCACAGCGGGGGATGGCGCGCGCCTCTGCGAGCTCCAGGCGCACGTGGCGGCTGGCGAGCTTGTTGCACCCATGCACCTGCCGTGCCGTTGGGGCGAGGGATGGGGCGAGGTAAGCAGCGGAGGGAGGATGAGGGAGGGGGAGATAAGGGCCAATTCGTCCTGACAGCCGGCGGCTGGCCAGCTTATTGCACCCATGCACCTGATCGTGGCAAGATGGAGAGAATCTGGAAAGAGAGAAAAGGGGTGGGGGGTTGGAGTACGGCAAATGAAGAGCCAGGTAGCACTCCACAGTGATTTGTGAGCAACGTGTGTTTTTTTAGAATTCTCACGCCAAGAAGGCTCAACATATGAAGAGCCAGTTAGCACGCCACAATGATTTGTGAGCATTTCTTGGCAATTCCACAAGAGTCATTCAGCAGACCACTCGGCGTCGGTGCGGTGCAACGCAGTGCAGTGCGGTGCAGTGCATTAACAGTAGCAAGTGTGGTGCCGCGAAGTTACCTTGTTGTCGCACGCGAGGCACAGCGCCGTCTTGTCTGCAGCACAGAACACCTTGGCTTGGCGGGTGCCGCCTCGCACACCGAGTACATCACATCGCACAGGATGCCTTATGAGTTGACTTAAAAACACGAGGAGCGAGTTTGATCGTACCTTGTTGTCGCACGCCAGGCACAAAGCAGCCTCATCTGCAGCACAGAACACCTTGGCGGGTGCCTATTGTGTAGACTCAAAATTCATGAGCAGCCAGTGCAAACGTACCTTGTTGTCGCACGCCAGGCACAAAGCAGCCTCATCTGCAGCGCAGAACACCTTGGCGGGTGCCTATTGTGTAGACTCAAAATTCATGAGCAGCCAGTGCAAACGTACCTTGTTGTCGCACGCCAGGCACAAAGCAGCCTCATCTGCAGCGCAGAACACCTTGGCGGGTGCCTATTGTGTAGACTCAAAATTCATGAGCAGCCAGTGCAAACGTACCTTGTTGTCGCACGCCAGGCACAAAGCAGCCTCATCTGCAGCGCAGAACACCTTGGCGGGTGCCTATTGTGTAGACTCAAAATTCATGAGCAGCCAGTGCAAACGTACCTTGTTGTCGCACGCCAGGCACAAAGCAGCCTCATCTGCAGCACAGAACACCTTGGCGGGTGCCTATTGTGTAGACTCAAAATTCATGAGCAGCCAGTGCAAACGTACCTTGTTGTCGCACGCCAGGCACAAAGCAGCCTCATCTGCAGCACAGAACACCTTGGCGGGTGCCTATTGTGTAGACTCAAAATTCATGAGCAGCCAGTGCAAACGTACCTTGTTGTCGCACGCCAGGCACAAAGCAGCCTCATCTGCAGCGCAGAACACCTTGGCGGGTGCCGCCTCGCACACATCGCACAGGATGCGCATTGCTGCTGCTGCTGCCGCTGCTGCTGTTGCTGCCGCTGCTGCTGCCGCTGCCGCTGCCGCTGCTACTGCTGCTGCCGCTGCCGCAGTCGGGTGCTGCTGATGCCGCTGGTGGGTGCCGCTGGGTGCTGCTGCTGCCGCTACCACTAATGCCTCTCCTCACGGTGGGTGCTGCCTGTCTGCTGCCAGCTTCCTTGGTAGTGGCGGGGCACAGCCTGGAGGTGCAGCTTTGGTGTGGTATATAGCCTCCGCGCGCAGGCTCGGCGTGGCACAGCTTGGGGCTGCAGGCTCGGCGTGGCACAGCTTGGGGCCGCAGACTCGGCGTGGCACAGGACGTTGGCTCCTCACGTTGAGTTGAATATGGGATCTCTGCCGGTGGTTCGGTTTAATAGCCTCAGAGCCAGAAACAGGGCTTTCCTCTAAGCTGTTCGAAGCGAGTGTTGGTTAGAATTGTGTGTTACTTCAAAGTTAAAAGGGGTGTAAATTCGAAGCGGGTCTTACTTATAAGCGAGACAACTTGCCGAGGCGAAAACGGGTGCGTGAGGCATTCCTGAAGGCGGCTCTGGCGAGAAACGCTACTTGAGAACCAAAAGACGGAGAGAACCTCAAAGAGGGAACTCAACGGAGGGAACTAAAATGGAGAAGAAATGGTGAGTGCAGTATTGTGAGCACCTCCTACCCGAGGAGACTTGCCAAGAAAGCCTGTTACTTGGTGAATATAATGGGAAATCTGTCTGGAATGGCAGGAGATACTGTACGCCGGCTGAGCAATCACACAGCAACAACCTGGGATACTACAAGCCGGAATTCCCGGAGTCGTTTTCGCGTACTACTAGTACGGCAACGAATGCCCGCAACATGTTATTGCGCTCATGATGGTGAAATTGCAAGGGAAGGAATTCGCGGCTGGTCGTTCATGAGCCTTCTTGTCGCATATTTCGTCGCATTTGTCGCAGGTCTGTTGGAGGTGATCGCAAGCGAAGGACGCTTCAGGTTTCTTTCATTTTCTTGAGGGAATTGAAACGCGGAATTCGGATTTCGGACTTCGGATTTCTTCCAGGCTGTCAAACCCAGCGCATGCTCGCACTGACGCGGACTAAACCGCATGACCAGGGCACCAGTGAGTTAAATAGAAGGGCATGTAAGTGGAAATTCCTGGTCTATAAAACCTCCTAAGGCTGAAATCGGCCCCTGCAGTAGCACTGCACAGTCAATTTGGGTCACTTGCCATTAGGAAGATCCCACTGGGCGATGAGGAAGGACGAGACTAGTGGTCTGGGCATACGCTGCCTAGGAACATGACGTGGATTCACGTGAACGCTGTGCTGTACCGGAGCTTTTTGTGGAAAATTGAAGGAACTAAGAAAGGATTGGCTAAAATTGAACAGCAATGAGAAGGGACCCGCTGTAAATCTCAGAAGATCGTTCGGTACGCGAAGGCTGTGGCTGAGCTCGAGAGTCTCGGATAGGGTGGAGCTATGGCGGCTTTGTGATGGCTGAAATCATTCCTGTGGTTGAGACTCGCCTTTGGGAACATGCGCTCGGCACGGCAACATCAGGGGGAAGAGCTCTCAAGGGTAAATTTACCCTGTAAATGAGAACATTTAGCGCGTAATCTCGTGACTGCAAATGATGTATACTCTTCCATTTACGAAAGTATTTGACAGGCAAGTAATTGCTGCACTCTAGGCTGCCTGGACATAAATTTTCCTCTGCCTTCTCAAGGTCCGAAGCGCGCTGCAGCGTACAGCTGGGCCACGAAAACAAGGTAGACATGAGGCCAATCTAGTTCTGATGGCTGACGTTGTGCCACGCTGGCTTCAAACCATCACCACGTCTCACCCGCGTTTTCCGCAAAAGAGGATTTTGCCTTTCAAAAAAGGTGGTCAGAAAAGGAGACGCGATATATGAATGACCCGTACAATGGTATAGCTAACAGAACTCAAATTGGTATTGTAATTGGAAATGTTTAGACCCATCCCTTTGTCTTGGTTCTATTAAATATACTCGTCTGTGGACCGCACCGTGTCGGTGCAATCCGATTGGTTGGGTTAGCTGGTTGGCCATCGTGGCTACCGTGTTGATGATTCGCGGAGATATCGAGGAATACCGCCGAAAAGATGCTTCGATAGCAGGCCCCGTCGTGTTTTGAATGCATCGCCGCAAATGAAGCTCGCTGTAAACAGACAAGGTGGATTCTCTCTACCTCGGCAATATCGATGCTCCTGACCGAAGCTTTTCCTTGACGCTTGACATGACACCTCCGCCCATTCCGTCTTTTCCTTTTGCTGAGTTCCGCCATAGCCGACCAAGGGTACATGTACCAGCGGGTTGTCTGCATGACATCGAGACAGATTCATCTGCTTCGTCGTACGACTCGACTGAGTTGGCGCTCTTCCACTTGGCGACATTAATGCGTCTGTCGTTCCCTGATTGGCTCCTCAAGTATCGAAACTCACAGATTCGCAACGCTTACTGGAACGCCGATACCACGCAATGCCCGTCTCTGTTAATCATGACATACCCCAAACACCATGAACACCAGCTTTACCGTTCTCGCGATTCTCGGTAGCGTGAAATAAGCCTGTCAGTGGTATTTTCATCGCAGGCAAAGGTTTCAGGTATCTCGAGATACGAAGGGTGTTTCCGGTTATGATGGAGGAGTTTTCCCTTTTAGATTAATAAAGAGATTTCCAGCACGACCCGAATCCCGTCATGATCACCAGCACGACCCGAATCCCGTCTTGATGACCAGCACGATCCGAATCTCGTCTTCTTGCCGCCTCCATGGCGCTATCTCCCTGCGACCTGCCTCTTGGGGAAGTCACTGCTCCTCTCAAAATCCGCTCCCGTGCAGCTTCGAGGAAGGCGAGAGCCCGACCTCACTCTCGGACGGGTTCGTTGCTCACCAGCGGCCATCACTCGCCAGCAGAACTTCGCAGCAGCTTCTATGGGGAAACTTCAGAGAGATGCCGGGGGCTGGAAGTCACGACCACTCAACACAGGCCAGGTGGAGGGCCGAGATTTGAGATTCTAGTACCCGTGACAGGGAGCTATAGGAGTGTTTCTGGCTTCCGCAGAACCACACACGAAGATTCCAGCACCTGTTTTGGTCCCTCAGACACTCTTTCTGGTCCATCAGGCAATTGCCCTGCACCATCAGGTACTCACTGTGGGCTGCTGTTCGTGAGTGAACCTGGTAACTCAGCTTGCCATGCGCTCGCCAATTCCGCCACGTCAGCAGGCCGAGGGAGGCAGAGGAAACGAGCTCGTTTTTCGGTTTCTTCTCTACCTGCTGAATTCTCTGCTGGTGCTGGGAGCAGCAGTGACACGTGGCATGCTGTGATAGGAGCGGTCGAGCATATCCCGGATGTAGCGTTGAACGTGGCACCGGCTGTCGCATTGAATGGGGCACTAGATTCAGTGGGCGGCCTGCTGGTGTGTGCAGCTCTGGCTTTTGCTGGCTTTGCAGTAGGCGCCTCTGTTCGTGGTGGTGCCTCACTTGGTGCTTCTGCTGCTTCTGCTGCTGCTACTGCTGGTGGTTTTCCTGCTGATGCTGGTGCTGATTCTGACGGTGATGATGACGATAAGGGTGCTACAGTTGCTGCCTCTGCATCTGGCTTTGGTCCTTGGAGATCAGATGGTTGGGAGCAAGGGGGGGACTGTGGTCTGGAAGCTGGAATAGGGGCTTCCAGTCATTTGGAAACAGAGTCACATCGGGGGTTGATGACGGAACGTGACCTGGAGTTTTTCTTGCTGCCCGAGCTCGACGAAAGCGGCCTCCAGAAATATTTTCTGGCTCGATGCCCGTGTCTCCCCCCTGCAGCCGCACCAAACATGCTCTTCCTGAAGCCTCCTGCTGCGGAGAGTACTGATGGAAATGCTGGCATTAGAGAAGGCACTAGAAAGGCTACGTTTGGGGTTGGAGATAACCCCAAGGCGGAAAGACTAGATTTCCAACAGCAGTTGCCACTGCTGGAGTTTCAATCGCCCTCACCACTGGAGGGATCTGAACATAGAGAGGTAACCAGTGGGAGGGAGATCTTTGGGCGGCAAGTGGACGGCGCAGCAACACAGAGTCAGCTTTTGGGGCAGCAGCGGATGGATGGTACTGCAATCCAGAGGCGGTTATTTGGGCGGCACTGCATTTCCACGCCAGACGGCGGGACTCTATCCCTGGATTTCCTCAAGAGCTGGCCCTTGGGATTGTCGCAGCACGTGGGAGTGCAGCCTTCAGAGAGACATCAAGTGCAGCAGCAAGGGTTGGGTCTGAGAGAGCAGCTGAGGGCAGGCGCAGGCATGGTGGTGGTGGTGGTGGCAGGCACGGCAGCAGGCAGCGCGGACCCCTTCGTTCAGCACCTGGCGTGCAGCATTGCTGCCAGAGGCCACGTGCCCGTTGTGCTCAATCTGCGGGGGTGCGGTGGCAGCCCCGTTACTTCCCCCCGGTGAGTGAGTGTGGTGAGCTGACCTCTCAGTCGACTTAGAGGTACGGGAGCAGGCAGCGCGGATCCCTTCATTCAGCGCCTGGCATGCAGCGTTGCTGCCGGAGGCCACGTGTCTGTAGTGCTCAACTTGAGAGGCTGTGGTGGCAGCCCTGCTACCTCCCCACGGTGAGTACCATTTTTTTTGGGCGTGTGAGTGTGAGCATCACTTTTGAGTCAGTGCTGTTGGGCGGGAGGGAGAGGAGAGTCATTGCTGTCAAAGACCATGTCATTCCTGTTTCCTTGACCATCCCACCCGTGACTCCCCCTGTCACTCCCCATGTCAACCCCCCCCCTTTTGTTATCCCATTTGCCACTCCCCTTGTCTCTGTTCTTGCTCTCTTCATCTTTTCCTGTCTTCTTTCTTCCCTCGCTTCTCCTCTTCTCCCCTTCGCCCTCCCTCGTGTCTCCATATCTCCCCACCACTCAGCTTCTTCTCACCAGCCGACAGTGCTGACGTGGCACTGGCTGCCGATTTCCTCGCTGCTTCCTGCCCCGACTCCCTCCTAGTGGCCGTGGGAGTGGGCCTAGGAGGGCATCTGCTGCTGCGACTCCTGGGGGAAGCAGGGAGGGGGGCGAGGGGGAAGAAGGGCGGAACGGGGGAAGCAGCAGGGAGGGGGGGGGAACGGGGGGCGAAGAGCAGGAGGGGGAAGAGAAGGAGTGGAAAGGCAAGGGGGGAGCTGGATGGCTTGGGAGGGGCTGGGGCGGAGGGATTTATTGGTGGTGGGAGTGAGAGGAGTGGTGGCGGGGCGGGGACTGAGGGGAGTGATGGCGGGGTGGGGACGGGGGAGATGGTGGTGGTGAGGTGTGGAAGCAGAGCGGTAGTAGTATCCATGCAGCCATGGTGGTTGACTCGCCCTCCTGCCTCCAATACCACCATGGCTGCTCCAATCATCTCTGCCCTGACGAGGAGGAAGAAGTTTCCAGGAAAATGGTCCGAGATTACCAGCATCTCCTGCGCACACATGAGGTAGCCTTACTTAAACCCAACACAAACCTTACCCATCCACCCACATCCACTTACACCCACTCGCACCCACTCGCACCCACTCGCACCCACACTCCGCTCCACACTTATCCATGCACACCCTCTCCCCCGCTCCCTCTGCTGCTTGCGAGGCTTCACATCTCGTCTGATCCTTCTCCTCTGCCATATGAGCGGGCCCATCGTTATACACATCCTTTTTTCTTTACACATTTTGAAATACCTATGTCCCCGCCCCCCCTAACCCTCTTCCCTACTCCCTTCCCCCCAAACCGCCCGGCCTTACCATCCTCAGATGATATTCTCTCATGCACACGGCCCACACGAGCCCCTTGACCTGTCAGCAGCGCTGGCGGCTTCGTCGGTCAGCCAATGGGACGACGCCATGTCATGCCGTGCCCTGGGCTATGGGTCGGTCTCGGCGTTTTATGCCGCGTGCTGTGCATGTGGTGTGATGGAAGACATATTGGTCCCCACTCTGTGCGTGCAAGTGAGTGGGTGGGGCGATTGTGCTGGTTTGGCTCCATTCTCGGGATTTATAAGAACAGGTTGTGCGCGCACGGGATTTATAAAGCATCTGAATTGTACAATCCTTGCTGTGCGTGTGTTGCTGTGCGTGTGGTGTGCTGTAAGCCGTGTTGATTCCCACTCTGTGCGTGCAAGTGAGTGGCAATCTGCGCATTACACAGGAACGGGTTTCAGCCACGCCCCAGCCCTCGCCCCTCCCACGCCTCACCTGCTCCTTATCCTTCTCGAATGGCCCTGTCTCCTTATCCTTCTCTGTCTCCTGTGTGCTCTTTGATGTGTGCTCTTTGATGTGTGCTCTATTTTTGTTTCTTTGAGCAGCGAGAGAGGGTAATTGCAGGGGGCAGCACTGCGTGCGCCACTGCTGTTCCCTCCTCGTCATCCCGCTCCTCGGAGCCTTTGATCTTGCAACCCTTCCTCACCAACAGCAACCTCTCTCTCTGTGTACTCTCCAACACAAGAACTAGTTTGGACTGCTGCTGCTGCTGCTGCTGCTGCTGAACATTCTGCTCTTGATCCTACCTCAGCAGCTGCTTCTGCTTCTGCTGCTGCTCCTCCTGCAACTTCCGCATCTGGTCCTCTCTCATCCGCTCATCTCTTGAGTCCTGCTTTCGCCAGCCGTGTATTGCAGATTGTGGATGAGGTGAGTTGAGTAACCTGAATTGGTGGGCTGACCGATTGCGGTGAACAATACATTATGTTAATGAGGTGAGTAAGCGTACGCCAGTCATATTTCTATCAGCGACTGAACCCACTTCTAGCAGCAGCGTCATAGGAAACCAGTACTCGTGGAGGGAAACGAGCACATGAATCATGTCAGTCAGCCAGGCAGCCATATCACCCCCTTGACCGTTTCCGTACCTCCTCTGGACTTCCTTTTCTGTTCTATACCCGCCCCTCTTCCCTTCCCTCTCGTCTCCCCCTCTTCCCTGCTCTCCCTCTTTCCTATCTCCCGTTCTCCCTCTCCCCCCCCCCCTTGACTCCCTGTGTGCAGTGGTTACCAGCTGTCGAGAGTGCTCTGCTGCAGCAACGATTGAAGGAGCTCAAGCAAGCACGAGGCAAGGTTCAACAGGGCAAGAGGGCATCGGCAGGGAGTAGAGACTCGAGGTATCAGGGTGAAAGCAGGCAAATCACAAGAGAAGCGAGCACGGGAGAGGGAGAGAGGAGAGCAGGTGAAGGGAAGAGGAACACAGGGGCAGGTAGTGAGGGAGAGGGAGAGGAAGAGAGGAGTGGGCATACATTGGAGGCTCCTGACGGCAATGCAGTAGACCCACCTGCTCGACCCACATCACCACCATTTACACCTGACAGTTCACCTTCTCAACCTGCCCTTCAACCTGCCCTTCAATCTGCCCTTCAACCTGCCCTTCAACCTGCCCTTCAACCTGCCCCTCAACCTTCCCTTCAACCTGCCCGTCGACCTGCCCCTCGACCTGCCCCTCAACCTGCCCCTCAACCTGCCCCTCAACCTTCCCCACCTGCTGCTGGGCTTGACTCAACACCTTCGACTGGTGCTGTCAGTGGTGCTTCAGTTGCCCCTTTAAGTGCTCCTTCAGGTGCTTCTTCGGGTACCCCTCCTTCAGGTGCTTCTTCAGGTGCTCCTTCAGGTTCTTCTTCAGGTGCTTCTCCAGGTTTTCCTCCACATCATACTGAGGCATCAGGGGTTTCGCTGCCATCACCAGCAGAACCGCACAGGAGTTCTGTGAGCCCGGGGAGGGTGATGCAGGGAGGCGCAACACAGATACCTGCAGCAGTAGCGGTTGCAGATATTTCAGCAGAATCAGCGGCAGCTAGAAAAGAGGCAGCAGCAGATGTAGCTTCAGCAGACACAGCAGCAGCTGCCGTTAAAGCAGCAGAGGCAGTAGCGGTTGCAGGTACAGGAGAAAATTCAGCAGCAAAAGTAAGGGTTGGAGTACAGGCCGCAGCAGAGGAAGGAGCAGCAGCAGTAGCAGCAGAACTGGCAGCAGCCGCAGCAACAGGAGCAGCAGATGAAGCAAATGCAGAGGCCGCGGCAGCAGCAGCAGCAGCAGCAGCAGCAGCGGCGGCAGCAGCACCGTCGGTGGCTCAGTGGGTGGAGGTTGCCTTGAACCTCGTGGATGCTGCCATGCCTGGTGCTGTGAGCGCAGGGGAGAGGGCGCAGGTGCGTGCGTGACTGCGACTGTGTGTGGGGTGCATGCGAGCATGGGTGTGTGTGTGTCTGTGTGTGTCTGCGTGGCAGCGGCAGCAGGATCACTATCACCACCACCAGCAGCACCGTCGGTGGCTCAGTGGGCGGAGTTGGCTCTGAACCTCGTGGATGCAGCCATGCCTGGTGCTGTGAGCACAGAGGAGAGGACGCAGGTGAGTGTGTGTGTGTGTGTGTGTGTGTGTGTGTGTGTGTGTGTGTGAGTGTGTGTGCGTGCGTGTACTTGTGCGTGTACTTGTGCGTGTGTGTGTGCATGTGTGTTTGGGTGTGTATGTATATGTGTGTGCGCATGTGTGTCTGTGTGTGGGTGCGAGGGTGTATGTGTGTGTGTGAGTGTGTGTGCGTGGATGTGTGTATGTCCCGTCACTGCTTCCCCCGGTCACCCAGGCCCGGTCGCACCATCACCTTTTCCTCGTTCAACTCACCTGTTCTTCCCTTCCCCTCTGCCCCTCCTGACACCCCTCCCTTCCGCTCTTCCCTGCTTCACTGCGCCTTCCCTCCCAGCTCCTGGCGGCCATAACGAGGGGGCAGAGCATAGCAGACGCGGTGCAGCAGGTGCTGCCGCCAGAGCAGCAAACAGCAGTCGCCACCACTCTCAGGCACTGCCTCGAGGCGGCCCAACGCTCACCTGCACTGGAAAGCACTCTCAAGCAGGTGGTTTCCCTTCTTCCCCAGACACGTGCGATTCTTGAGGCGCCTCAGGAAGAGGCACCTGAAAAAGTGGCGCCTCGATTTTCAATACCTGCTGTGGAGCGGAGTGAACATGAGGAGCGGCAGGAGAAGGAGCAAGAGGAGCATGAGAAGGGGCAGCGGCAAGAGCAGGAGAAAATGCAGCAACAGGCAAAGGAGGAGGAGCAGCAGCAAGAGAAGGAGCAGCAAGAGAAGGAGCAGCAGCGGCAGAATCAGGTGCTTGACGAGTTGTGGGGCGAAATACCCGAGTATGACCAGGCAGCTGCGACCTCTTCCGCTGCGGCAGCGGCTGCTGGTACTCATGATGGCGAGAAGGATAACGAAAGTGGCAGCAATAGTAACGGCAGCAGCAGTGGGAACGGCAGCAGCAGCAGCAGAGGCAACCCCAGAAGAACAAGCAGCAACAGCGCCCCCTCTGTACCTTCCCAGCCTCCCGGAAGCACATCCCCACAGGCCTCTCCCCTCCTCACTCCCACCCCTCCTGGCCCCCCTCCTCCCCAAGTCTCTCCTCCAGTCTCCCCAGCCGCCCCCCTACCCCGTGCCGCCTCCCAATCCATTGCCGCCTCCCCTCCACCTGCCGCCTCCCCTCCCCCTGCCAACTCCTCTCCCCCTGCCATCTCCCCTTCCCCATCTTCTGTTCCACCCTCTCCTCCATCTCCCCCGCCCTCGTCGTCCATCCCCCCCACCCCCAGCAAGACATCCGCTGACAACAGTGCCCCTGCCCCTCTCCCCACCTCCCCTCCCCCCACCTCCCCTCCCCCCACCTCCCCTCCCTCCAGTCCCCCTTCCCCCGCTTCCCCTTCCCCCAGTTCTGCTCCCCCTAGCCTCTCGACCCCTGCTTCCATTCCCCCGGTTTCCCCTTCCTCAACTCCCCCTCCCGCCAATTCCCCTTCCCCCAACCCCCCTCCCCCCACTTCGCCTTCCCCCATTCCTCCTCCCCCAACTATCCCCGACTCCAGCTCCCCTTCCCCTCGTCCCTCTTCAGTTGCTTCGCCCTCCAGCCTTCCCCCAACCTCCCCGTCTCCCCCTTCTGATGCGCCCTCCCGCCCACCCACTTCCCCAGATCCTTCCCCCGCCTCCCCTCCTTCCCAATCCCCCGTTTCCCCCAACCCTCCTCCCTCCCAACCCCCATCTGCGTCTCCTGCTCCTGTATCTCTCAGTGGGCTGAATTTGTCTGTAGCAGTGCAGGCATTATCTGGGGTAGATGACAACTCACAGGTGGCCGTGGCAAGTGTGTTCGATGCTGTGGGTGGGATTTTGGCAGAGCTAAAACAGGAGAAGGAGAAACGGGAGGAGGAGGAGGAAGAGAGAAAGGAGGAGGAAAAGAGGGAGGAGGAAAAGAGGGAAGAGAAGGAGGAGGATTGTAAGGAGAAGGGAGAAGGGAAGGAGGCAGGGAAAGAGAAGGGCAACAAAGCAAGAAGCGAAAGAGAGGAAAAAAGAGGCGAGAAAAAGGAGGAGGAAAGAGAGGCGGAAAGGGAGCTGGAAAACGAGGAGTATGGAGGGGCCTTCTCAACAGGCTCGCCCATGGGTAAGATGGTGGGCTCTGCTACAGCCATGGCTGCCATAGCTCTGGCAATGAACGCTACAGGCGGAACTATTGAGGCTGCTGCTGAGACGTCTCAAAGGGAGCATTGTGGGATGGTAGTGGCAGGAGGGCAACGGGCAGGGGTGGACAAGAGTGGGGCTGCAAGGGAAGAAGCAGCAGCCATGGAGCAGCTAGGGAGGGGAGCAGGGGGGGAGGAAGAGGAGGAGTAGAGGCAGGAGCAGAGGGAGGTGGGGAGGGAGGAGGAGATGGAAAAGCAGAGGGTGCAGGAGAGGGGATTATAGAGATAGCAGAGAAAGCAATAGAAGTGGCGGCCCCTGTGATTCCAAGGAAGCAGGACGGACAGATCGACCTCAAGAGGTGGGTCAAGCAGGAATGAGACTGAAATTGTAGGTGCCTCAATAATTGCCTCATCACACACAAGTGGCGGCCCCTGTGATTCCGAGGAAGCAGGACGGACAGATCGACCTAGAGAGGCGAGTCAAGTTGGAACGACATGATTTTTTAGGCGCTTGAATGAAAAATCTTGAAATCGCACAATTCGATATGTAGTGATGGAGAGTTGAGTCGATTCAATAAGGCAAGTCGACTTGACACCCTTCCCAACCCTCCCACAGGTTATCCGAGATGATACAGCAGTGTAGTGGGGGTCGCAGGGGCACATTCTGCGGGTGGTGAGCAAGGCGACTTTCTTTGCAAATGGGGCTTTAAGTTCTTGCTGCTTGCTCCCACTGCTCTGCCCTTCAAGCAGGTTATCCGAGATGATACAGCAGTGGGGGTCGCAGGGGCGCATGCTGAGGGTGGTGGGGAAAGCGGCTCTCTTTGCGGAAGGGCTGTACGGCGCAGTAGGGTTGTGCGAGCAGCTCATTGCTCTCACAGATATTTACAAGCGGGCACTCACTACTAGGTGACGTGGTGGCATGCTCACAGAAACTCTTTATTCCAGGGGAAGGAGGGACTGCTGTATGGCGCTGTGGGGCCGCTTACCTTCCTTCTCTCCCATGCTTTTCCATGCCCTCTCCTTTCCCTCACTCACCATTACACCAAACTCATCACTACACTCATCACCCTCACTCTCGTTCTCTTTCCCACCCACCCCCCTTCTCCCACCCCTCAGGCTCCTTTTCTCGCTTCTCCTCCTCATCCTCCTATGGTCGCCCATCCTCATCCCCCTCCTCCCCTCACTCATCACCACACTCACCTCCGCCTCGGGCGATCCCGCGGCGCCACCTGTCGTCACCACAGCCCTGCTGGCTGTGGGTCTCTACATAGCCCTGCTGCTGCTGGTGCGCATCTGGGGCAGGACGGTGAGGAGATTTGAGCACCCAATTGAGCAGTATGGATTTCGAGTGTTCGAGTCAACGCAGGAGGTGAGTTGGCCAAGTTTGTTCTGTTGCTATTCTGTTACGCTGATAGGCTGTTACGCTGATAGGCTGTTACGCTCTTAGGCTGTTAGGCTGTTACGTTGTTAGGCTGTAGGTTGTTACGCTGTTACTCTGTTAGGCTGTTAGGTTGTTAGTCTGTTAGGCAGTTACGCTGTAAGGCTGTTGGGCTGTTACGCTGTTAAGCTGTTACGATGTTACACTGTTACGCTGTTAGGTTATTAGGCTGTTAGGCTGTTACGCTGTTAGGCTGTTAGGCTGTTAGGATGTTTGGTTGTTAGGCTGTTACGCTGTTAGGCTGTTAGGCTGTTACGCTGTAGGCTGTTAGGCTGTTACGCTCTTAGGCTGTTGGGCTGATACGCTGTTAGGCTGTTAGGCTGTTTGGCTGTTACACTGTTAGGCTGATAGGCTGTTACGCTATTAGGCTGTCAGGCTGTTAGGCTGTTATGCTGTTAGGCTGTTACGCTGTTAGGCTGTTATGCTGTTAGGCTGTTACGCTGTTAGGCTGTTAGGCTGTTAGGCTGTTACGCTGTTACGCTGTTACGCTGTTAGGCTGTTAGGCTGTTAGGCTGTTAGGCCATTACGCAGTTAGGCTGTTACGCTGTTACACTGTTAGGCTTTTAGGCTAATACGCTGTTAGGTTGTTACGCTATTAGGCTCTTAGGCTGTTACGCTATTAGGCTCTTAGGCTGTTACACTGTTACGCTGTTACGATGTTAGGCTATTAGGCTGTAACGCTATTATGCTGTTAGGCTGTTAGGCTGTTAGGCTGTTACGCTGTTAGGCTGTTACGCTGTTAAGCTGTTACGCTGTAAAGCTGTTACGTTGTTAGGCTGTTACGCTGTTAGGCTGTTAGGCTGTTAGGCTGTTAGGCTGTTACGCTGTTAGGCTGTTAGGCTGTTAGGCTGTTAGGCTGTTACGCTGTTAGGCTGTTACGCTGTTAGGCTGTTAGGCTGTTAGGCTGTTAGGCTGTTAGGCTGTTACGTTGTTACGCTGTTACGCTGTCAGGCTGTTACACTGTTGGGCTGTTACGTTGTTAGGCTGTTACGCTGTTACGCTGTTACGCTGTTAGGCTGTTAGGCTTTTAGGCTGTTACGCGATTCGGCTGTAAGGCTGTTAGGCTGTTACGCTGTTACGTTGTCACGCTGTTACGCTGTTAGGCTGTGAGGCTGTCAGGCTGTTACGCTGTTAGACTGCTAGGCTGTTAGGCTGTTAGGCTGTTACGCTGTTACGCTGTTAGGCTGTTAGGCTTTTAGGCTGTTTCGCTGTTTGGCTGTTAGGCTGTTAGGCAGTTAGGCTGTGGGCTGTTAGGCCATTAGGCTGTTAGGCTGTTACGCTGTTACGCTGTTAGGCTGTTAGGCTGAGACAAGCTTGCCATCCTCCTCCCTAACCCGTTCTCTTAAAATTCTTAGTTTTGCATTCCATGACTAAAAAAGTTCGTCTTCTTCCCACCCCATCACCACCCACCAGGTGGCATGGCTGGCACAGGGTCTACTGCTGGGATCATTCCTGCTTCTGCTGCTGCTACACTCCTTACAGCTACATCTCCATTCCCCCTCTCGCCCCTCCTTCCCCCCCCCCATCACCATCAGGTGGCATGGTTGGCACAGGGTCTACTGCTGGGATTATCCCTGCTGCTGCTGCTACACGCCTTACAGCTACATCTGCGCCTCACCTCCCTCAACCTCCCCTTCGACACCCGCCCATCCTTCCACCTCTCATCCTTCCACCTCCCATCCTTCCACCTCCCAACCCTTCACCTCCCAACTTTCCACTTCCCGACCTATCACCACCTTCCCACCCTCCATATCCTTTCCTCTGCCTTCCACTCGCTCCTGCTGCTCCTGCACCTAGCTACCTCCTCCCTGCCTCACTGGATACCCCTACATTTCCCTGCTCCCTCACCCCTCTCAATTGCTCAAGCCCTACAAGCCCCAATCCTCACTGCTTCTGGTGCTTCTGCTGCTGCGACTGCTGCGGCTGCCACCCCCGCTGTCACGCCTACCCTCCTAGTCTCTCTCCTCCCCTCTCTCCTCCCATCCCTCCTCTCCGCCCTCCTCTCTCTCCTCTTATCAGCCACTCGCATCCTGCGCCTTGTAGTGGAGTCGCTACTAATGGGTACGGCTGTAGCAGTGGTGGAGGAGCTGGTCTTCCGAGGCTGGCTGTTCGAAGAGGTTCGGCAGGACCGAGGCTTGGCGTTTGCTTCGGGGGTCACTGCGCTGCTGTTTGCTCTCGTGCACTGGTGAGAGGCTCTAGAAGCATGTGCCATGCAGCTCAATGGGCTGAGTATTCTCATATCAGGTATTGAGTTCTCACGCTGAGTATTCTCTACTCAAACGCAACAATGGGGGCTGAGAATACTCAGCGTGAGATCGCAACAATGTGCAGAGGTGAATCAGCAGGGGAATCAGGACCCAATCCAGCCATTCCCTCTGCTGCAGCACCAATCCTACCCATCCCACCTCTCTCCTGTCTCCCATACACACCCATTTTCCTTTCCCTCTCCGCCCCTCTGCAGGCCTATCCCACCCCACCCATGCTTGGTCTCTTCCTTCTCTTCCTCATCCTCTCCTTCCTCAGCCATCGCCGCACCAACAGTCTTTCCCTGCCCTTCCAACCCCCCCTTTTCCCCCCTCTCCATCTCTCCCTCGGGTCTATCCCAGCCATGCCCGGTCTCTTCCTCCTCTCCCTCACTCTCTCCTTCCTCCGCCATCGCTGCACCACCAGTCCCACCACTCCCACCTGCCTCCTGTCTCCCACACACATCCCTCCCTCTCCCCCCCCCCCATTACAGGTCTATCCCTGCTATGCCTGGTCTCTTCCTCCTCTCCCTCATCCTCTCCTTCCTCCGCCATCGCTGCAGCGCCAGCCTCTCCCTCCCCATCGGCCTCCACACCAGCCTCGTCGCCGTAAATCAAATCATATCTTTCTCCGGTATCATATCCTACCGCCCAGAAGCACCTGTGTGGCTCACAGGCGTGCATAAGGGCAACCCTCTGGCAGGGGTGATTGCTCAGGGGCTTCTGCTGGTGATGGCCGTGGTGCTGTGCCCTTGGGGGGAACTAGTGTGGGAAAAGAGGGGTTATTTGCATGGGGATAGTGATATTGATAGTGACGATGACGCTAGAGATACCAACGAGTCTGAGGATGAGTTTAAAGACTCATCCTCACCTGCTACAATGTAGTCAGTGAGAAGTTCTGTTCAAAACACAGACACCGCTGTACAGTGGTGCTCTTTAAATATACGATGTTCATACAGTGGTATTTTCAAGCAACCAACATATTCAAAAGCTCCCACATTCCCTCCACAGTCCCTCATCAATCACGCCTGCTGCAGCCCCATCATCGTTGCCACCTGTGTTGGCTGCTATCGCCTCATCCACACTCCAATCCCGCACCTCTTCCAGTTTATTTGAGATTAGTTTTGAGAATTCTCAAAACTAATCTCAAACAAGTTGGCTGCTATCGCCTCATCCACACTCCAACCCCGCACCTCTTCCAGTTCACTGGTAGCCCCCTCCTCACACGCCCTTGAAAAGTCAATTCAAGATTCCCCTCCTCGGGACTCACGCCTGCTGCAGCCCCATCTTCCTTGCAACCTCTGCATTGGCTGCAATTGCCTCCTCCACACTCCAGTTCCGCACTTCCTCCAATGGTAACCCCTCCTCACATACCACCACCCTACCCTTCTCTTCTCCCATACTCCCCTCCTCTCTAATCCCCTCCTCCTTGTTCTCCTCCTCCCCTCTAATCCCCTCCTCCCCTCTAATCCCCTCATCCTCTTTGATTCCCTCTTCTCTGCCCCCGCCTCCCTCTCTGCTCCTTTCTTCCCCCCTGCTCCCCTCCTCACTCTTCTCCTCTACTATACTCCCCTCCGCTCTGCTCCCCTCCTCTTGACTCCCCCCTTGCTCTCTGCGCGCCTCTGCACTACTAACCACTTCCTTTCTGCTCTGCGCCATCTCACTGTTCCCTGCTTTCTCCCCCACCCACAGCCGCCCGTTGCCTTGAACCAGCACACGCCTATCCTCCTGACTCTCCAGATGCTCCTGATTCTCGACTGTCTTGAGCTCAATAAGCTCAATCCCCACTCCCTCATGTCCTGAAACGGCTGCAGCAGCAGACGCTGCAGCAGAGCATGTGCAATCGTGTGCTTCAGCAATGGGTTCTAGGCTCCCTGCCAAAAATTCTGTTGGTCCGCTTGGCTCAATGCTGCTGCCGCCACCTCGGCCTTCACTGCTGCTGCTGCTGCTGCTGCTGCTGAGTAAAGAGTTGCTACTATTGCTACTAGTGTCACTGCTGGTACCGCTGCTGCTTCCTGGCAACTCAGCTGCCGCTACAGCTGTAGCAGCCGATACAGCCATGCCATCCGTAGCAGCCGCCTTGGAGCTTAAATAATTCCTCAAAACCTTCTTAGAATAATCAAGGTCCTTTCTTAAACCTCCTTCCTGCTGACTCCCCTTGCTCGCATCAAGGCCCCCACCACCAAACAATCCCTTCATTCCTCCCTGTACACTGCTGATTGCGCCTTCTGCACCTCCTGATGCGCCAAACCTGCTGCCCAGCGCCGCCCCTCCAGCAGCAACAGCCACAGCCACGCCAAGAGCCACTGCCCACCTCCCACCGTGCTGCGCTCTAGCAAAACTTTTTGTTTCGGGCAGCAGGAACTGTTGTTGCCCGACCGTGGCTGCGAATTGTCGTGCAGAGCCGCCCAAAAAGTTGCTCCTGTGCTGTTTTCCCCCTAACCCCCCTCCCACTTGCCCACCTGCTATCCGCTGCTGCTGCCCGTCCGTCCCTCCTGACTGTTGCAGCTGCAACTGCTGTGGCTGTTGCAATGGTTGCTGCGGTTGCAGCCGCCGCAGCTGCAGCTGCTGCGGTTGCTGCCTGAATGCGGTAGCAGCGGGTCGTGAAGGAGCAGCGGCAGCAGGCGTGCAGTCAAGGTACGGGATCTGGAGAGGTACGCAGGAGGCAACAGAGGATAACGAGGGGTAGTGAGGGATAGAGAGGGATAGGGAGGGTGAGGAAGAGGAGAGGAAGAACCGTGTGGGGGAATGTGCGCACGGGAGAGAAGGAGCATTACGCAACAGGCAGCTTCGAGAGAACAAGTATTCAGGGCAGCAAGCCAGTCTAGTCACGGGAAGCTTCCTTACCTTGGGAGCACCCACGCTAGCAAAAGCCGAAACCACCTCCCTCTCTTCGCACACCTCTAATCGCCTCAAGCCCGCACCAGCAACTGCTCCTCCTCTTCTCGCCTCCTCTCCCTTCTCAAGGCTATTGCTTCTCATCCTCTCTTTGCTGCTTCTGCCACCGCTCTCCCTGCTTTCCTTCCGCCCCCCCAACAGCCCCCCCTCCCTTCCCCCTCCGCCTCTCGTCTTCCCGCCCTCCCGCGCTCCAGATTCGTTCCTCTGCTGCCCGACATTCGGACCAGCCGCGTATTTTCCAGGGTAATTTCCCCCAGGTTTTTCTCTAATTTTCAGGGCAAAGTCCTGCGACACCTTTATTTCGGAGTCCTTTACACCGAGCGGCGTTTCCTCCAAGCCAACGCGCACCCGCCCTCTCTCATTCGAGCAGACACTAGGTACGTTACCGCCTCCTCCCTCCGCCCCACTCCACACTGCCAAGTCATCGCCATTCGTGGTAACTCTTGGACCCGTCGCGAAGCTCGTCACGTCGCCGACTTTCGCCGCGGCCGGCAGGAATATCACCTCCCCCACTCGCACCGCGGGCGACGGCTTGTCGTTTACCGCGAGGAGCGCGTCCAAGGGGAGGTGGTAACTGGCGGCGATGGAGAAGAGGGTCTCGCCCGGTGCTACCTGGTGAAGGCGCATCGACACTGATACGCTAACTGTTTTTGTCGTTTTCCCGTGGAGTTTTGAACCGCGTTCCCGCGGGGATGGACCGGTGGAGGTGCGATGTGGAAGTGCGGCGCGAGCTTGCGACGAAACCTGCAAGGTGGGTGAACAAAAGCAAGTAGTCGAAGAAAGAAAGAAAACTCAAGACGACTTTTAAGGAGTACAAGCTTCATGATCTGAGGAAAAAAAAAAGAGGGGCGGGGGGAATGGAGGAGGGGGGGAGGGAGGACCGGAAAGCAAGGGGGGGAAGAAAGGGACGAAGCAGAAAAGGAAAAATCTAATAACGAGAATGACAGTGCAGAGCTGCTACGCACATTCTGCTGCTGCGCTATGCAGATGATTGAAGGATCAGCACGGGCCGCGCTCGTTGCACTGCGGCAACTATTGGACTGAACACCTGCAGTACCCCCGCTGCTACTATCGGTGCCCCAAGAGCGAGAATGGGAGGCTAGAAATCCCATGTCTGAAGCTGCCACTTTTTTGGCGGTGAAAGGAACGGATTGGAGCGCCATGCTCGCACCGCGATAAAATTGAAACAACGAGAAAAGTGGACTAATGTGCCTGAAAATATGGGACCTTTGCGCAACAATCTTAGGGCATCGTTAGGAATGAAATATAAAATGGGGAAGGGAAAGGCAGATAAAGCGGTGGGGTGGGGAGGGGGGCGGCGGGAAATCTCAACGACCAAGGCCATGGCGGGAAATATGTCCCCCTAAAGGTTTGGCGTTGGCCTCGGATCATAGCCATGGCGGCTGTGCGCTGGTTCGGAAGCAGACCAGAAGTTCGGGCAGCTCGGCGAGCATCCCAAAGAGACTCGGGCAGCGGCGAGTGATAGCTAGGAGAACCGCGCTAGGACTTGATCCGTTCCCAACATAGGTTACGGTTCAGTAGGATGCGGTTTGTTTAGAAGCGTTGTTTCTGTTTACAAAGCGGTTGAGAGGACAACCACGACGGCGGTGAGGCTTGCCTGCGGAAGCCAACTTGGGATACGTGAAGCGGATGGGCAGGGCAGGCGAATGTTGAGGTTTCACCAGCGGGCACGGTTTGGTAGCAGAGGTATGGGTGTCGAAGCGCTGATGATGGGAGGTCTGAACCGAACAGGAGTTCGCTTCGGTCTATTTGGAAGTCCGATTTTCCTGGAGGCAATTTATCAAAAAATATAAAAAATTGCAGATACAGCTCTCTGACCAAAGCACACTAAATATCCTAGTTTAACCACACTTGAGCAATACCATAGCACCATCCTAAAGTCCAATATCAATGGAGAAATCATATTACTAAGCGAATACTAAAATTTACCAGGTGCCATTACTGTTGATTCATGGGGTTTTGTGGCGACTTCTTCCACGCCTTCCAAATCTGCTCCTTGTACTGAGTGAGGGTCAAGCCAGGCCGCTCCTGCTTCATGCGAGGAAGCTCCGCCTCCTCAAATGCCTGAGGTAAGGGAGATCACAGGAAAAAGGTGGAGGAGGAGCACCGAAGGAAAGTTAGGAGGAAGAGACTGGACACCGTCAAACATGAAAGAGAATGCACAGAAACCAGTTGACAAGGGGCTAGACTAGAAAATACGGTACTTGGCTCCAAGCACGCAGCAGACAGCAGGCAGCAAGCAGCGAGCAGCAGGCACAAACTTTCCTTATCATACTCTCGCCCTCTTTCAGGGAATCCCACATTTCTCTCAAAAACCCTCCTCCTCCCTTCCCCTTGAAGCCCGACCTTCCCAAAACCCATGATCATCTAACCCTGACCCCTCCCCTCGCCCCTGTCCCTTCAACTCTGTTCCCCCTCACCCTCGTCTGCTCACCTTTAACGCATGCTCCATTCACTTATCCAGGCACTTTTACATGCTGCTGCTGCTCCCTGCTTCCCCAGTGCCTTCACCCTTCTCTCACCTCACCCTCCATTCTCTCTCCAGGTGCTTATCCACACCACACTGCCGCGCCCCTCCACTGCTGCTCCCTTCCAATGCTGCTTTTTACCTCTCCCATACCTTCACCCTCCTCTCACCTTAAACGCGGCCTTCATTCTCTTCTCCGGGTGCTTATCCACACTGGCGCTCCCCTCCTCCCCCGCAGCCACGCTCAGCTGGCTCAGCGCCTCCCCCACGTTCCGCGCATCTACCGCCACAGCCATGCGGTTCGTGTTCTCCACCTCTAGCATGCGCGCATACTCCGCCTCTTCCGCCACCCGCGCGGCCTTCTTCCGCCTCTCCGCCTCCGCGCCCTCCAGCTCCTTCTGCTCGCGCTCCTTGATCCGCGCAAGCTCCGCCTGGGTCACTTTCGCCCCGCCTCCGCCGCTGCTCCCCGCGCCTGCGCGCCGAGCCCCGGCGCCCGCGCTCGCGGAGCTTCCGCCTCCTCCGCCACCGCGGGAGACACCCTTCCCCGATATCTTCGCCATCTCTCCCGCCTCGATCTCCTCGAGCCGCTTCTTCTCAGCGCGTTTCGCGGCGGCTTCCGCGCGCTTCTGCTCGTCCTCCTCCTTTTTCTTCGCAGCCCGGCCTTTCGGGGCGTCGTCCGCCCATCGCGCGTCCTCCTTGGCCTTCTCCGCCGCGCGCTTCTTTTCGTCCGCCACCGCCGCCTTCCGCTCGCGCGCCTCCTCCGCCTTGGTGTTGGGCGTCAGCTTCCTCGGCATTTCTTCTCACGCGGTGGAACAAGCGCGCTCGCCTGGATGCGAGCGCGGTTGAACAACTAAACGCGTGCAATTTAAGAAAGATCCGCCGTGTCTAAGGGCGCTTCAATCGCGCATTCCAATGCTGCCTTGGCGCTAGAAACGACGAAGAAAGACGGAAAGGAATAGTACTCCTGGGGGCCTACACGTCCGGATCCAGGAGAAGGCAGGCTCGTGGGGTGAGGGGACGATCGGCGACAGAATGCACGCAACAGGGATGCCGGCGAAAGTCAGGAGTAAATCCTTATATACGACCAGGGAGGAGTTTGACGTACGCGATACAAGATTGTGTTCCGAGCAAGGGCGCCAGCGCGCAAAAACTCGGACTGGGCGTACGTGTAGTCCCGACCAGATGACATTCCGTTAAACATCAGAAAATGCAGCAGGAAGCTAATCCAAAAATTATCAATTAATCCACTTCCAGAAACAGTACTTATAAATGCCGCTACCTATATATGCGGCTATTAGTTATTATACGTATCTAGTCAAAAACCGAATCCAAACATCTTCATCAGGCTAGACCCTCTCTTCTTTTCAACAGGCGAGTCCTCCACAGCTGCCGCCTTCCATGCTGCATCGCGGGCTCTCAGCATTTCAATATACTCCTTCTCCTGCTTCTTCCTTGTATCCTTTAGTTGCACTTGCTCATCAGTAGCCGCCCTCCTTGTCTCAACAGGCACCTCCTCCAAAACTCCAAACGGTCCGTCAATCCCCGGATAGCCGTTATTCTCACCCAATACACTCTTATTCCAAACAACTCCCGGGCTACTACCCCCGGGGGCTGCTTTGATCGAAGCAGATTGGGCAAACTTCATCCCCCATCCTCCAAGGTCATTGTCTCCAAACGAACCGGACCTGAAATCCAGCTCCAGCTGTGTGTCTCCTCCTGACGCATAGTTAGGAACTCCTGACGCGGAACTCGACTGGGTCAACGGAGAATGCTGCATCAGCTTATTCTCCTTCCCAACTCGGCTCCTCTCCCCCCCCTTCCAATACTCCTCCTGGTTCTGCTCCCCTCCTGTCTTTGCTGTCTCTGCTCCGTTCCTTGCACCCTTGCCTCCAGCGCGCATCGCCAGCATGAGGGTGTTCCCAGCAGGCAGCAGAACAGGCTCTTCTGCTCCAGCGTTCATAGACAGTTTAGGGACATCAGTTGCGTTCAAAGAGTTAGCAGCGTTCATCGACTTGATATCCGACATCCACATCCTTCTCTGGACCATCTTCTTTTCACTAGCCACCTGTTCATTCTCCTGCTCCTGCTGCTGCAGCTGCTGCTGCTGCTGCTGCTCCTCCTGTTGCTGCTGCTGCTGCTGCTGCTGCTGCCACTCCTGCTGCTGCTGCACACCCAATCCGTCATCTCTGCTTCCCCCACCCTGCGTCCAGCTGAAATCAGCATCTGAATTCACTTCTCCCTTTGTCGCCCCCCCTCTTTCCGCCTTCCCCGCCGCTGCTCCTGCAGCCGCCTTTCCATAGTCACTGAAATTCCAGCACTCAAGGGAAGTCACAAGCAAAGACTCCTGACTCAGCCCATCGCTCCCCTTACCACTCCCCGCACTAGCTTCCCTACCTCCTCGAACAGGAGACTTGTTCCTCAGCAAGACCGGATAGTCATTCTCCACAATCTTCCCTGGCCTTTCCCCTGATGCTCCTGCTCCTGCTCCTGCTCCTGCTCCTGCTCCTGCTCCTTTCCCTGCTGCTCCTGCTACCGCTGCATTTCCTGCTCCTGCTGGCTCCTTCCCTCCTCCACTCTCAGCAGCAACGCGGCCCCGAGCAGCAGACGCTCCTTCCCCTCCACATCGAGCGGCAGATGCACCTCGCCCATTGTTGGACGCCTGCCCTTGCTCCTGCTCCTTCTCCCCTGCGCTCTCCCTCACCACCACGTGGGCGCTCTGGGATCGAACCACCCGCCCTCCTCTCACAAGCCCTTCAACGTCCCTCTCACTTCCACCTCCCCCGCTGCCTGTCCTCCGAGCAGCTAACCCGCCCCTTATCCCTGCAGCAGCTGCTCCCTGCAAGCGGCTGCCAGGAACGTTCTGGGAGACGGAAATTCGCTGCTGCCCGTTTTGCTGCCCGAGCTTGCCTGTGCGGTAGAGATCGGGGCTGGGGGCGCGGGCACGGGCACGAGACACAATTGCAGCAGAGGCAGCAGCAGCAGATGTGGTGGCAGCGGCTCCTGCACTCGCAGCCGCTGCTTTGGCTGCAGAAGCGGCAGTGGGAGCAGTGAGAGAGGAGGAAGAGGAGAGCGTGCGAGAAGCAGCACCAGCACCAGCACCAGCAGTACTAGGCCTGGAAGTGCGAGGAGCGGAGATGGGACGACGATAGGCAGTGGAGCTTGGGGAGGATAGCTGCTGCTTCTTTTGGGTGGCGACCGTGCTGGCTGGCAGCAGCAGCAGCAGCAGCAGCTGCTGCTGCTCGTGCAGCCTTGGCTGAAGCTGCAACCGCAGCAGCAGAAGCAGAGGCACCAACGGGTTGGGAGGCGGAGGAGAGGGAGCGGCGGCGCTCAGAGAGCGAAGCAGAGGAGGAGGAGCGCACGAGAGAGGAGCTGCGCCGGAGCCGCTGCTGCCTCGCCTCCTCCTGCCGCCGCTTCTCCTCTTCCTGGAATCACACATGCGGGGGCGTGGGGAAAGGCCAGGAGGGGATTGGGGGTGGGGAAGGTGGGGAAATAGATGGAGGGCGAAGGGGAAGACACATTGGGGTAAGTGCCTCAAAAGGCAGACTGGCACGCTTCTGCTCAGGATAGACTGGCACAAAGAGCGCAAGAGCACTTGGGATAAACTGCCCAGAACAGGGCAGCGGATCCAGGAAAATAGTTGCGAGAGAAAGGGATATCGAAACAGCCAAAGAGGAAAGAGAATAAGAACAGTAGGACCTCAGAGGAGAATTAAGGAGAATCAAGGGGAATAAAGGTGGGTCCCGTACCCTGCGTTTGGCGGCTTCCTGCTGCTTCCTCTCCATCACCATCATTGCCCTCTCCTGCAAACTCATCGCCCCCACTCCCCCTCCGCCTCCCACTCCCCCTCCGCCTCCCACTCCCCCTCCCCCTCCGCCACGCCCCCTGCCCGCTCCTCCCCCTCTCCCCGCGCTCCCAATGCTCCTGCTCCGCGCCAAAGCGCCCATTCCGCCAAACCCCATCCCCCCTGCGCGCATCCCAGGCGCCACATTACCGCTACCTCTTCCCCCCACTGCCCTCCTCGCGTCCGTCACTCCCCCACCTCCTCTCCCCGCACCTCTCCCTCCAGCCGCCCCCCCGCCTCCCCTTCCGCCCGTCCCCGCGCCAGCCTCCAGAGAGTTGCGGAACGCCTCCCCCTTCATCACGTCTTCCTCCCCCTCGTCTTCCAACCCCGCCCACCCTCCCATGACCTCCATCTCGAGTTCCCCAGGCACCAACCTACGGTCATTTTCTTTGCCACGTGGACTGCTCTGCCCACCTCCCCTGAGCTCCACCTCCCCCAGATAGTCCCTGCCCTCATCCGCGCTCGTCCACGGGGAATCCTTTTTGGGAGTATCTGCGGTCACCATAAGAATATCAACTGCCCCCCCCATGCCACCTGTGCCACCTGCTCCCCCTGCTCCTCCTTCCGCCCCACCCTCCGCCCTTCCCTCTGCGCCTCCCACCGCAAATCCTCCTGCTCCTCCACCTGTTATTCCGCCTGCCCCCGCGCCCCTTCCCCCGCTCCCCGCTCTCACTTGATACGCGGACTGAGAGCGGATGATAGGCGAGATTTGCGACGGCCTTCCATAGCCACTCCCGCTCCTGATCAACACTCCGCCGTCCGATTTCATTCCCATCGCAGCGGCGGCTAAGTGCAACCCGCCTGCCGCCTCCCTCCCCGCGCCGGTTCCGCCGACCCCCGCTTCCCCCTTCGCGCCTCTCCTCTGCAGCCCTGCGACGAAATCCCTCAGGTCCTGCGACGTCGCGTGCGACATGGGCGACGACGCGCGCGACCTGGGCGACGTCGCGCGGCTATTCACTGGTCGCAGCGGGCTCGCCGAGCAGCTGAGCTGATTCTCTGCGACGGAGCTTGCGACGCTGCTGTCCTCTACTAAATTTCTGCCCGGAAAAAGCACACTCGGTTCAGTCACGTCGTCCCTTCCAAATACCGCGCTGCTCGTATCCGACAAATCCGTGGACGCCCCCGCATTACTTGCCGCGAATCCCGCCGCGCTCCACGGCCGCTGCTGCCACGGCATTAGCCGGCTAGCCGACTTGGTCTTGAACGGCCGGCGCCGTCTAGCGGCAGCGGGCGAGTCGCCGCGAAACGCGGCCGGCCCAGTTCCGTACCCGCCCCTTCTGTTAGTATCGTCCGTGCTCCATTCTGATTGGTCCTCCCCAGACCAACCCCCGGGCGTGGAAAACGGGCTATTATACCCCACAAAACCAGGGGCACTTCCCCAACCACCCGCACCCGCGCCCCCGATACCCATTGCGCCGCCGACGCCACCCATTGCGCCGCCTACCCCGCCGGCCATTCCGCCGCTGCCGCTGGCGACGGCGTATATCTCGCCGTTAGGACCGACGAGGCCATAAGTTATAGGGGTCCCCGCAGGGGGAGATATCCCTGGGCCCATGGAGCCGGGGATACCACCGGGCATAGCCCCGTTATACAGAGGAACGAAGGGGTAATAGCCGCCGGGAGTCCCTGTAACCGTGTTACCGGCGACGTGGCCGTCGGGTAACCAGATTCCGCCGCCTCGCCCTGCCGCCAGCCCAAACGCCTGCTGCTGCTGCTGCTGCTGCTGCGGCGACGACAGCTGCAGCGGCGCAGCGCCCGCGCCCCTGCCCGCGCCCGCGCTTGCGCCGCCGCCGGCCAGCGCGGCGGACTGCGCGAGTTGCGCGCGCGTGAGGCTTTCCGCGTAGGCGGAGTCTTGGCGGCGGACGAGGGAGGAAAACTTCACGCACGCGTGCTTCAATCGGACGGCTCCGAAGCAATCCGCGAAGCAGAGCAGCAGCGGCAGCACGTCGGGGGAAAATCCAGCAGCCGCTGCGCGCGCGATCGCCACGCCCTGCTCGCGCTTGAGCATGGCCGCGCGCACGTCCTTGGCGCGGCGCAGGTTACTGAACGGAAACCAGGGGGACCAAAAAGGAAGGTTTTCAACACTCGTTCTTGAGAAGAACGAACCAAGTGACGGCTCTAAACCCTGAAAGCCATGCATGACGATGTGTCAACCCCAATCTTACCTCTCTCGCTCGCTGCTATCGCTGGACGCATCTGTCTTGAATCCGCTCTGCAGTATTGACGGACGCACGGGTTCACGCAGACATGGGTTCACACACACACACACAGGGTCACGCACGCAGAGCATGGGAAACACAGGGCGGAACAACCGTCAACACAACCGTCTCGTTAGTGGCAACGCAAGTCTTGAGCCGCCCCAAAGATTGTCAGCACGAGCGGGAATGTGAGAACGAGCGGGGACACGAGCGGGCACGGATGTGAACACTTACAAGGCTTCGGGCAGGAGACGGCGAGCGAGACGACGCACGTCGCCCCGAGAGCCGGTCTCTCAGCGGCGTCGCCCCTCTCAGGCCCCCCTCCGATCTGCCGTCGCTGCCGTCTAGTTGCTGATCCGCCTGCACAGGGCAGTGAGTCAACCCGCGCGACGGGGTAAGCGATGAATCAGTCACGTGCGACGGGGCAAGCAATTGATAAGCCACGCGCGGCGTGTCGTCACGAGCATACATGGTGACGATTCGGACAGTTTTCAACATGGCATGGAGTGGAGAGGGTTCTGGGCGGAAGAACGGGAGAGACTCACGAGGTCGAGTTTGACTTGTTCCCGCGTACCTGAAAGGGCTCAGAGGCAGCGGCGGGGGTATGGATGGTGTCGTCTAGGCTCTGCAGCTCCGCCTCGATCGTGACCGCGTGCTCCAGCAGCCCTGGCGACTTCACGAATGTTATAATCCTGTGGAAGATGCAGACACGGACACGGTGACAGGGATGAATATCACGAGCTGTTTCAGGGCGCCTCAAAGGATGATCGTCACCGCGTGCTCCAGCAGCCCGGGTGACTTCAAGAACGTTACGGTCGTAGCAACGCAAGTAACTATCCAGAACAGAGGGTATCTTAATCTCGAGAGTGTAAGCATGACAAGGTTGGGAGGAAGAGAGGGAAACAGGGAGGTTGGGTGGGGGAGGAGAAGAGACAGTGGGGAGGAGAAGCTGACCTCTCGACGGTTTTCAGGGTGAACCATCCGAGAAGCGTGTCCTCCTCGGCTTGATCCTCCCCCGCTGCTGCTGCTGCTGCTAGCGGGTTTTTTAGCCGCTGGCGATCTAGAAAATCGCGGCATTCGCGCGGATCGAGCTTAATCAGGTGCGCGCCGCTTTTGAATTGGTCGTCTACGGCCTTGATGTGTGACGCGAAGGGACGGATTAGCCCGGTGGATACGATAGAGGCTTCTCCGTTACAAGATACGACCACGTCGCATCTGCATCGGGACAGGATCGCATGCGGATTCAGCTGGATCAATGACAATGACAATGACAAAGTTTCTTATCAAGAAGACGAGAACCGAAGCACAAGTTTCTGAAATAGCAAGATCTATTGTAAAGAATCTACAAGCTCGTCTGCATGGAAGTTAACGAGTGAAAGGAAGAGCAGATTTAGGAATCGACTCGTTCGATCACCGTGACAGTATCAGCTCTGTTGTGATCAAGCTTGCTACAGAAAGAAAGATGAAGGTGCGGACTCACTGACCTGCTCTTAGTCGTGTTTAGTTGCAAAAGGACGTGGTCCAAGATGATCGAGTCGTCCATCGAGACTACCAATGGCTTCCCGTTATTTACTTCCTACGTCAGTTTTTCTTTTGCCTTCAACTTTTTCTCAGGAACATCTGAAAAAAGGCTCACTCTTTTCTCTAAAATAGAATCTAGGTCGCCAAAGGCCAGTCAGCCTTTCACCACAATAAAAAAATCATTGGCTTCTCCGAGTCTAGCACTACAGGACTTCGTCAGGCTAGTCGGCGAGAGCCGCGTAATCTACATGTTAGTTGAAAGGAACGAAAAGAGGCCTGAACCGAATGGCTCTCGTGCAGACGATGAAGGGTATGAGAGGAGGAGGTCGAATTGAAGAAATTTAGCTAAGAATGAGCCATCAAGACGAGGGAAGTGAACAGTGATGTGTGCCAGCAAGAATGAAGTATCGATCAACTGCTGCGAAGTATGCCAGTTTGAACGAGGCGATTGAGGAGCCAGAAAGGTACGCTGACAACGGCATTCCCAACCCAAGGCTCCGCTAAACTGAACTCAACATTTGAGCCAAGGCGACGCGAACATCTGGGCTGGGCTTTCCAATGGGCAGGAAATGTTGCTGCATGCATCGCCATGCTGCTTCTCATACACATGCCCCATGCTGCGATACAGGACCAATGCGACGCGAGCTCCTGGAACTGGGATGTGTATTTTTTCGTGATGCATCATGGAATGGAATGAAGGTGAACAGATTTGTAGGGAATGAGATGGGATGGGATGAGATGGGATGGGATGGGATGGGTTGGGATGGGATGGCGGGGGATGATGCGATGAGTGGTGCGTGGGTTGGGATGGTCAGAGAAAAGATTGTTGACTTGGATGGCATGGATGGGAAAAGCAGGGCAGGAATCAAATGTGAGCAATGGACGGCATGCCATTGGTCCTACAGCCAGCAATGGTAATACAGTAATCAGGGCAGCAAAGTTGGTCTCTATTCGAAAGGAGAAACCCGACTTGACGCCCAGAAATGCACCAGTCTCGATCTACGCGCGACAGAACTTGCGTCGGAGGAGGACTGCCCGAACGTGACGAGATCATCGTCGGACAGAGAATGGAACTGTTCTAGGTAAGGCCAGGCGCCGATACGTAGAGCATTTGTTCCTCGAGGGAGTGAAAAGACCAGGTCGGCCACACCGCAAGACTCGGGTTGAAAGTCGGCCGCAAGTGCTGCAAAACGAAACTTTTTGCAAAATGGTTCCAGCCGAAGCGCTCTGAACCCCAATAATTGGCGCAGTTCGGCGCCAAGGGCGGGAAAGGGCTTCGTCAGAAGTCGGCACCTCCATATTCGCTTGAGCGACGGTGAACGACTCTGAACGACGCTGCGCAGAGCTCGCCAAGCACTATTAACCGCGCCCTGCGACAGGACGACTCGCATGGCTCATTCCGCCCACACCAAGAACTGGGTGCGATGAAAGTTGTGGAAAGACTTGGCACTCCCTCCCGACTGTAGCGACAATCGATGCGACTCTCACATCCAAGCTGAACGTGCGGCTCGTCTCCTAGAGCAAACAGGATGCTACATAACAGCTTGGTAACATAACATCTATACATGGATCTATATTCTTTCCTTTGGAATGTGGAAACTGGGCTATTACACGCTTTTATCAAAATATCATAATAACTAAATAAGCAGACATGCTGCTCTGTTCAATACTTTTAATGAAGGCCCTCAAGGAATATTTGTGCTGTCATTTGCGTGTGAGAAGCATGGTCTTAGTACAGCTTCTAAATCTTGAAGGCGGACTGGCTTTGTGAGAAAAGCGTCCATTCCTGTACTTGCGCACTTATCACGTTCATGTTTAAGCGCACTTGCCGTCAGCGCAACGACAAGCGGTCTGCTTAACATCCTGGAATGGTTGAAGAAGTATTTGTCGTAGCTGCTACCAACTGCTCCATGCTCTGAGTGTCTCCCAGGTAGTGATGAACCGCCGCTGTTCATTTCAGAAATCTCGCGAATCCTCCTAGTCGCCTCAAACCCATCCATTTCGGGCATGTGCACATCCTGCAAGATGTTTCAGGCAACAGCAAAAGAAGCCAAGTGAAACAACCAAACCACAGCCATAATCCTGCAAGTCATTCAAGGTGGATTCCCATGTGCCACGAAAAAAGAGCCCACCGCAGTTTGTGTCATCACAACCCATACATACAGCAAGCACAGTACCAAGATAACTGCAACTGCATATTGCAGTTACCATAACCACACACGAATTCTCACCATGAAGATGACGTCATACTCCTTGGCTTGGCATGCTGCCACGGCCTTAACCCCATCCTCTGCCACGTCACAGGTGACCTGCAGGATGCCCAGCAGCCTCACCACCACCAATCGGTTCACCGGATTGTCCTCCACCACCAGACACCTCACCCCTGCAAACGAGCGCATCGCTGCTGCTGCTACTAGAGAAAAGGACTCCAGGGAGGGTGACCGAGGTAGTGCTGCCAATGATATTGCTGATGGTGCTGCTGATGGTGCTGGTGACTGTGCTCCGGATGGTGCTGCCAAGGGTGCTGTCAATGGCGCTGGCGCATGTGGGCTTCTGGGAGCAACCCTGGGTGAAATCAAAACAGGCATCTGTTGTTTGCCTTCGGCCACAGCCATTCCTGGCGCCCCACCCATCACACCCATCACACCCATCACACCCATCACACCCATCCCACCCATCCCACCCATCCCACCAGTCCCCACTGCAGGTCCAGCACAGCCTGCCTCAGTGCACTTAGCAGAATCACGAGTGCGTGTCGCTTCAGGTACGTGAGCACTGGCAGGCGTCTCCAGGGAGGTCTCAGTGGGGAGAGTGAAGGGCAGGGCGAAGGAGAAGCAGGAGCCGTGGCCTGGGCGGGAGGAGGCGGAGATGGTGCCTCCCATGAGCGCCACAAGCGACCTGCAGATGGCCAGACCCAGCCCCGTGCCTCCATACCTCCTAGACGTGGACTTGTCCGCCTGCAGGGAGGGAATGAGGGGGTGAGGCAGGGAGAAGGGGACGAGGTGGGGGAGAGAGGGAGGCTGGAAGGAGGCGGAGATTGTGCCTCCCACGAGCGCCACCAGCGACCTGCAGCTTGCCAGATCCAGCCCCGTGCCTCCGTACCTCCTGGAGGTGGACTTATCCGCCTGTAGAGAGTGGGAGTGGGGCAGGGAGTGGGGAGGGAGGGAGGGAGGGAGGGAGGGAGGGAGGGAGGGAGGGAGGGAGGGAGGGAGGGAGGGAGGGAGGGAGGGAGGGAGGGAGGGAGGGAGGGAGGGAGGGAGGAATGGGGCCAAACAAAAAAAAAAACTTACGAGACGAAGGCAAAAGTGCAAAGAAAAACGGAGAACAGCAAGGAGGATGGAAAGAGGAAGGTAGGAACAGAGGCAGGAAAAACAACAAAGAAGGGGAAAAGACCAATGAGCCGAGGACCATCAACTGCTTTCGGCCTACCTGTGTGAAAGGCTGGAACAGCTTTGGCAGCATCTGCTGTGGAATGCCTATTCCAGTGTCCGTCACCTCAAAGTGCATCATCACTGCCCGCGGCTTCTCTGGCTTCTCCAGGGATAGAGGCCTGTTCTCAAGAGTTTCATTCTCACACGGGCAGGCAGAAGAAGATTGGTTCTCGGGGCTGGATGCTATGGTTTTGTCTTCGCATTGTGCCTTATTCACTGCTGTGCCTTCAGCAGCAACGTTCACATCTGTTGGTACTGGTGGGTGTGATTGTTCCTCTGGCGAAAAAACTGCTGCTGCTGCTGCTGCTGCTGCTGGGTCTAATAGCTCCCGTGACACATCTGCTGCTTCTGATGGGCCTGGTTGCTCGACAGCCTCTGTTTCTGATGGGCCTGACTGCTCCTCCGGTGAAGCATCTGCATCAGCTGACGGCCCACACGGCACATGGTCGCAGCAAGCTCCTTCACTTGGTACTCGCGCCTGGCCGATTCTCTCTCTCTCATCTGCCAGATTGCCACGTTCTTGGAACCCGTTTCCAGCTCTAGCAGTGCCCATTCCTGCCATCTTAGCTGTACCTTGTCTTCCCAGCGCCTGCCTATGCAAGGAGTCACTCTCCTTTCCAGCTTCGTAATTGGCCCTCTCGCCGCCCTTTTCCCCCTCCTCAAACCTCGCCCTCTTCTCATTATCCTCGACTCGAGTCCTCTCATCCTCCGTTTCCCATCTCACTCTCTTTCGGCTGGGTTTTGTCGGAGATGCTTTCGGTTTTGGTGATGATGCATGAGGCTTCGCTGATGCAGTTTCAGGCTCTGATGGCGCTGCTCCTTGTTGAGCTGACACGGCTTGTGGGTCTGTTGTCACTGCATCTGGCTGTGCTGACGCTGGAAGAATCTCAGCTGCTGTTGACAGGCTTACACGCACTTTCACATGGCCCCTGTTGCAAGGAAAAGGGAAGACGGATTGTTAACATGTATCAGCAAGCATGTCGAGTTGAATTCAACAAAAAACACATGAGAATGATATAACCATATGTTTCCATTCACGACACGCACATCTCTTCTGTCCTGCACTCTGTCTGCCCCGCCTGACATGCCCGAGAGGAAACGCATGCCTCGACTCGACAGGTCAAGAGCTCACCTGGAAGTGAACTTGATGGCGTTGGAGAGGAGGTTCAGCAATACCTGACGCAGCCTGCTGGGGTCCCCAATCACAAGTGACGGCACTGCTGGATCCACGTCAACGAGGAGCTGAATGCAGAGAGAGCAACGGGCGGAGGTGCGCACACAGTAAAGGATGCATAGTAAGTGGGGGAGATTGGAGAAAAGGATGCAAACTTGGGCGAATGGGGGAGATTGGTGGAGAGGGGGGAAGAAGGAGGGGCAACAAGGAGCAGGTAAGGGAGAAACGCGGAAAGTGGAGAGAGCCAGGACTGCGAGCGAGGCAGAGAGCAGAGAACACACCTGGATGCCCTTTTGCAGCACGAGGACATGCACGGTGGATTCCGCTTCAGCCACTGCAGCCCGCAGGTCAAACGGCACGGCCTCCAGCTGCAGCGAGTGCGCCTCCATCTTGCTGATATCCAACACATCGGAGATAATCCTCAGCAGAGAGTCCCCAGACGTGCGGATCACCTGGAGGAGCGACCGCTGCTCGTCGCTCAGAGGGGTTTGTAGCAGAAGGTCCGCCACGCCGATGACGCCGTTCATGGGGGTGCGGATCTCGTGGCTGATCTTGGCCAGGAACTCGCTCTTGGATGCGTTGGCGCGCTCCGCGTTCTCCCGCGCCTTGAGCAGCGCCTGCTCATGCTGCTTTATGTCAGTCAGGTCGTGCCACACTGTCACAAAGTGGCTGCGCCCGTTGGCTTGCACGCACTGCCATGAAAAGTGTGGGATGGAGTGCGGGGTCAGGGAGAGAGAGGGCACGTGGGGAGCAGCGGGTGAGAGGTGAGACGGGGGAGGCGAGGTGGTGAGGAGAGGTGAGTGTGTGGGGAGGGAGGAGTTGGGAGGGGTGTAGGTGATTGCAATGAGAATACGGAGTCACCCACTGTTCAGTATCTTGGTCCCACAAAAGCAGAATTCATGAGCCATGTCCCAGACCAGACGGCGCCACAGCACAAAAACACCAACATAACGCACCTGAACTTTCACCAGGACGGGAATGAGGGTTTTATCTGATGCATAGTGCCACCACTCGCCAATGGCCGAGCCTTCTCCTGAGAACACCGGGCGGCTGAACTGAGCCAACTTGTCAGCAGATCTCGTCCCGTCTGGCTGGAACTCAGGCGTCAGGCTGGCAACGTTCACCTTGCCCGCTATCTCGGATTTATCCTTGAATTTCAGGATCTTGACGGCTGCTTCGTTGCAATCCTGAATGACCATGTCATCAGAAACGATGAAAACCGGGTCCTGCGAACAAGCAGATTGAGGGATTGAGGCACGGAGAGACATTCCATGCAACAAATTGAAGCAGATTGAGGCATCGCGATCCAGGTGAGAAGTGTCAGTGCCAGAAACAAGCATGGTGCACAACCCTCAACGTAAGATATCAATCATGCTTGCTATCTGTGTCATCGCAGTCATTCTCGTGACTCTTACCATGGACATTTCGAATATTCGTCTAAACTTCTCATTCTCATGTCCTGTCTTAAGAGTCTCTTCAACCAGCTTCAGCCGGTGGAGAAAGGTCTCTGGGTCTTCAAACAAAGAGGGAGGGTCAAATTCTCCTAACGATGCTCCACAGAGCTTAAAGCACATTCCGAGCCCTTCCAATAACCGCTCCTGTAACAGTTGCAGGAAGGTTGGACAAACTAATAAGGCCAAGGAGGACAGTTCATAGCAGAAAGATGGGGAAAAACAACCTAAGGAAGTGGAGAGACAAAGAGGAAAAGACTCTACTGGAAACACACAGAGTGCCACCTTCGAAGCAGTTGTTCTGTTGCAGTTGTTCTGTTACATACCTCCGCAGTTTTTCGGGCGGATATGTTATGGAACACGCAACAATATGACGAGACTGATCCATTAGCGGAATCTGCGAGGACCGGTGTCATGGCGACATCGAACCATGCAGTGCCGCCATTGTGACATCTCAGGCGGAGCTCGAACGCTGATTTTTGGAGATTCTTCTTCAGTGCACTCTGTGGGAGACGTGGCAACACGCTAGAGTCAATAGGTGAAGCGAATTCACAGACACAATCCAAACGACGCCTAAGCTAATGCTCCTTTAGATGACACAGTGCACAGACACTTGGAGATGATTGTACGTGCCTGAAAACGGCTTCTGTGGTTGGAATCTATAATCTCTTCGAACGGACGGTGGATGATTTCGGCCTGGTCGTAACCAAGAGCTTCAGAAAACGCCGAACTGCAGGAAAAAAGGTTCAAGAATTCCTTAAACGATAATCCTTGAAGAGTAATAAAGACGCTTCGTGGCGAAAGAACGGAGCTAGCAGCAGCGCACCTGCAATCCGTCAGCTCGCCGTGCGCAGAAATTAGGGCGACGCAGGCTACACCTAAAAGCGCCGGGTGCTGTGAGACACGCAATGCCATGTTATCCTTGCTACAGAACGGGCAAGTCGGGGATTGCGGAGTGAACTATGAGACCGCTTCTTCACCAAGTTGTACTGGAACTCAGGATTCGCAGGCAGAAAAGGTCGCAGGTCCAGCATCAAATCACAGAAACGAGCCGATCTGTACGATTCGCAACGGGTCATAAGCACTGCGGAACTGCGCAATGCTTCGCACTAAACGGAAACCTCGTTTCGTCGAGGTTCGACGACCGTGGGCTGGGGGTTGCTCGATCCTTGCTTGATGGACCTTCATGGCGAGTGATACGACAATCCCTCGATTTGATGCTGCCTGAGGATTCCATCACTTTCTGCTTGCTCTGCCTTATCACCGCTGAATCTGATACAGCGACGCTCTGCTCAGGAACGACAAGCAGAAGCAACGGCCATTACTGTGGAGAAGCTCGTGGTTGGAAATGAAAGGGAGGGAGTGGGGTGCAGATCAATCTGCGCCGTTGATTCGGTGCAGACGTGGCTTTGTGAGGCATTCTGCGGTGGTTGTGCCAGCCATGGCACGTTGTGCCAACCACTCCACGTTCGGCAGACCCTGATTCTGGCAGTGAAGTGAACCCTTGATTCTCCCTGTGTGCTCAGCTGGTTCCTGTGGAAACAACTCCCAACACCGTAATCAAAGCTGGCCACTTCGTCACAGTTCTTGCATTGTTACGAACAAATGATGTTTGCAAGAGTACACTCAGCCTCAAATGAAGTACGAGGTTCAGACGGCTGTTGACAATGTACAAAGAAAGTGAACATAGCTCATTCAATGTCATCCTTCTCAGTGGCATGATCCTCACAACCACCTTGCAACAAACTACAGGGTTCAAGCACACTCACAAGATGCTGTAACCTAACTGGCTTGGTCAAGAAGGCATCCATTCCAGCCTGACCACATTGGTCACGATCCTGTTGGAGCGCACTTGCTGTCAGTGCCACAATCACAGGCCGGCTCAGGGAATGGTATGGCTTGAAAAAACATGTCATTTGGAAATCACTTCCCTTCCAGCACTCGGGGCAGATTCTGTTCACCGAATCATGCTTGAGCTGACGGATTCGCTGAGTAGCCTCAAATCCATCCATCTTTGGCATGTGAACATCCTGTACAAATTTTCGGAAGACGGTGACAAAACGAAAAAGGGAAGCAAGGACGTCAGCCTCAAAAGAAACTCAAGCAACCCTCCCGATCCATGACTTGTCCCCCACCCCCCCCCCCCCCCCCCCCCTTCCCTTCCGCCGTCCATCCCCCCCCTCTCCCCCTCCCCTCCCCCTTTTTCCTCCAGCTCTCCAAAAAGAGACCAGCTGCCAACTCACCATGAAGATGACGTCATACTCCTTGGCTTGGCATGCTGCCAAGGCCTTCACCCCATCCTCTGCCACATCACAGGTGACCTGCAAGGTGCCCAGCAGCCTCACCACCACCAATCGGTTCACCGGATTGTCCTCCACCACCAGACACCTCAGCCCTGCAAACGAGCGCAGCTCTATCGATGGCGAAGAGGACTCAAGGGAGGTTGAATGGGGTAATGAGACATGCAGGGGAGGTAGGTGCACTGATGCTGCTGGCAGTCCAGGGACAGGATTGTCCCTCCCTAAGGCGGACACCCGAGGAGAAGTCCCTGGTGGTTTGCCTGAAGCTGTCTCTGGTACTCGAAATGGCAAAGTGAAGCAGAACGTCGAGCCTTGATTAAGTGTGGATGAAATTGATATTTTACCCCCCATGAGGGCCACAAGGGACTGGCAGATGGCTAGTCCCAGCCCTGTGCCTCCGTACTTCCTTGAGGTTGACTCATCTGCCTGTAAAAGCAATTCGATTTGTATGAAAAGCAGTTGTTTCGATAGAACACTATAAACTGCCAGAGACCAAGCATATTATTGTGCACATACCTGTGTGAATGGTTGAAAAAGCTTCGGAATCATGTCCTCAGATATTCCAATTCCAGTGTCAGACACCTCAAACTGAATGAGAGTGTTCGTTGAGTCACTGCTCTGTGTGGAATCCTTAGCATCACCCAGTAACCTGATCCGCTTTCCAGGCTCCTTACCCTCCGCCCCTGTCATTGTAAAAAAAAAAAATAATAAATAGAAAAAACTCAGGCAAAATTCACAACACCCATACTTGTAGATTCAAAGTTCCTCACTGACATGGTGAAGTGCATGGTGATAGCCGGGGATGGACTGCCAGCGAGTTCTTGGAGTCCTTGATAAAGGCTCGTAGTTCAATTTTACCACTGTTGACAAATGGAAGTCAATATCGTGACAAGGACAAAAACAAAAAAACAAAAACAAAAACAAAAACAGAAACTATGACGCAAAGTCTCCCGACATTAATACCTCTCGGTGAATTTGATTGCATTGGAAAGCAGGTTGAGCAAAATTTGGCGAATCCTCGTAGGGTCTCCAATGACCTTCGAAGGAAGGGCATCCTCAACAAAAGCGTTGAGCTGTTGACATTGCAGAATAAAGAAGTCGTTAGAGGAATAAGCGTAGTTGGGGAAAAATTTTGGACAACAAGGAGTGTGGCAATGTGGCATACCTCTAGGTCCTTCTGCAGTGCTAACACCCGAACTGAGGACAGTGAGTCCTCAATGGCTTCTCTGAGGCTGCAGGGTATGGATTCCAACGCTATGGATCGAGCCTCAATCTTGCTGATATCAAGCACATCAGAGATGATATTTAAAAGAGTCTCTCCTGATGAGCGCACCACCTCCAGGTATGATCGTTGCTCCTCTGTCAATTCGGTCCTTAGGAGCAGTTCAGTAACGCCAATCACGCCTGGCAGCGAACTCAACATGAAACATTATAAATGGTGTAAGAATGTTGAATTCCTAAGAAAAAAGGCATTCCAAGCGGATTCAAGGAACGATCACCAACCATTCATAGGTGTCCTGATTTCGTGGCTGATGTTAGCAAGAAACTGGCTCTTGGCTTGATTCGCAGCCTCTGCAGCCTCTTTCGCTTTCTCTAAATCAGCCTCGCGTCTCTTGATTTCAGTCAGGTCATGCCAGACACAGACCATGTAATTCTTCCCATTGGAAACGACATTCTGTAGCAATAATATAGCACACTCGGTTAGGCCTGGAAAAAATGGACCAACGCAAGTGATCATGCTGCACAAGCATATACCTGAATTTTCACAAGAACTGGAAAGAGGGTCCCCTCAGCATTGTAGTGCCACCATTCTCCCGTGACTGTTTCTCCAGCGAACAAAGGCTGGCAAAACTTTTGGAGCTTCTCTAGTGTCCTCGAGCCATCTGGCTGGAATTCTGGAGACACCATCAGCACCGTGAGCTTCTGTACAATCTCAGACATGTCGTTGAGCTTTAAAATGCGAAGAGCAGCCTCGTTACATTGGTGTACCGTTGTGTCTTCTCCTATCAAGAATATCGGGTCCTGCTCAGACAAGTGACGGCCACGCTTATGCTCTGACGTCTAGCAAAGTGAAGCCATGACCAATCAAGCAAGATCTCACCATGGACATCTCAAATATCCGCCTAAACTTCTCGCTTTCCAACCCAGCCTCAAGGGCTAATTTCAGTTGGGACACTCGCTCCCGAAAACCCTTGTCACTTGCTGCTGACGCTTGTTCCTGGGATGCATTCGACCGTGAACTAGCAAGAGCGAAACACTCTTCGAGAGCATTCTGAGCAATATCCTGCGTAGAAACAGGGCTATGGTAAGAATGCGCAGAGAAGAGTCATAACAGGCTCGTATAAAACGAATTCCTGACCTCGACTGTTCTCCATCGCGATATGTCGTGAAATATACAAACGAACTGTGGCGGCTCGCCGTCACGTCCGCATCTTGTTAGCTTCGCTTCCAACCATGCGCAGTCGGCTAAGTGGCGAGAAATTCGCAGGTCAACAAATGTCTCTTTCGCCGCGCCAAGTGCACTCTGCGCCATTAAATAACCTCATTAAAATAATCATTTCAACGAACGAGACTGATCTCGCTAAGGATGATGCTTTACCTGGACGCAATCCCTCTCATCTTCATGTACGAAGTTCAAGAAATTGCTGCCTACAGTTTCCTCCTCCGCCAAGCCTACCATCTCGCAAAAGGCAGGAGTGCACCCTTGAATTTTGCCGTCTGATGTCAGAACTAATGCTGGAACTAGGCGTTTTAAACCAAGAAGCAACGGAGAATCTTGGATTGCCATCACAAGCACTTTCGTCCGCTTCGTGAGCGAATTCGAGAGCTTTACCTACGACTATGAACGGGCCGCGCGGGGGCTTAGCCGTATGCCTGGAGAGGTGTCAGGGGAATGAGGCACAAAAATGATCTCAATCCATTGAAAGAATTATGAGGGTCGAAGTTCTTGTATGGTTTTGTAAACTTGGTGAAGGCATGTCGCAAAGGTAGGTCATCTGTACCATTTATACGGTTGGCCTCGGTTTTGCACATTCAAAAGCGGTTGAGTATAGAATACCGCTTTCAAGCGCGACGCACCATCTTCAACCGTATTAGTTAGGTCTGGCATCGTGATGCCAGTTTGTCCAATCAGTCCTGCTGATCATGGGCTGTGCTGGCTTCTCTTGCTCGCTTGTGGTTGGGGTGAGGGGTATCCCTCATGGCTTGGGCGGCGGCGGCAAGCACTGGATTTTAGATCAGGTCAGGTTGTGAAAATTTCCAACATGCTTCCTGACAGAGCTGACAACCCAGACCGGCGGCACTTCGAATCACTCGCTCGAAGTGCAGGTCAACAACGGTCTGCCCGACGGCCTGAACTTTTTGAGAATTCTTCCGTCCCTCCCATTGTCACTGAACAACCATTTTGAGGAGGAGAATCGATCCGGAGGCACCAAACCCCAAGCATGCAACATGAACTGCATTCAGTAAAAGGGCATTCGTCCAAAATCACGATTCAATAAATGTACACCTTCTACAGAAGTCAGAGTGCAACAAAATGGTGCACTTGACTAAAAATCTCAAATCTCACAAATCGGCTTGAGACCCAAGGGAAATTGCTTTAGAACTGTTCGATTCAAGTTGATCGTGTGATATAGGATACCCAAAGAAAATTCCCGCCATCACTGGCACAACTGTCAGGCGCCACCTTGTATTCAATTGGGCGGCTCCCGCGCAAAGAGGCCAAAACCTGCTTGGCTGAAACTCAGCGATTTTCTGTAACTCTTCTCACGAAACCAAAGACCTGTTCGCCACAACGTGACCTTCCCCTGGCGAACCAGAATCCTCTCGCCAACAGACAGCCTTGCGAAACTGGCAACCAAAAGTTCTGCCAAGTATGGCAACCCATGTGGCGGAAAGCAACTCTTTGCTTCAAGCATCCACCCTCCAGGGATCCCCTTGCTGCTCCTTGCCTAGGATTTGCCTCAGTCGCCACCACACCAGACCACAGTTCTTTCCTGAATGTCGGAAATTCATCTCAGGCTCGTTTCCATGGCGTCCTCGCACTCTTTTGAGTTTTTTCGGCGGGTGACACCCCATTGGCCGTATCACCTAATCACCTGAAATCGCCGTCTAGGTCTTTAATCGCGGCCCGTTTCATGGCACGAAGGACCTACCTCAGTCGTATCAGTCGATCTTATCATCGGAATCACCTTCACACTATTCAATCAGTGCAACTCTGCTTGATCACTGAATTGGTTCTACTCTAGTCATACGGAGGCAACCTCTCTTGTTTCAGGCTTAAGTCGAAAAGACCGCGATGGCGAAAGCAATTAGACGTCCGCGACAGCTGTTAACCGGGAGAAGCGACGCTAGCAGTTTCCACCTCATCCAGCGATCCAACCTGAACGTCTGGGAGTGAATAACTGACCGGAGCAGTAAGGAATGTGGTGGTGATCGGTTCTGAAGTTTCGGGAAAGGAGGAAAGCGAGCTTTTATTAGATACTAGCAACTTTTCGCCTTTTATTAGATGTCGCATTAAGCCGAGTCGTGTCCTTCTCACTGCGAGATATGTCGCATTCTGTTGAATCGCGTCCCGTTCACAAAATTCTTCGCATCTTGGGTGGGGATGCGGAACGGTCCGGAAGGAGTGTGATGCTGATTGAGTTCGAGCTTCGGGGAATGGCGGCGCAGCGAACTGGAGGAACATCTTCATGCACCGCGTGTGCTGCTCATGACTGATGAATCGCATGTCAGTATTTGTCCTTCCGGCGTCGATTTCTCCCGTGATGCTCGCTTTCGCGACGTCCACCGTGTGCTGCGCATGTGACGTCGCGTCCTGGTGAATCGCGCGCTGCGCGCGACGAGAGACGTCGCATCTTGGTGAACCGCGTCTCGTCGACTCCGAGCTTTCAGCTCTCAAGTTTCGGCGTTTAAGGTTCGACTGCTGCGATGGTTCATTTGGATGGAGAAAGCCAAGGCGCTTCGAGCATCTTGGGATCTCCCTTCGCGAACGGCGACACGCGGGAAACTTCGAGTCTGAGCGACCGGCGATAAACTCGGAGCAGCGAACGACGAGGGACGGACGACGAGCAGCGAACGACGAGGGACGGACGACGAGCAGCGAACAACGAGGGACGAACGACGAGCAGCAAATGACGAGGAACGGACGACGAGGGACGGACGATGAGCATCAAACGGCGAGGGACGGACGGGGGTATCAAGTGATGGACGATGATAGGCGGATGCCTGAGGGACGGCGACAGACGGACGACAATAGACGGACGGCGAGTAACAGACGACGAGTGACAACGCTAACGGCCGAGACCCGCGACCATCGAGTGGCAGACGGCGAGTGACAGCCACGATGACGCGCCTCAGTGACGAGCGGCGGACGAGAGAGACTGCGCCGTTCAGCCACAGCCACTTTTGGTTAAGTGCTCTGACCTTTACTCCCGTTTGTCACTTTTCCTGCTGCGCAATAGAAAACTTGCTCCGCAGTTTGCATGGGAGGCGGTAGGCGTGGGTTTGTGGGAGTGTGAGGGCGTGTGGCGATGGTGGGCCGTGGCACAAGGCAGCTGAGCGCATGTAGTTGTAGGGGGATAGAATAGAATGCATTCATCCTCATGCCCGCGTCCCCCTCTACCCCAGTCCCCCCTTGCAAGCTTGCTTGCTGCCAAACTGCCACAGCCTGCCATCGCCACACTCCCTTCGCCTCTCACGCACCTCCCAACCCCTCCAGTGTCGTGCTGCCATCTGCTTCAAGTTTCCCAATGCTCATACAATTCCACGTCATGCTTCCTGCTTCATCACTTTAACTTCATTGCCTGCGCTACGCCAATCTCTTTGCATCTCCTTCTCGCCGTGCCTTGTTCCCCATCTATCTTCTAGCCTCAGGTCGACTGGAGTGCAGGCGGAATTGCAAAGAGCTGGGTGCGACGATGTTCAGAATGGTAACGTGACGGTGTGCGAAACGGCGACGAGTTGCGTGCGACATTGTGCGGAATGGCGAGTTGCTGGGCGGCGACGTGCGGAATGGCGAGTTCCTGCGTCCGACGTTGTGCGGAACGGTGATGCTGCTGCTCCGCCCTCGGACGAGTCACTTTCAACCCCTACGATCAAAGTTTCCTTAGCTCTCCTTAGCTAAGTTTCCTATCCGCCCCCCTCTGTCCTCCATCGCTCCCCGTCCGTCTCTTGCACTCTCGGCAAATCTCAAGGCACATTTTTAACTTAGCGCATGGTGGTGGTGATCCATGGTGCTATGGCAGCAGAGCTCATGTCAAGTACAGTGTAGTGGGAGTGGTGGGAGAGATAAGAGTAGTGGAGAGGGAGTGCATTCATGCCATGCGCGCGTCCCTCTCTACCTCAGTCCCCCCTCGCTGGCTCAGCTCGCTGCTCTAGTGCCGTGGGCCACCGTCGCCATGCGCCTTCCCCCTCCCCCCTCCTTCCCCCTCCCACCACGATCCAACCACTCCGTTTTTGCTGTGCTCCATTTTCAAGTTTCTCAATGCTCACTCTTCACAGCTTTTGCTCTATTGCCACCTTGACGTTCTTGCTGCTCCCATTCATTTCAAGTTTCTAGGCCGATCCTTTTCCTTTGCATCTCCTTCTCCCTGTGCCGTTGTCCCCCTCTGGCCTCAAGGCGAATGGATTGGATTGCAAGTGGCAGAGCCGCAGAGCGGTGGCTGCTGTCAGCATCAGTCAACACCAGTCAACGCCAGTCAACACCAGACAACGCCCTTCAACACCAGTCCTACCACGCCCATTTTGTCGCTGCCGTTATGGTATGATGTACATAACTGCACTGCACCCACTCCCTGCTACGCTTCTCCATTCTACTGCACCCACTCTCTCCTTTGCTCTCCCATTTCAGTGCACCTGCTCTCAGTGCACCGCAACGCACCGCACGGCACCGCAGCGCAGCGCACGGCTTCGCTTCGGGCGTAGCTTTCTCTGCTGTTGTTCTTATGCTACCTTTGTGCTTCATGTAGTGACCTGCAGTCTCCTCCCTTACTTCTTCTCAACCCCCCTTTTGCACTTTTGCGCTTCTGTTCGATACAATCCAGAGTTTTCTCGAGAGCAACAACGCACGGCGAATGAGTGAGCAGCGAGCAACGGCGCACGCCGAACGGCGGGCGACGAATTGCGAGCGACGCGCCTCAGTGAAGGGCGACGCGCCTCAGTGACGGGCGACGCGCCTCAGTGACGGGCGACGGACGAGAGAGTCGGAGGAAAAGCTATGCCGTTCAGCCACAGCCACTTCTGGTCAAGTGCTCTCAACAAAACAAGAGTTGATGGAAGTTAGACCTTCGCAGCCCACCTGTCCTCTCTTGACAGCCACTTCTGGTTAAGTGCTCTCAACTCCACTCCCGTTTCTCTTGTCTCGCTTTTATTCGTGCACAATACAATTTTAAAACTTTTCGAAAAGTGTGAGGGAGTGTGGCGATGGTGGGCCGTGGCACAAGGCAGCTGAGCGCATGTAGGTAGAGTTGTAGGGGTTAGAATAGAATGCATTCATCCTCATGCCCGCGTCCTCCTCCTCCTCACTCCCCCCCTGCAAGCTCGCTCGCTGCCAAACTGCCACGGCCTGCCATTCGCCACACTCCCTTCGCCTCCCACGCTCCTCGACACCGTTCTTCTTTTGCGTGGTTTGCTTCCACTTCCGCTTTTGTCTCGTTTGCTTCCTCTTCAGCTTTTGACTCGTTTGCTTCGATGCACTCCTGCACGTTCCCATGCATCTTGCGTGCTCCAGTTCTTGTTGCATGCCTCCTTTTCCTCCCGTCCCTCCAACCTCCCCACCCTTAGATGGCTGCAGAAGCAGCAGCAGCAGGAACTGGGGCCCAAGCGCAATGGGCACCAAGGAGCTAGCTTTTCCCGCCTTCCGGAGAGCTTGTGGCACAGCAGAGGGAGCTTTTACTGCAGGGAGGCAGCGCTATGACCAGGGAGAGTATGGGGCTGGTTGTGTGGCCTATCAAGGTAAACCCCCTTGTTTCCTGCTCTTTCCTGCTGCTCTCGCTTTTTGTTATCAGATATGCGAATGCCCCTTTGCGCTCATGTCTTTAGTTCGCCCGTGCCTGTTTCTTCGTTTGCACTCACTCGCTTTCTGCCATTCCCTTCGCCCTGCCCCCATCC